TCCCACGCGGGTGCGAGCGTGTCCGTATCCGCTTACCTTGCAAAGTTGATGGCCAGCAGCGGGTCGTGCACGTCCTGCATCTCCAGGTGCTGGGAGATGATGGACTGCATCTTGATCAGGCTCCTCCTGGTGGCCTGTTGCTCGGTAACCGCGTCCACGGGAGACTCGTCTCGGCTGCAGAGGCGCGACTGCACCGACTCCAGAAACAAAGTGTACAAGCTCTTCCTCTCGGCATCTGCAAAGCAACACTGACATTGGTCGACAAATACGCCAAGCGTGGCACAGTCACATGTCCATCAGGTGAGAGCTGAAGTAGTTGAGGTGCTGAGGTGAAGATGGATTCATGAGGCACTCAACATGTTGTCGTGCGCACGCACACACTGACCTCTGGAGGACCTCCCGGACTCCTGCGTCTCCTTGCAGTCCAGATTTTTGAGCAGCTGCATGGACTTGCCGGCCATGATGATCTGCTTGAGCACGGGTTTGAGGAAGGACACCATGGTGAGCTGCCTGCTGCCGGAGGCCTGTTCGCCTCCGGAGCTCCCGCTGGCCGCGTCGTTCAGCTTCTCCTCGTTCTCCACCGTCTCCGACACGCTGTACAGAGTGTAGGTGGCGTACCAGAAGTCCCTGTGGTTCACCGGCACGTCCTTGTTCCTGAGCGGGACGGAGACCAGTCGCTGAGATGGGAGCAGCGGCTGGAACGTGCGTGGCGTTCATCGCGCTGGTGATGCGTACCTCTGGATGATGAACTCCTTGGCGGGGTCGAACAGGTGGCCGTGGACGATCCACTCGTCCACGATCTCCAGATAGGGTCGGACCGTCTCCGTCCACAGGGAGAACAACAAGGCCACCTGGAAGGGAAGATGGCGCAGGAAGGATCACACACCAAGTACGTTCTACGGAGAAGGAATTTAGCTTGTTGACGGGTGAAACATTTGATACATTTTCAAATAGAAAATAGAATAAAGTCAACAAAACAAAAGGAATGTCCCGAGTTCTTGGGGTCCCTGGAGGTCCCGGGCCTCATTAACGTCACATGACGACACAAAATAACTGCTGAAGGCAGCAGTTAAGCAGCTCCTGTGTTTAAATCCCTCTTTATGTGAATGGAGTCTGGTGTCTTTGTAAAGGGCAGAAATAGATAAATAAGGCGTAGATGTTACGTCCCCCACAGAAGATTCCTCTCCTCCATTGAAACGCTGCCAAAACTCACCGCCTGCTCCGACGCCTCCCCGCCGCTGTCGTACTCTATGATGGCTTTGTACAGGGTGTTGAGCAGGTGAGAGGCCCGCACCACGTTGGGGGTCTCGGGGGGGACTTCGGCGACCCCGGTGCAGAAGACTTTGTGCAGCACTTTGATCTGGGCCAAGTGAGGGTCGAGTCTATTAAGAACCGCCGACAGGGTCACCGTCTCATCTGGAGGACGGACACGTTGAACAGAGAGGTGAATCCCTCATCGGCCCAACCTCACACCCTCCCTCCCCACTAATACAGACTTGTACTTGCCATTGCATATGACCTCCCTCTCAATCGTGGTCAGCTCCTCTTTGAAGCCGGTGAAGTACTTGTTGAGCGCCCACACGAAGGCCTGGTAGGTCCTGAAGGGGGGCTCGGAGCCCTTCTTGGAGCCGGGGCCCGGCGGGCTGGGCTCCGAGCTGTGACCCGTCACCTCGTCGATGAACCTCTGCAGCCTGGACACCGCCTGCCCGAACACGGCGATGTGCTCCAGCACGGAGCGGAGGCAGTTCTGCGGGCGCAGAGAGAGACAACGCGGTGTTTCCTGCAAAACTCAAGGCGACACAAAGGGTGCGACACAAAGACGCTCCGCTTACACTGGTGAGATGGGTTACCACCACGTTACTCCTCACCGACACTTTCCCATCGTGCAGTTGGAATATGAAGTGTTTCTTCACCCCGGAGAGAAGCCTGCAACATGTCAAAAGTGTTGATAGAAATGCTCCGTTAAACCCCACGAGGACGCGAGTGTTCAGGGACCGAGAACGACTCCTCTCACCACAGGGTCTCCCGAATCACTTGGGTCTCGGTGACGAAGGATTTTTCTTCAGGCAGATACAGCGGGTCAGTGTTGTACAGGTGCTGATCCCTGAGGAGAGAACATGTCCGATCAAGCAAGAAACTGGATGAAACTCAACCGTGGAATCACGGTATCATGATGAGTGAATCAGCAACATCATGAGAGAAGGTTGCAAATCTGTAGAGCAATTATTAGTATTTTCGGCCTTATCGAGGATAAATGAGCTTGACTTTCTGATTCATTTATATATTCTTTGTAACTTTATGATATCAGAGAACATTCAGCCCTTTGTCTTGTAAATCTGTTTTAGAATGTCACCCACCCATCAGCGGAAGAGTGGCCCTAAAGTGAAGGTGAAGGTTGCTCACCACACATTGAGCAGGTTGGAGTGTAGATGTAAGCTGTGAGGGAAGCGAGGAGCGTGAGGAACCCAGTACGGCGTCACTACATGCTGCTCCAGCCAGACGCGGGCGGCCGGCTCCCCCACTGCACACAAAGGCACAAACTTCCATTAGCTTCTCTGCACACACACACGAGACGCTTGTGTCTCGGCCGCGTGATCCGTCCTCACCTGTCCAGGCAACGGGAGCCGCCTTGTTGTTGTTGTTGTTGTTGTCCTGGTCTTCCTGCGGCGTTCTGTCACACTGGATCCCAGAGTCTTCTCTGCTGATTGGCTGCTGGCTGTCGCCGTCCTCGCTCTCCTCCTCCGACCAGTCCTAAAGTAAAATACAGAACCGTCAGGACGGATTCAATGGGAATCTGAATCTAGATGGGAAGGTGGTTCCACGGTTTACAGCTCTCTGACTCACTGAGAGAATTAAAATCAATGAAGCATTTGTTTTAATGACAATATTTCATTGTGATGAGTTCGGTAAAAAATGATCACTATAGATCGCTAAAGTTGGTTTCATTGGTTTATTGAGTACCATCTTGGATTACGGTCATCAAGTGCGTTTTACTCACGGGCGTATCGGGGTATGGTCCAATGTCTACGTCCTCACCCTCCATCAGGTATTTCGCCCAATCAAAGCGGTCTTCGTCTTCTGCAGACACAAGATGAAGTCATTTATTTAACATGGATGTCCATATGATGTATATTTATATATTTTTATGCAAGTATTTTTGAAAGAGTACTGAGTACTAAGCATCTCACCGGCCTCCTTCAGCCTGGGCCTCTCAGTGAAGTCTGTGTTTAAGGGCGAGTCCGATAAGAAGAGCAGCAGAGATAAGGCGCTGTAGTGCGCATCGCTCTGCAGAACCAAACACAGCAAACCGCTCTGGATAGTGTTTTGTAGATGCATTTGATACGTTTTTATTGGAAGGGGCACAGACCTTTATTCCCTCCGTATTGGGTAAAGGGGAGTTCAGGAACTCCTCAGTGAGCCTCTTCCAGCTCTCTGCTTTACTCACGTCAGAGTGGATCATGAGCTTCTCATATATTCTGGGAAACACAGCAGAACGCATCGTGTGCAGGACCGGAGGTTTAGAGATGTTTGAACCTGACATCTCTAAACTAAAAATAACGGATAGCGGTAACTATCTCCTGCTGCTGTCAACAGATTTATATTTGATAATTAGCAGAGACATCATAGCTAATATAACAGTGTTTAAACAATCCGATTTAATGACATAGTATCAGATCTGTGCATCGACTCGTCAACACTAAATTACAGTATTCTAGGATGCTGGAGGCATTTACTACTCGATTGTAAAAGAAAGGGAATTCTTCCATTCCTTCTGGTACCACGTTATACCTCCATTACATTCATCTGACAGGTGTAGTGACTATACAAAAGGATTTGACATCATGACAAAGACCCCCCACACTCACTCACCCACTTAAACTGCGTTGGACTTTATGGCTGTCCACGTCCAGGAATCGATGAAACCTGCCAACAACAAAAATAACGTTACAATGCTATTAGCTTACTAGCATCACACTAGCATGTTAGCATCCGACAAGCTGCCCCCTCCCTCAATTCTCTGCCAAACGCCACCTGAAATTCGTCCAGGCAAATTTCTGTGCCAGCTGAAAGTTCTGGTCCTCTTCGTCCTCGACCCCACCGATGCATCTTATCAGCCTCTTCGTTTCTCTCTCCGTCTCCTTTTCGAAGGCGGTCCAGTGTGCCATGTTGATGCTGACAGCGGTGCTGCAGCAGCAGCTAGCTCGCTAGCTTGGCCGTTACGCTAACATTACACCGACTCGTACTGGGACAGGTTTGCAGTCTATCGACAGCCTCGATACTTTCCCGGTGATAATTCTTCAAGCTACAGAGACTGCATGAACGACACAACGACGCATAACGCCATTTATTGCAACAACACAAGCTGTATTTAACGTTAGCTCTCTCCGGAGCGGCGTTTGACTCCCGACAACAAATGGGCGAGTTATTGCGCATGCGCGAAACAAACAAAGTTATAATGCGTATTATATTGTGTTCTATTTTTGTTTGACCCAATCAACGTATGGCAGCAAAAGCAGTCAACGTTTAAGATGATGGGAATGGATCACTGACAACACACGACACTCTTCAGGAGGGTAACATTGATTTAAATGTGAAGCTCCCACAATCCTTTGCGCTACTCTAGCGACGTGACGGCGGTAGCTGTTTGGTCCTCTTCCCGTCAAGGCTCTCTGAGAGGTCCAATCCAACGTCGATTTGTATTTATTTTACACAGAAATCGTTTCAAGTGCAAATACTGGCAAAAACAACAACTAGTAGGGCTTTTATGAAGTTCATAGCAAGGTTAGGACGCTCTCCCTTTGGTCCCTCTCCCCCCTTAAAGGCTCTTCGAGGTTTCCAATATAACGGCGCTCCCTTTTTCACTTTTATGACGCGTATCAAAAAAACAATTACAAACTTCCCTAACGACAACTCCACCATCGCGCATTTGACTGCGAACAGGAAAGGGGTGTTTCTCCCGCTGAAGGGGCGTGGCCGCACGCACCGTGGCCTCCCACACGCGCACATAAACTCCCCGCAGCGCCGCGGCGCCGCTCACTGCTCCGACCCTCCAAGAGAAGCAGCTAGCCGGCTAGCTAGCTAGCCCCGCGTCCCGGCGAGAGGAAATGAAGAGGAGGTTACATAAGAAATACCTGGTTTTGATCCTGGCGTACTCCGCTCTGCTGCTGTTGATCCCCTACGTGTTGGACTACCGGGACAAATCCGTCCAGCGCGCTAAACGGCCGCTGCCGCAGCAACAGCCGCGATGCCCGGACCTGGAGAGCTCCGTGGCGCTGCTGTGGGATAACGGTTACCGGGCGAACGGCAGCGACGCGGCGGAGCCCGCCGGCAACCGGAGCCGGTCGCGGATCCACATCTACCTGCACGCCACCTGGAGGACCGGCTCCTCGTTCCTGGGGGAGTTGTTCAACCAGCACCCCGATGCGTTCTACCTGTACGAGCCCATGTGGCACATCTGGCAGGCTCTGTACCCGGGGGACGCGGGCAGCCTGCAGGGCGCGGTGCGCGACATGATGAACAGCCTGTACCGCTGCGACTTCTCGGTCCTCAAGCTGTACGCCGGCTCGCAGAACATCACCACGTCCTTCATCTTCGGCTGGAAGATGAACAAGGTGATCTGCTCGGAGCCGCTGTGCGACGCGCACAGGCGGCACGACATCGGGCTGGTGCGGGAGGACCGCTGCGCCAAGTGCCAGAAGCGGGACATCCGGGAGCTGGAGAGGGAGTGCAAGAAGTACCCGGTGATGGTCATCAAAGGCGTGCGCGTGTTGGACCTGAGCACGCTGGTGCCGCTGATGAGAGACCCCGAGATCAACCTGCGGGTCGTCCAGCTCTTCAGGGACCCGAGGGCCGTGCACAACTCGCGGCTGAAGTCCAAGCAGGCCCTGGTGAAGGAGAGCATCCAGGTGCTGCGCAGCAAGAAGCAGACGGACAAGTACAAGCGGCTCCTCGTTCCGAGCAACCGGGTGAACCGGGCCGAGAGCTACGTCTCCAGCGCCATGGAGCTCATCTGCGACAACTGGCTCGGGGACATGATGCTGGTGGCCAACGCGCCTCCCTGGCTGAGGAGGAACTACCTGCGGGTCCGCTACGAGGACCTGGTGCTGCACCCGATGGAGGAGCTCCAGAGGCTCCTGCGCTTCTCCAACCTCAGCACCTCCCCGGCCCTGGAGAAGTTCGCGCTGAACATGACGCGCGGCCAGGGTTACTCCTCGGACAGGCCGTTCCTCATTTCCTCCAGGGACGCCAAGGAGGCGATCTACGCCTGGAGGGAGCGGCTCAGCGTGGAGCAGATCCACCAGGTGGAGGCCTACTGCAGCGAGGTCATGAGGCAGCTCGGGTACGGGAGGAACAACGTGGACAAAAGCCCGTGAGGACGTGCCGAGGTGAGCGTGCGCCTTTCCGACGGAAATCAGCAGAGAGGCGCCGAAACCGCCCGCCGGGCCCCGCTGCTGACCTTTGACCCCCATCCTCTCACCGAGGCCAATTGGACTCTGCAGCGTTTGACGTGTGCGCGCTTTAAATGAGCTCTAGGTGTGATGTCCGCCTGGCGTTCAGACTGAGCTTTTCCGAGCGCTGACGTCATCAACGCGGCTGGATGGCATCGTTTCATTTGATTAACACCGTTTCGCTCACGGCGCCTTTTTAACGGAAGGGAACGACAACAATGGACTCTGCCTTTGTGTCGTAGATAACCGCTTAATCTGTGTGTCCGTGTGGTTTTATTTCCTCACATCAGAGGGGGGGGGGGCTCATTTATCTGGAGGCTCCTCGGTTTCTCGATGAGTTTGACTCCACTAACAGATTTTTAATATCCACCAGAGCGAGGCGGCGGCAGCAGGAAGGTTTCCCCCTCCTCAATAACCGGCTGCTGCTGGTTCATAGAGGCTTCATTGTTTCCCCGCTGGCAGGGCTCGGCCCTCTCATGGGGGGGGGAGGGAACTGGCAGCAAGTCTCCCGACGCCGCTGCCGAGAAGGGGGGGGGGTCATTGTCCCCGACGAGTCACCCGCCAAGCAGCCGGGCGCCCAGCAGAAACCGGGTGGAGGCAGCCCGGTCCCGCCGGCGCCACCCGGAGTCGAGCCCCGATGGACGTGAACGGGCTACTGGGCGCAGGCCCAACGTGTCCCTCGCCAATGCGGTCTGAACACGAGGTGTGTGGGGTGTGGGTGGGGGGCGGCGGCGCCTGATGGGCCCGCGCTGCCAGGGGTGCAGATGGGGGCCGTGCACATCGTTAATCCCGCCAGGAAGTGACCTTCTGCTCCGAGTCGGTTTCCAGCCAGCAGCTGTAGTGTTGATCTCCTCCCTTCTCTTCCAGCTGCTCGGTGTTTCTGCGCCGAGGGTGAAAGGTGGGACGCGAAAACGAGCAGCTGGAATGTGATCAGCGGGGGTGGGGGGTTGGTCGGGGGGGGAAGAGCAGCTTAGTTGTACGTTGTTTAATGCCAGCGGGACGTCGAGGGGAATCACAGCAGACGGGTTTCTGTCCGTTTTAGTAGCACTAAACCCTCCTCGGAGCCAGAAGGGGCCCAACACGGGACTTGGGGAGGACGACCCCCCCCCCCGACCCCCACACACACACACACACACCCGCGTGGTCTACGAGTAGCGGCTGCTAGGAGAGAAGAAACTACAGTACTTTCTGGGGCCGGGGGCCCGGCCGAGGGACCTTCTGCTCCCCTCAGGAATCCCGAGCAGCTGCAGCCCCCCCGACCGACTGAAACACTCCGGCGGGTGTGAAGCGCCGCCTCGCTCCCCAACCAGCGGTTCACTGTATTTTGTGTAGTCGCAGACGGCACGGATTCATTTTGTGTTCAGTTTTCTTTTCTTGGTCGAAAACATGTAAAAAAATAATAAAATGCTGCGGCGTCGACCAGCATCAAGCGTTCAACTTCAGAAGTTGGTTCTGTAATCATCCGGCTCTCTTGACAATAAAGTGGCCGCGGTGACGTTTGGAAGCGTTTGTGTGAAGTTCTTGTAGTATTACTAGTTTAGTGACATATTTAGGAAGCGGGGCAGCGACGCTGTGGGCGTTTCGCCTCTCGGCTGCTCTTATTGTGTCGGTTCACAGTTTACCAGAGTCACACATTAACAAACCGGACTCACGGGCAGCGCCAGGGTTCCTGGATCCTTTATTCCTCTGACACTAAAGGGTTCAGATTCAACAAAGTCCCACATATCAGTAAAATAACATTTAAACATTCCCCCTCTAAAGAGTCACCTTTGACCAGAAGGGAAATAAATCGAGCTACTCGCAATTCAATGATTTCTATTCACATGCAGAAACATGGCGAGTAGAACCAGGCGGCCAGTTGCCACGGGCAACCGCTGCACACGGTAACAGTGGAGCTACGCGTCACGTTTCTCAGATAAACGTGATGACATCAATCCACGGGGGTGTATGGGGGAAGTTCCAGTTCTGTTTTTTTTGTGTCGAGACCAGCGTTCTCCGCAAGCGTCTCACCCCCAGCGAGCCACAACCAACAACAACTTCTCTGGTTACACCATCCTGCCCCCTCACACCGTGTGTCCTCGCTCGATGGATTTAAAGAAAGAAAAGGGGGGCAAACGTCCTCCGTTTACGTTACATGTGCGCAGTAAATGGGAATTACAGGGACACGAGAGGTGAAGACGTCCCGTGAAGGACTCAGAGGGTCAACGAGACGAACACATTCGGTTTTAGCTTCATTTACAGGATGAATGTCAGCGTTGAAGAGAATAATCACAGTTTGGTATCAACGTCTCTTCTTTGTTTAGGACCTTTGATGAAGAGACTCTACAGGGATTACGACCCCCGATTCATTACATTAAGGCAATTATCCGTTTCGTTATTCAATGTGCAAATGAGTCGCTATTGGACGGAAACTTACAAGTTCTACAAGTTCTACAATATCTATGCATGCAAATCTTCTCCTGGTCCGGAAAAGAAAGCGTGTAATGGAACAAAAATCACTTCCTCAAGTTTAAAGACTTCAATCTTTTTTTTCTTCTTTTTTTCTTCAGGTTGGAAATAAGAAGCATTAAGACATTTCTAATCTATTTTATGACATTCTAAGAAGTGTTGCTAATAAAAATTAAAAAAAAGAACAAAGATGCAGCCCAACAAAAATACAGATTACATTTGTGTTTTTTTTGCAAATATTTACTACCAGTAGAAATCCAGCTCGTCAGTTCAAGTTGCGTTTAAATGTGAAACAATAAGAGAAAAACATTCGCTGTGAAAACCGGTCCAGCACGCGGACAACACACACACACACACACACACACACACACACACACAAAGACGCCGTTTGGTAGCGGCCGCGGGACGGGACGCTCTGAGAGCAGCGCCCCCCATATAGAGGAACAAAGCGCTGCATTGTGGCTATTTACATGCTCACATTCTTCACCCGGGGGGGGGGGCATTCACTGTTCGATAACACACACAAACACACACACACACACACACCTGTTCGCAGCTCCAGCTCTGTGGTTTGATCAGTAAACTGTTAAAGCCTCTAGATGAGGCTGTGAAGAAGAAGAAGCTCAGGTCACGTGATGAGAGAGAGCAACACCCTCCCCCCTCCCTCCCTCCCTCCCTCCTCCTCCTCCCCCCCAGCTGAACACTAAACAAGTCATGTTGCCAACTGACTCTTCACCTCCTGCACAATAAAGGCGTCCCTGCGGTTCCTGCAGAAGAATCAATCAGTCAAACTGAATCGCAGTGGAGAAGATGATCTCCTGACGAGGACAGACGTCTCCTGGAGGACAAACTCCAGTTGCGTGATGAGGATGAAAGGACAAGAGAGGGGGGAAGGAGGGGGGGGGGAGGGGGTCAGATGTGGTCCTCGATGGGGAAAACCAGGCGCGTGCCTCGGCTCAGCAGCTCCTGCTCGCGGGAGTCCAGCTCGCGCTCCAGCGCCTCCTCCGAGGTGCTGCCGCTCCGCTTCCCGTTGGCGCTCCAGCCCGAGACCCCCGAGACCCCCGCGTCCCCGCTGCCGGACGCCCCGTTGGCCGTGATGGAGGTGTCCCCGAACGTGAAGGTGAGGTCGGCATCGTTTCGGAAGATTTCGGAGTCGAGGTCCCTCAGCTGGTCCTGAAAAAGTGAGAAAAAGAATGACATAATGGGAGGGGACACAGAGGGGAGGGGACACTGAGGGACACAACAGCCGAAGGGACTTGTGCTTTTAGTAAAGTCCCTCAAGCACACACTGCATGCTGGGTAATTAACAAAGAGCTGTGAGGTCCATGAGGCTGAATAATCAATAGTGTGCTCTCGTGTCCCCCGGGGAGAGGACAGGGCCGGGCCGATGACATAACACCGACTCTCCAGCAATTATCCTCGTCCATAATGCTAATGAATCCATCAGCTGTTGCTTGTTGTTAATGGAGATTCTGTTAAATTAACAGAATTACATTTCAAATCGACTCCGAGGAGCCGGATGTGAAAATAATGACTCATTTGAGGGGTTTTTTTTAGGACTCGTTTCTAAACAAGTCACCTCTCGCGTCTAGAGGTCCAACAATGACCTCCTGACCTCGGAAGCAAACGTGGGCCTGACGAGTGAAAGCAGGACGCGACAGTGGAGGTGTGAAGTAGCAGAGCTCCTTCCTTCCTGCTGCCAACATCTCAGCTGATGGTTCATTTAATAATCAATACAACCGACTGTTAAAACGGCTCCTCTGGGGCCCAGTTCGTTCTTAAAAAAAGTCACTTAAAGCAGAAAAACGCGCACCTCCTCCCCCAGCGTGTGACTCATAGATTAAATTAGCTTTCAGAGCAGGAAACCACATTTCAAAGCTCAAAGCTGTTTGTGGAACATTTGCTTCCCTCGTTTTACAACAATTATAAGCGAGGAGGCAGCAGACAAGGAGCTTTGTTTAATCCGCTCTGCCCCCACCGGGCCGCCCGATTATCTGAGCAACTCCTGAATTCAGCGTGGAGGGAGAGAAAAAAAAATAAAATAAGAAGGCTTACTTTGTTAAGATGACCAACCGGAGACTGAATCCGTGAGTCAATGGCTGTTTCTGTGTCTAAAACCTCTCTCAGAAACAGGAACCATCACTGAGGAGTCTTTTGTGTCCTCTGAATGCAGAAATCTCTCCCTCCCTCTCCCACCCCCCTCCCTCTCCCTTATGTACAATAGAGAAGTGAAGCCCCGCCCCCCTGACAGCCCCACGGGGCTGCTGCATTCGTTTCAATGTCCACTAAGAGTGACTGACAGGTCTCGAACGGGTCATAAAGCAGGGGATGCTGCAGGGCGGGGCCACGCAGTGATTGACGGCCCACCTCGTAGGCCCGGTGGCTGGTCAGGCAGCTGGCCAGCGGGCCGCAGCAGGCCGGCAGCGTGGAGGTGAGCGGCGGGCCGCTGTGGGTCAGGTGGGCTTCAGGTAGCTGGGCGCTCGTTGAGGAAAAAGAGTCCGGGGGGGGGGGGGGTCCGAGGCCTTTGGCAGAGCGCCGTTCACCACCGCCGCTCCGGTTAGGAGGAGGAAACAACACAGATTCAGATTCACATTTGTGCCTCTTTGAAATGGAATCATTTATAATTATTTCTTTTTTTTTTTAATTTAATTTTAATTTCCAATCACAACATACAACAGTAAATCGCCTTTTGAAATCTCAATTCATGAATAAAAATTGCCAAAATACCATCAATACAAATATTTTAGATAAGTCTCATGATGGAGAACACTTCACTTATTTAAAGGCCAGTAGGCGGTTTGTTTTTATCTCGCTCGTTCGGTTTCTTATTACTTTATTTATTATGAATAAAGCCTTTATGCGACACTCAGCAAAAAGGAATAAAAAGCATTTCAACACGCGGGACGGCGGCCGGCAGGCTGAGGCTACGGTCGCTCGGGTCACTCGCTGCACTGCATTCTGGGAACAAACCCACGAAGGCGCGGTTCAAACACATAAGGAATAAGTGTCACGTCGGTAATTCAGCCGCGGAACAAGCGCGAGGAGAAGGATACTTGTGGTCGAAGGTGTACCAGAGCCTGAAGAGCCACGCGCTCTCCTGCTTGGTCCTGCTCAGCCCCTCGGCCTCGGCGCCGTCCTGCAGACACACACACACACACACACACACACACGATCACAGCTCCAGCTTCCTTTCGTTATCGCTGGAGGCTGGAGGATGCGACGCTCACCCCCTGTAGGACCTGGAAGCTGTCTGCGCTGGGCTGCTGGTCCTGATCCGGATCCACACCCACCCTGAAACGCACCAAGCAGATGTCAAACCTCCGCAGTCACCGAGCTCCACGCGCACGCATACACACACACACACACACACACTTCATATCGCTGCGTCTGCAAGCTGCCTGTCAGCGGGTTTCTCTTTTCAGGCCTCAGCGCGACCTTGACCTTTGCTCGGCTTCCTCGCACGGGAGTTGATCTGAGTTCGTGGCTCCTGCGCGTTTGTTCCCTCGGCGGCGGCGCCGGCGCTGCGTTTCCGGAGTCCTTTTAAAGCGCACGCAGACATAAAAGTGCTGCGTCCTCGACCTCCAAGTGGCTGAAAGTTACTACACATTAGGATTGAATCCGAAGCAGACAGAGATATATTACTCTAGTTTGTGTGATTGAGTGTAAAAGATGAGTTTTGAAAACACTCCCTCGGGTCAAAGAAAGAAAGACACTCAGCAGTCATGTGATTTCTGTGTACATTACGACAACAACAAAAAACAGAACTCCCTTTTCAGCCTGTTGAACGGACCAACAGAGGAAGTAATATGGGAGTGTTTTCACGTTTTAATATATTCGTATACTGTTAGATCCAAAAACGCTCCGGAAGCCTCGGTCCGACTTTATATTTCCTCTATGAACATTTTTATAATTTGAGTCTTTACAACAACAACGTTGAGGAAAGTAGTTTCAATTGTGAGTTTATGATTGAGGTCTCTGAATAAACCAACGAACCGGCCAATGAGCTGTAAGGGGGAGGGGCAGAGCACCAAGACGGCGACGTCAGAGACAACAAGATGGACAAACTGCGAAAGAGTCAACAAACCACCTCTACGATTCCAAAACGCCAAACTCCAAAGCGCTTCTGTCCGGTCTGCTGGACATAATCTCCCCCCCCTCCCCCCCGCTGTCGCTTGCAAACAGACGAGTAAACTCGACACAAGCTGTGGAGTCTGATCCCGGTGACCCACGAGGCAGAAACCACAGAGTCCGGCGGAGATCTTCAGACTCCACGGCAGGTTCTCCTCCTCGTCTGCAGGCCCCTCCTCCCCTGGAAGAACTGCGCAGCTTCCTCATACGTGATCGCACGCACACGTATGGCACACACAAGCCCCACCGAGTGACAGACAGTGGCCTGTAATCCTAATCCTGAGAACAACCCCCCCCCCCCCCCCCCAGCTTAAACCCACAGAATATTCCTCATGAGCACATTTCTATGGCGACGTGCGACCCTGAATCACAAACGGAGAAGAACATTTTGGCACAGCAGCCTCAACTTCTTCTTTTTGTTGTTTTGTTTGTGTTGCACAAAACGTGTGTGACATTTGCTCTTTGCGGAGACACACACACACGCACACGCACACAGCGCAGATCTGTGGCGCCCTGGAACAGAACTCGAGCATTAAATCTATTTTGGTTTAATTCTGCCACTAACCGTCCAATTTAAATGACCCACGATGTTCTTAAAGGGGCCGGCCAGGAAGCCAATGAGCTGCGTTCGGGCGTCTCTTCACCTCCACGTCAGTCAGGGAAAAGCCCCAAAAACAAGAGGTCTGTCAGCCGTCGCCATCTTGGTTTTGGGACGTTGTCTCTTGAACATGAGCGCGTTGGTTTCTGGTCCAAACACGGATTCTGTGGAGGAGAACCTCGCACTAAACCTTCCCTTTAAGGGCCCAACGGCCCCCGCGACGCTTCGCTCGGTCGCTGCCAACGTTCCCTTTTCCTCCGGAAAACAGAAGTAAAACCGTGGAAAGAAAAGACGCCCCGTCGGAAAGCAACCGCGCGCCGTCTTTCCCGACACCAGTTTCACCAGTTCGGACTGGGATGCTGCACCCGCAGTACTCCACCTGTCCCCGCCGGGGACACCGCTCCTCCTGCAACGCCGTCCCCGACGCTGTCACATCGTAAACAGACGCACACTCAGTACGAGTTCATCACAACGAAAAGTAGTGACAGCGTTTCTATCTTCTCGTCCGTGTTTTGCTTGATATAAAACTGTAAAATAAATCTTGTTGTTGGTGTTAAACAGCTGATCAGTGCGTGAAGAACTAGAACACGTGTTCTACTGACGTGTAAGAACAAAGAATATCTGCAGAGGGCGACGCGGCGCCCCGAGCACGGCTCTCGTGCACCACGTGTCCCGGTAACCACGGCAACATGTTGCTGAGGTTGAGGGGGGGGGGGGGGGGGGGGAGCCGTGTCCTCTGGGTCCGAGGCGGCGTCGCTCATATTAAACAGAGCCGGTTGTTTTCAGAGGCGCCCAAGCTGCACGCTGGCCCACATCACCACATAATCCGCTTCATCATGACAAGTGGAGGCTCCCTCCCAGTGCGTCATGGTCCCAGACCGCCGCCCCGCGGGGGGGGGGGGAGCTCAACGGACACCGGCTTTTTAAAATGAGAATAAATGGATTCAATATGAGATTTAAATTTGGATTTCGAGTGTAAATAAGGAACCGGAGGGAATGAAAGCACCAAAAGAGATTATTTAAAAGGCAGGATAGTGTGTAGTTCTCTGTTAAATGAGATTAAATATGTATTTTCTTTTCTTTGGTTGATTTACAGATGTATTAAATGAACTCTTGACTTTGCAGGATGGAAGAGGCTCTTGTTTCATTTTAAACACAACGCAGACGCAGCTGCAGCCATCAAAGCTTCTTCAGCCCCAACGAGACGGAGGATTTATGGGCCTTTTAACTCTTAATCTCTTTTATGGCAAAAACACAATAAAAGTTTGTTTATTAACTGGCTTCGTGTAACTGGAACTTGGCTCCATCTGCTGGACGACATCTCCTCCCAAAGTGGAATCATTAAGAATCAATCATTAAGAATCTATCATTAAGAATAAATCAATAAGAATCAATCATTAAGAATCTATCATTAAGAATCAATCAATAAGAATCAATCAATAAGAATCAATCATTAAGAATCAATCATTAAGAATCAATCATTAAGAATCAATCATTAAGAATCAATCAATAAGAATCAATCATTAAGAATCAATCATTAAGAATCAATCATTAAGAATCAATCATTAAGAATCAATCAATAAGAATCAATCAATAAGAATCAATCATTAAGAATCAATCAATAAGAATCAATCATTAAGAATCAATCATTAAGAATCTATCATTAAGAATCAATCAATAAGAATCAATCAGGTGGCTCATTAACAAAGAATTTAATTAACTTGTTTTAAGAAAAGCATTAACTAAACGTTTGACTTCTAGAGGCCAAAGTTTACCGGACCAGAGACACGTTTCCATGACAACGTCGTTTTCTGCCTCCTTGATTTAATTTTGGGGTTTATTATGAATCAACGACTAAATGAAGATATGATGAAGTAAAATGTGCTTTAATGGTCTCACTCTTCCGAGGATCACAAATATCCCAAAAGACAATATCTCCGACGTTGAAGGTTTACTGGTCTTTTTGGAAGTTTTTTTCCTCCAAAGATGAAATGTTTTCATTAAATACGTGTCAGTCATCACGTGTCTGTTTTTATTAAATAATAAAAAGTCCAATTCCGATCATTATTTTTATAAAAAAATTTCGCTTTGATGAGTTCTACTTTTTTGCGCTTTATGGACGTCGACGCGGTGCCGGTTTTCACGTCACCTGATGTGTAGCCATGACAACATGGGCGTCGTCCCGCCTCCGAACACCCAGACGGTGAAGAAGACGATGAGCAGCGTGGTGGTGAACATCATCTGGCGGGCGTAGGTGGCCGTGTCCCGGATGGCCAGAGCGAACGCCATCGCCCCTCGCAGGCCTGCGGGGGGAAGGTCACAGTCAGCCAATCACATCGGAGCAGGCGGCCGGCGGGGGAGGGGGAGGAGTAACGAGATCTCCGTACCTGCGAACATCATCATGTGCTGGAAGTTCCCTTTGATCTTGTGCCTCCGGCCGAGGTTGAGCAGGAAGGACAGCGGGTAGATGTTTAACGCCCTCCCGATGAATATGGCGCTCTGGGCGGCAAGGTTAAGACAACACGCGCACCAAAATAGAAGCGAGGCATCCAAAGAGACACCAAATGACCTCAGAGAGACACGTAGCATCTACAAATAGACCAAAGGAAGCACAAGGAGACACAAACATGGTGCAAAGGAATACCACACAGACACACAACATCTCACGAGACTCGTTTTGCCCCGATAAAGAATACCAAAGGCCCGGACGATGAAGATCGGGCTGAAAATGTGATTCTGGAAGGTGAAGAGAGCCAAACCCATGTAGGAGAAGATGAAGTTCTCAGCCAGGAAGTGGAGGACCTCGAACAGCTGCATGGAGACACTTCATCGTGAATTCAACAAGGAAAAGGTGTTCAGGTTCACAAGGCTTCCCACAATGCACTGCTTTGAAGCTGCCACGGCGGTTCGAGGGCAAACAACAAATGGAAAGAGGAAGAAGAGTCGTCGTCCCCATTTCTGAGACTGGAGTACTCACATTAAACGTGTTCTATGGATGTAACACAAATGCCTTAGTGCGTTATTAAACACGTGCAAATGTTCAGAGACTTAGAGGACGTAAAAAGGGACAAAGCCAGGCTCACTTGTTCCCTGTTGGTCCCTGAACGCGTCACGCTGCTTGTTGTCTATGTGCTAATCTGAACTCTGTCCTCCAGACTACGCGCCGCGTGGGACGGATGTCCACAGAGAAACGCGATTAAGGTCACAGCAGGCCGGCCATCGAGCCATCTGGTGGCCTGGGGGGGGGGGGGGGGGGTTACCTGCTTGGTGCGCGTGTTGGACTCTGCAGAGAGGTTGTTGTGGGTGTAGTGAGCCTGCGTGATGCCACAGAACAGCACGGCCACGACCCCTGCGTTCAGAAACATATAAAATGCTATCAGTTAATTAGCGTGTAACGTTATAATCAGTGTTTGAGGCACTGATCCAATCATGATCAAGTTATTTACCAGGAAAAACCTCTTTAAAGATTTTCATGATGTACATTTTCTACCTTTAATTATGTTGTTGAGAAGAAAAAAGGCCCATCAACTAACAAATGTAAAAATATTTTACATCCAAAAAAAAGAAAATAATAAGCTGAATGAAGGTTTTGACCACAGTAATAACCGGGATTGTGGGATTTCTAGCAAAATATGCAAAGGTATGTGCAAAATTCCCATAAATCTGGGAAAATGCGGAGGAATGTTCTTAATATTAATAAAACTGTCCAATAAAACGTAAAACGTGTTTTTTTAAAAAGCAAAGTGGAAGTCACGCGCTTCACTTCTCCACTCGCCTGTGAAGCCGCAGGCTTCGGCTAACAGGAAGGTGCTCCAGGACATGAGGAAGAAGAGCGCCGTCTCCAGCAGCGGGAAGCAGTGCAGCTTGGTGAACTTGGTGACGTGGGGCGCCGAGTTAAAGGCGCCAACGCAGTTTGGAATTAAAATCACTCTGAAACTTCGCGTCTTTGAGTTTCCACTTGGGAGAAACGTGGGACTTGGGCAAGGATATGAGAGCGGTGACGACGGCCGTGGCGGCGCCCATCACGAAGGAGCCGCTGAAAATACCCAGGAAGACCCCCACCGACTTGAAAAAGGCTGCGGCGTCGAACATGTGCGTGTTCGCTGCGCTGGGCTGGTAGGCAACAATGGACCTGACAAACAAATACAACAACATCAAAACACAAAAATATGGCTTTCAGAAAGTTAAAACCCTTTAAATAGCAGCTTGATTACATAACACCACGTTATCTCACGTTAAAGCCCCATAATACAGCAGTGAAGCCCCTAGTGGACAGCAGGAGAATTACACGTATTAACTCCATAATACAGCAGTGAGCCCCTAGTGGACAGCAGGAGAATTACACGTATTAACTCCATAATACAGCAGTGAGCCCCTAGTGGACACCAGGAGAATTACATGCATTAGCTCCATAAAACAGCAGTGATGCCCCTAGTGGACACCAGGGGAATTACACGTATTAACTCCATAATACAGCAGTGAGCCCCTAGTGGACACCAGGAGAATTACACGTATTAACTCAATAATACAGCAGTGAAGCCCCTAGTGGACACCAGGAGAATTACACGTATTAACTCCATAATACAGCAGTGAGCCCCTAGTGGACACCAGGAGAATTACATGCATTAGCTCCATAAAACAGCAGTGATGCCCCTAGTGGACACCAGGGGAATTACACGTATTAACTCCATAATACAGCAGTGAGCCCCTAGTGGACACCAGGAGAATTACACGTATTAACTCAATAATACAGCAGTGATGCCCCTAGTGGACACCAGGAGAATTACACGTATTAACTCCATAATACAGCAGTGAGCCCCTAGTGGACACCAGGAGAATTACATGCATTAGCTCCATAATACAGCAGTGATGCCCCTATCACACTTCAGTCTTGAACACCAACATCAGGGTGAAAAAAGAAGCCACACGTACACTTTCATTTGGTGTTGGAAGAAGTAAAAACATTTGACTCACGATGACAGCACGATGGCCACAGCGTCGTTCATCACGCTTTCTCCAAACAGCAGAGCATAGAGGTCCCCGTCAGCGTGGAGGTCATTAAAGATGGCCAACACAGTCACTACACACATTGAAAGAAGACGAGGCCTCGTTAGCTCCTCCTCCGGGAACGTAAACTGCTGACGCGGCGCTTCCTCACGTACCCGGGTCTGTGGCCGAGATGATGGCCCCGAAGAAGAGGCAGTCGGTGTAGTAGAACTTGTCAGTCAGCTGACCGACCATCTGCATGAGCTTGACCACACCGTACATCAGATTCCTGCAGAGAGACAGGGAGGTGGGACGGAGAGGTGAAAGAGAGCATCGATCACTAAAGGTAGTGTTGTTGAATTACTTATTTTATCCTGATCGGAAATCAATGAAACAAAAGCTGTGGGAAAGAAAATAAGAACAATTTCATTGTACCTGTAGTAGTTTTAATAAATAAAGTCTATCCTACATTCTTATAGATGATCATATATAGATATATATTCACACTAATTCAACACTAAAACATAGCTTAATAAAAACATTTTGAAAACCCCAATGTGAGTAATATATTTATGTTAGCATTGTTCTATAACTTAATCCCAACAATAGAGATACTTAAACATCTGTTCACCAACCCGTCTGCGTCTACCTGCTACTCATTGCTCGCCACCAGCTGTGAGTTCTAACAGCGGCCATGTTGTTTGTTTACGTTCCTCATGATGATTTAGGGGGCGTGTCTTCAGAGGACTGAAGGATATACTTTCAGTTTTAAAGGCGTTAAAAAAACATTTTCTGTTTACAGTTAGAGACTTTAAAGACTTTTGGGCACGGCTGAGCGGAGTTCACAGGTGTACGTTTACAGGTCCTTCTTGTTCACTTTTTAAGATCACCTGATCGCCTTTAAAGTCTCAGAAAGTGAACGCTCACCCGATGACAAAGCAAGAGATGGCGGTGCCAAGAAACGCATAAGTTATGATGGAGCCCAGATTCCTGAAGAAGTGTCTCTAGAAAAGGTGAAAAGGAAAACAGGATAAGAGAAGAAAAAAAACACTTTAACAAAAGTCGCACACTGAACTTTATTACAACTAGTCCCTGAAGGCCACACGGTCCAACGGGAAACGAAACGTAGACACGCGTCCCTCCGTTTGAAAACAAGCCGCACAGTCAAAGTATCTCACACAAATAATGTTTTTTTCCAACTAAAAGAAATGATTGTATTTTCCTGCTTGACTGTCAGAAGTCTGGTAGAACAGAACAAACAGGATGTGGGAAGTGACAGTGTGAAGGATTAACATGCTGCAGGTCACATGACGCACCCGGCTTTGCTCCGGCGATCTAAAGCTGACTGAGTCAACGAGTAGAAATACGGCTCGCACGGCGCTCACAGCCATATCTGACTCATCAGATACCAAAATACAATGTGGAATCAAGGTTTTATATTTTCAGGCCTTGTAGAAAAGTATTCTAAGTCCATACAGCGAGCACTACTGTGGAGTCAGTAGTATTACATATTGTATATAATCTACGCAGTACACAGTGTATAGGATTAGTGTGTAGCATGCTAATTAGCACCTGGCACATTACCGCAGTGGCTGATGGGAAACTAGTTTGTTTTGAAAGAAATGCTCAAACAACATATGAAGATGGATGAAAACGCTTAAGGTTCATCCTCTGGAGGCCACGATTGATTCAATCCCCCCACAACCCTGCTGAGATGTGCAAAAAGCGACGGAGCTCAGACGCCGCAGGCGCTCAACACATTTCAGTCTCCGTTATTACGATAGAATATCATTAAAACAGAAATAACGGAACCACCTCGACGCTTTCCCAAATAACCACAAACGTGCAGCGCGAGTCAGGGAGGCAAACGAGAGACTTCTGGTTTCGACTTCCTCTCTGGGAGTAAAGGGGGAGGATTGGGGGAGTCGGGGGGGGCTTCTTAACAGCAGCAGATGAGCCCCCCTGGTGCACGCCTCCCTCCCCGTGCATCACACATACACAAACCCTGACCGCCGCCTCACCTTCTTCAGACTGTACCCGGCGTGGAAAATAATCGGCGGCAGCAAAATGTTGAAGAATACTTCGGGGTCAAAGGTCACCTGGAAAAGAAAGCAGATTCGTTCAGGGTGGGAGGGTCTTGGGGGGGGGGGGGGGGGGGGTCTCCGTCCGAAGCGGTACCTTGCGCAGCATGTCGTTCTGCTCCACGTTGTGGATCTCCCTGGAGTTGATCTCCCCCTTCAGCGTGTACTCGAAGAACTTGCCGCTGACGTTGAGCAGCACGGTGCTGACGGGCCCTTCCTTCAGCGAGCAGCTCGGCGGCGTCTTGTTGTGGTAGCTGGTGGCCGGGATGCCGTACCGCAGGATGACGCCCACCAGCAGACCTGAGCAGACCGGAGGGGAGCTGAGCGCGGGGACGGGCACCTCAACTTAATATCCAGCACTACGGTTCGCTTGGTGCGCCAACCGCCAAGACAAATTCCTTGTACGTCTGACATATTTTGGCAATAAAGGTTTCCCGTTTCCTGATTTCTCAAACCACAGACTGTGTGAAGGAAGTGGACGTAGTCCATCTGTAAAAAGCTCTAGAAAACCATGAAGATCAAACCACCAGAAACGGTGTTTCAGTTTCTGTAGTTCTTCAGGTTCTTTCCAGCCGGTGAGTGGTTTTGGGTGGTATTTTTAATAGGAAGCACCATAAAAGGAACAAGTCAATCCTCTTTGAAGCAGACACCACGAACATGATCTTTTCACTCGTCTTGTCTAGTTGAGTCTGCTCTTTCCCTTCTGCTTTCTGTCCTCTGATCTGATGAAAAGCTTCAACTGCAACAAGCGCAATCAAGATCGAATCCATTCCACATGTTTATTATCGAGAACAAAGAACCCACGAGCGCCAAGAGGAACTCCGCCTCTGCAAGTAGTAAATCTGGGCTGGATTCTTGTTTTCGGGACCTTCAAAAAGCAGCACAAGCAAATAAACGACAAACAGAAGCAGAGTTAACTTTGTAACTGTAGTCCGAGTGCCGCGTGTGACCCCTGTGGTTTAATAAATGACTCGGAAGGTGCTCCGCAGACTTTATTACGGCTTCGCTGACTGAAGTCACATGACCAAAGGACTCGCTCGCTCACGAGGACGTTAGGAGAAAACGGCACAGAATTGCATGCAGCCGGTCACCTTAAAGAACACGATCAACGCGTTTGTTGTCACAAAAAGATCCGTGGATTATCTTCAGCAGACATCGGTGCTCAGTATTATAATATAGAATATATGAATACATTTATCTACATCATCTTTATGTGATAACCATTTGTTGACCTCTAAAAACAATACATAATGAGACTGGAAAGATTCTCTCTAACTGGACCTGAATTCTAATTGAATAGCTGATTTTATGCGACGTTTCAGACGTCTCCATCGGGACAATTTAACGCTCCTCGACACCAACACGCAGGAGAAGCTTCGGTCGGATGCGATCTGCAGCCCCGCCGCTAGAGGCCGCCACATCCTTCACGCCGCACCTTTAATCTGGAAACGCGCCAATCGGATGAAGGTTTATTTGGGAAACCCAAACAGAATATTCTGTTCACATGACGCCGCATTCAATCCGGGGGGCAGTGGAACATTAGCACGCGCGTCAAAAATACGCATTTAATATTGATTTGAGAGTCTTCTCGCAGACCACATGGCGCGAACGAGGAGAGAACGGAGCGGCTTCTCGAGACTCATCTGCGGACCGATTCTCGCGCAAAGCCTGCTGCGTGTGTCCGCGCTGCGGGTGCGCTTGTTTGCGCGCGCGTGCGTGCGTGTGTTTTTGGATCGATTGACCGAGCGGCCCCTCACCGTAGATCATTGCCAGCCCGGTCTCGTGCAGGAAGCGCACCCTGCGGTGCTTGAAGAGCCAGATGGTGAGGATCGTTAAGGTCAGCAGCAGGATGAACGTCAGCAGGTTCACGCTGTCCTGCCGGTGACTTTCCTCCGCCTCCTTCTCCGTGGCGAGTTCTGCCATTCCGTCCTCCGCCTGCAGCCCGGACGCCGCGCTCGGCAGCATCCACATCGCCGTTACCGGCATCATCATCCTCCTCGTCATCATCGTTATCATCTTCGTCGCGGTGGTCGAGTCGCAGGCGCCGCGCCGCTTCGGCGGCCGCAGCGCGTCCATTGGTGCAGGATGATGCTGCTGCTGCTGCTGCTGCTGCTGGAGAGACACACAACGGCGCCTCTATGCCATGTCACTGCTGGGAGGGAGGAAAAAAACAAAAAGGGCCCACACAGCTGAGCCGGGCGGGGAAACGACGCACACCGGCCGCTGCGGGGTTCCGCCTTTTAAAGGAACACTGCGCAGCGGGTCACCGACACCCGGGAGCGCGTCTAAGGCTCTAAAACCTGTGCCCTTTCAGCACATTTTCAGTATATTCAAATAGTATGCATTCTTTCATGTTTTGACTCGTCAATACCCGGAAGTGATCAGAAAAACTATTTAAGAAGGATTTTAAAAATGTAGGAATTCCAAATTAAAATATTACGACTTTTATTGTTGGAAAATTGAAAAAAAAAATTCAAATACTTAAAATTGTGAACAGTTGTGCATAAATGTCAGTCAAATGTGATCACATCCCTCTCGAATATATTGATAAAAGTGCCTACTTTCAATGTATAGGTAGACATGGATTAAACCAATAAGGTATTTCCAAAATAATTTCCAAATTTCAAACAGAATTCCTAAAAATATTTTTTTAAACTTCAGAATTGTTTTACAAAAATATAAATACAAACTGAAACATATATATTATGTTTTACAAATGCGGCGTCTGGTACTTGAGTGCATATATTTGAGACAATGTGGTTAAAGTTCTTATCTAACTAAGAAGTTCTTATCTAACTAATCTAACTAGACATTTTTTGACAATTTATTCTAACTTTTTATTTCTTTTAGAAATTTGAAGTGCGTCTCCGCAGTGACCTGACTTCCTGGTTTTTGGGGTTGCCATGGTTTCGTGTGTCTTCCTTAGTGGCTTCTCAGTTTGCGGTCACTCGGTGAGGGTTTGCGTTTGTATCTCTCAGACTGGAGAGACGGTCTGACTATTCATCAGAGGCTCATTTCATTACTGAGTCACCGCCTTGAGATTTTTGATGAATTTGCAGTTCAGTGGTTCAAAACAGGAAACTCACATGTGCCGTGATTGGAGGATAAAGTCCTGACTTGCAAAGAAAAAGTATGGATGAAATCATGTGGTCTTGGAATTGAGGAACAGCTTCTTCCCTTAAACAGTCCACTGCATTTTGTGGCTTAAAACCAGTTGTGCGGGGGCAATAAAAGAACCACGTGACCTCTAACCTTAGGTGGTGACACAGATTATGAAAAGGGGACGTACAGAAAGGCCATGGCTTCAAAGTGTCGCTCACAGAGGCATGATGGGGGATTACCTATTAATAGAGTGGCCTAGTGGCTTAAATAACAAGATGATCTGACGTCTGGTTGGACGTGGTTACCTGTCTGATTAAGTTCTTCCGTCCCATTACGTGTCAATGATGAAAAAACTCACACTTGCATTAAATTGCACAGTTTGATTCACTCATTTCACTTTGTATTATGGGATATTTTACTCGGGGATACAACTTTGATTCACGAGAGACCTTATAACTGATTCCTAATTGCATGCGTGGGAGTCTGACCATCTGGTGTCGTGGTGCATCCAGAACAACCTGGAGCTCAACGCTTTAAAGACAGTGGAGATGGTTGTGGATTTCAGGAGGAACAGAGCCCCACCCTCCCCCATCACCCTGTGTGACTCCCCCGTCACTAGTGGACTCCTTCCGTTTCATGGGCTCCATCATCACCCGGGACCTCAAGTGGGAGCTGAACATCAGCTCCATCACCAAGAAGGCTCAGCAGAGTTTGTTCTTCCTGAGGCAGCTGAAGAAACTCAACCTGCCAAAGACGATGATGGTCCACTTCTACACGGCCACCATGGAGTCCATCCTCTGATCCTCCATCACCGTCTGGTACGCTGCAGCCACAGCCAAGGACAAGGGCAGGCTGCAGCGCGTCCTCCGCTCTGCAGAGAGGCTGATCGGCTGCAATCTGCCGTCCCTGCAGGACTTGTTCGCTTCCAGGTCTCTGAAGCAAGCTAAAAAGATGGTAGCCGACCCCTCTCACCTCAAAACCTGTTTGTGCCCCTTCCATCTGGCAGGAGGCTGAGGTCCATCAGGACTAAGACCTCCCGCCACACCAACAGTTTCTTCCCGTCGGCAGTCGGGCTCATGAAGAGAGCCGGTCCCCCCACTGACTGACTATAACATTCCACCGGTCACTCCCCTTCACACTGCATTGTTATTTATCACTTTGTCGTCACTCGTTACTTTGTTACTTGGTCGCTAGTGCACTTTATGCTTAATATTTTTAAACTTTTTAAATATTTTAAATTTTTAACTTTCTTCTCTTGTTTTACACTAACCCATAGCCTTATTCTACTAACCCATTGCATTAGCCTTTCATTTTACTTTATTTTATTACTTGTGCACTGTTGTCTTGTTGTCTATTGTTACACTGTCTACTGACACGCACCAACCGCCAAGACAAATTCCTTGTATGTTTGACATATTTTGGCAATAAATGTTTCCTGATTCCTGATGAGAAAACCTTCCACAACAGTCGGAGGCGGTGCGTTCAATGGAGTCTGGGAAATTAGTCCTTTACTGATTCTGCTCCTCCCTTACCGTGGTGGTGTAACATTGTAAAATACATTTGAACGTTTTGATTATTTGTGTTGTTTGTGTAAGGGAGGAATCCTGCACTTGTTTACTTTATTATATAAATAGTTTATTTTATTTTATAAAAAACTGTGTGTTTAGTGTCCGGAGAAGCCATTGGTGGAAAGTAACTAACTACATTACTCAAGTAATGCATTTAATTACTATTTAATTAATTATTTTGGTACTTTGACACCAATCAATTTCTCTTAGATATGAGCTAAAATGTCACGCCTATCATATTTAAAGTCATAACTATGACGATGATTCTACCAACACCCTAAAAATAAAAAAAAACATTTTTCTACAAACGCCCCACGAGGACACGCCTCCAATACGTGGCCCCGTGACGCCACCGCGTCACGCCAACCGAGCCCCGTGATTGGCCGCTCTGACCGACCAGCCAGGTCGAACGGGGAGGCAAAAAAAACAGAAGAGCCGCAAACACACACCCGCGACCGCCGCGTCCCCTTCTTCGCGTCCCCGCGTCCTCCTCGGATCCACGTCCACGTCCCCGGCCACCGAGACACCGCCGCCATGGGGTGTTTCTTCTCCAAGAAGTCCAAGCGGAAGCCCTCCGAGAGTGACGAGCGGACGACGACCGTCGACACCGCGGCGACGGGCAACGCGGCGTCGCTTGGCAACAGCGGCGGCGGGGAGGAGCCGCGGCAGTACAGCTGGGACAAGAGGGAGAAGGCGAGCGTAGAACTCACCGCGGTGCCGTCGCGTCCCGGTTACTTAATCATTCGTTTGATTAATCTGCAGATTAGCCATCGTCAAGCGGGAAGCGCGCGCCGCGCTAAACCGTCGGTGGGCGCGTTGTGCAAACTGTCACGTGGTTTACGTCATTGGCGTTGCAGCGGGGATTTCCTGTAACACGCAGACCAGCGAGATTCCTGTCGTTAATTCAAACACTGCGGAATACGACTCGCTGTAAATGTACACTATTAACTACATTATTACTACAATGTACAACAGCTTTTTAATGTATATGCAGTGACAGTCAAGAGGACATATTTTCTTATTCAATTTGATGAGAAAATGTGTCCAAACATTTTGAGTGGTTCTGAATTATAATCATTAACATATTGTTGTCTTTGCTCGTGGTGTGAACTACACACTGTGCACAATTAGGGGAAGCAGAGATGGAGGAAGTGTTCACATCCTCTGCTGCAGTAAAAGTACCAAAACCACATGTAGAGTAAGCGTAAAACGAAACAACCGCAGCGCTGCTCCTGTTTGAATACTGAATTCTGTTTATAGAAAAAAAAAAAAACAATCCTACAAATCCTTAACTTGTCTTCAGCTCGTGATTTTTTTTTATTTTCTCTCCCATAACAGCGGCGTCTCTAAATAATCAGTTCTGCTTGAGTGGCGTGCGACTCTGGGCCGAGTGGCGTGCATTCTGGGCCGAGAGCCCTCAAAGCTGGTCCCTCTCACTGCTCCTCTATCTCATTATGGGATTACCTCACGCTCAACATGGCTGCTGCCTCCTCTTCTTCTTCAGCGGTGGTTCTACTTCCGCTCGTCGCGAGTCAAACTGTCAAACCGTGATCGACCACGTCAGACTGTCGCCGGGGAAACGGCTCGATAAGTCAAATAACATCAGTTGCCACGCGCGGCGAGGAGAGTAAGGCACACGGAGGAAGCAACGCGTCGCCTCCTTTTAGGCCCCGTTGGCCGGTTTAATCTACAGCATGGCATCTTCTGTAAGAGTACGATATGCAGTAGTAGAGAAGTAGGAAGTACTTGGTAAAGTACATGTACCTCAAATATGTTATATGTGAACTACTTGAGTAAATGTGCTTCGTTAGTCCCGACCTCAATCTGTCGTTCGGCCTCAAGCGTCGTCGCCTGCAGCATTTCTGCTTTTATTTTGTCAAAATAAATAATCTTCTTCTCAATCGTTTTTCATTGGACGACTGGAGGTGTTTCTGTCCTGTTCGTTGTACTTCCCTTTACTGATTGTGCTTGTACCTCATTTAGCGTCCATAAACCTGTGTGTGAGCAGGTGACCTCTGACCCCGTGACCACTTTGCGCCCAGGTGGACCCTAAAGACTACATGCTGACGGGGCTCAAGGACGTGACGGTGGGCCGGCTGCCCGGCAAGCTCGGCGGCCAGCAGTTCGTCATCCAGGACTGCGAGAACTGCGACATCTACGTGTTCGACCACTCGGCCGCCGTCACCATCGACGACTGCGTCAACTGCCGCGTGGTGCTCGGCCCCGCCAAGGGCAGCGTGTTCTTCCGGGACTGCAGGGACGTCAAGTGCGTGGTGGCCTGCCAGCAGTTCCGCACGCGGGACTGCAAGAAGATGGAGGTGTTCCTGTGCTGCGCCACGCAGCCCATCATCGAGTCGTCCACGGGCATGAGGTTCGGCTGCTTCCAGTACTTCTACCCCGAGCTGGCCTTCCACTTCAAGGACGCCGGGCTGAGCGTCTTCAACAACAACTGGAGCAACGTCCACGACTTCACGCCGGTGTCCGGGGAGACCAACTGGAGCCTGCTGCCGGAGGCCTCGGCCGTCCTGGAGTCGGTGCCGCCTCCGGGCCCCGAGTCCGAGTTCAAGTCCGTTCGGATCTCCGCCGACGCCGAGCGCAGCATCGTGCCTTTGACGACGGGGGGGCGGCGGAAGGCCAGCGAGGAGTCCTGCCTCTTTGTCTTCTTCGCCGGAGAGTACAGCACGGCGAACGCCCGCAAGCTGATCGACGAGGTGAGTGCGAGGACGGGAAGACGCTCCAAACACACGCTCGCATTAAGAGCATAGAACAATTGTTTTTATTCTCTGAATTATTGCTTTTTTTTAATTTTGGAGCATAATTGTTAAAACCAGGTCACTAGTTTAAACCAGGCAACCTGATTATGACGAGTAAAGCTTCGTGTGTTAAAGCTGCATTCTCTACAGTGACCAGCAGGGGGCGACTCCTCTGCTCCCATAGACGTCTATGAGGAAATGACTCTACTTCTCTGTAGTGACCAGCAGGGGGCGACTCCTCTGCTCCCATAGACGTCTATGAGGAAATGACTCTACTTCTCTGTAGTGACCAGCAGGGGGCGACTCCTCTGCTCCCATAGACGTCTATGAGGAAATGACTCTACTTCTCTGTAGTGACCAGCAGGGGGCGACTCCTCTGCTCCCATAGACGTCTATGAGGAAATGACTCTACTTCTCTGTAGTGACCAGCAGGGGGCGACTCCTCTGCTCCCATAGACGTCTATGAGGAAATGACTCTACTTCTCTGTAGTGACCAGCAGGGGGCGACTCCTCTGCTCCCATAGACGTCTATGAGGAAATGACTCTACTTCTCTCTTGATTTATTCCCTCAGTAAACATTGTAAACATGAGTTTATGGTCTGAATCTGTAGTTTCAAGTCTTCAGTACAGCATGATGCTCATGATGCTAAACATAATTCTTTCTGTTATTTGTTTTTTTAAATCATAGGTAGCTTTTATTGTTATGTGAGTTCCATATTTATCACATTTACCTTTCACCATCCAGTCGAATCAGACCTCAAACTTCAGAGAGCCGCCTCGACATTCCAGCGATGTTTGTGTGTGCGAACGTTCCTCCGTCACGGAACAATCTGGTTCATCTCCTCCGCTGCCTTTCTCCAAGTGGAGGATTCTCTGAACGCCTCTGAACGTTTTCTTGAACAGGCCTCTGCCAAAGGCTTCGTGCTCATCCAGACGAAGGAGGTGTCCATGCGGCCTGAAGACGTGAAGAGGGTGTTTCAGAACAGCGCCGAGTCCCTGGTGGAGTGTGTCACTAACGGTAGGTTGCAGTTTGGGTGCTGGTGTTGTTGTTGTTGTTGTTGTTGCTGCTCAGCAACTCAATTTCCTGTTTTCATTCAGTGAGAGAATCAGTTGCGTTGCTCATCAGCCGAGTCTCAAAGGGACGGCAGCGACGCTAAGCGGTGTGTTTGTGCGTCTCTACTGGAGCAGAGCGATGTTCCACTGTAAACGTATCTTATGCATCTAAAATACGCTTTATCATTTTCTATATTTCCACCTTTCTGGTGGAAACTGAAGCCGTTTTCTATGATCTCTACAAAGACACCAGACTTCATTCACAAAAAGAGTCGTTTTTACTTTTGCTCAGACGTTACTTTGGAAAAGTGTCATTAAAGTTCCTCTCCGGTCTGAAGGGCCGGTCATCGCCCTGGAGCTGAGCGGGGACGGCGTGGTGGAGGCCTGCAGGAGCATCGCCGACGAGGTGTTCAGCGGCACCAAGGTCCGGCTCGTCCGCTTCCTCCGCTCTTATCTGATCGTTTCGGCAGAAGCTCGTCTGAAGTAACTTGCATGTCGTTTTTATTCTTATCCTCCGCAGGTCTTCGTCTCCGATAACAAAAACACGTCCTCCAGAGACGTCGACAGCTTCTTCAACTTCGCCGACATGCAGATGGGCTTGTGAGCGAGCCGAGTGGCCTGAACAAAAACGGACGCCCCCTGAACGCCCCCGTGTGAGCAGCTTGTTTTTAATCCTCAAAAGAAATTTCGAGACGCAGCGGCACGTTTTACGCTCTGGTTTTCATGGAGAAATCCGCACGAGTCTGCAGATCAAAGTCTCTCCCCCCCGTTTGTCTAAAAACATCAGCTGCAAACATCTTAACAGCCGTCGCTGAGAGTGTTAAGATGTTTATCCCTACGAATGTATCCCGTTGCTTTTATCGATTTGTGAATGTAGCTCTCTGCTGTCATTGTAATTCATTTTTTAATTTAAAGCTTTGTTTTTATTAATGGAAAACACGAGTACACAAATGTTCTTTCCTACAAGGTGTGTGTGTGTGTGTGTGTGTGTGTTTACATTCATACGTGTGAACACTTGTGTTCTAGCTGTTTTTTGTGACTTAGCCAACACCTGTGAGCGTTATTATTTTTGTAATATGTGTTTTATACTGTGTTTTTGTACATGCACACATGACTTGCTCCCAGCTGTGCTGTTATTGAGCCGACGTGAAGAAGCCGCAGACCTGAGTGCAAAACGTCCGTCTAGTCAGCAGCACGAACCTCTCAGAGTCTTAAAGGGATGGACGATGTTTTAGTGTGTTCTTCTCCGTGTGTTACCACAGCAGATGTATTTTAGACACCTCCGATGATAATCTACTTATTGTTTAATCAAACGTTCCATGGAGACTATTTCCACCCCTTTACCTTCCTGCCGGGGGATTCAAGCTTTCATCTTTCTGACTCATTCACAGAAACAGGAGCTGCTCTGCTGCTGACTGCGTCTTTTACTGCTTCTTTGTGGTATTGTGTGTTTGTTTTTTTTAAAGCGTTTAAATTTCATCATGAAAGTCTCACAATAACACAAACTAGCTAATGAAGGCGGCAGTAGAGCAGCAGCAATCCGCTCTGTTCCGAGAGGTAAAATCACCAGTTTTGTGAATGGAGTCTGGTGACGGCTTCAGGAAGGCCTGTCGACAAATACAAACTATCCATTGAAGAGCACGTTGTGTTGCTGTTAGACATTTTGAGAACAAGCTGGAATTGTTTTATTTGAGCTGGTAAAACGTTAAGTCAGATAATTATTCTCCTTTTTTACGTCGCTTTTAGAGGCAGCGCTTTAACGTCGGAGCCTAAACAACACTTTAGAATCCCAGTAAAAAGCTTTTTGGATTCGATTGATCCGACCAATAGGAAACCAAACGAGACCGATGGGATTTCATCAAACACGTTGCAGCTTCAGTCAAAGCTAAATCGAACCTTTTTGGTCTGTTCACTTGCCTTTTAAGAGAAACTAACAGAGGGACGTCCTGTGATGTACTTTTGTAATTGTGAACCTTTTGTACTCGAGCACGCGTTGTGTTTTTTGTAGAGAACGCTCGTCTGTCTGTGATTTGTGGTTTGGACTCTTAAAACAAAACCGTGTCTTTGTACATTAAAAGCTGGAGGACACCTGAACGCACCGACTGGTTATTTAACACCATGTTTTATTCTTTTTCATCAATATCAAACTGTCAGTTAATAATATGAATCAGCGAGAGGATGAAAGAGCGAAGAGACGTTTGATCTCTAAAGGAAATATTTCATTCACCAAATGTTCTTCAGAACTAATTTGTGCTTAATCCCCATTTACGCAGTTTTCACAAAGATTCTGGCATTTGCCAATGTTTTCTTATTTGGGATTTGTTCTTCGGTAAGAACAGAGTTCACGCACACACACGAGCACTCGTACACACAATTAAGAGCTGACATGTTAGCGCAAAATAAGTAGTCATACTGTTTTTGGCCGTTCGAATTTAAAATGGAATATTATTCTAAGATTGCACCTGCGAACAATTCCGCTGTTTAGGAACACGTCATGAATCACACGTAGACTTTTCTACTTTAAGAACAAAACTCAAGAGAGTTACAGAAAACGGTCCCATTCTGACTCTGATGAAGCCTCCAGCAAGGAGCAGCATGCAAACTATTAAATCCCCCAAAAAGAAGACTTTTGCAGACTTTCTTAATTTCTATGTTTTTATGGTGGAATCGTATTAAATATCACAAATACATAAAATTCCTCAGAGAGCTTTACAATTTTTCCTACAACTGCAGCACTTTGACCCTCAGATCAGATGAGGAATAATAAAATATATCAAAGAAAATAAGATGAAACAAAAGGAGAGGAAAGGAATAAAAATCATTCTTTGATGGGTTTTATGGAACAAAGTTAGTGCAACTATACTTATACTGTACTTAAGTACAATTTACAATTTAGTTACTTTTCAGATGTAAATCATTTGTAAAAAGAATGAACTAAAATGGTGATGCATCGTTGTAGATTAAATGACAACAACAATGATAAGAAATCCGCTAATTTATCGCCCTCAACATAAATACAATAATGCCTTATTTTGAATCAGTCATTTCACTGTTGCTACTTCCATGCCAGTTCATTACGTGTTTCCTCTTTTAATTTGTAATTGGTGAAAGACCCGTGTCTTCCTGCCGCTACTGGAGGTTAGCGCCAGTTGTACAATCGAGCGCACCCAGCGTTGGAGGGAAGCGACGGGATTTAGGACCCGGGGGGAGGCGCGGTACAATAGAGCCGTTGTGCCGTGGTGGAGGACCGACTGCTACCCAGGAGAGCCCCTCTGTGGTCGGATACAAACTCCCAGATCCCCCCCCCTCCTCCCGCCCGCAGCCAGAACCAGAGCCGCGGTAGTTTTTTCCCCCGGTACATGTTGGACGCGGTATCCGGACGGATATGCGGCTGGAATAAGGCGGACGGCAGCGAGCGGACTGGAGGTAAAACCATAACGCGGGGGGGAACGTGAAACAGTATGTGCGTGAGTTGGGAGAGGGCGCTGCGTGAGACAGGATTTACCCCGGATGGTGAATCCAGGCCACGGGGCCTGGTCCCCCGTCACTCCGTCGCTGCCGCGTACGTGCTAGCGAGCGTTAGCCTGCCGCGCGACACTGACAGCGGACTCAACGACTACGGGACAACGGGATGCGTTGTAGTTTGGTCTTGGTGGATGTAGGAAGTGACATCTTTGTGAGGATGGCGCCCACGTTTGATTCCCCCTCAGTCTGCAGTGCAGCCCGCCGGAGGCCCGGATGTTAGCTCGAGTGGGAGCGAGGAAGCCGAAGTTAGCTTCACGTTCGAGGCTTCCGATCTGGCATTTGGGGGCAGATCCAACACACGTCGCTGAGCGACCTGTCCTCCCTTTTTTTTAATTTAACGGTTAAATAAATAAGAGGGCAGATTCATCACTTTTATCCTCACGTGTTGATCACATTGAACCAGGTGTCTTTTACCAAAAGTCGGTAACAAGCAGTCCTTTATTCTGTTGAACCGGAGTCACAAACCCCGGACTGGTCAAACCAGGACTTTGATAGATGATCAGAGGAAACATGAGACTCTTAAAAACCCAGTTTGACATTTCATTAAAAAAACTTGAATTACATAAAAACGATTATTAACAGCGGAATAAAATAAACCTCTGACTTTGTGTCCGAATGGGAAACTCACTTCAGCGTGTGTGAGTTTGTGTTTGGCGCCATCGCGGCTGTTACGTCACAGATATCCGTACATTGAATGCAGCATATGAGGGAATACATGTAAACAAAGGCCGCCATTGTTCCTGTTACCCAGAAAGCTCACGTGTGATGTCATAACCGTGTACATTCACAGGCGGCCGCCCTCATTATTTTACACCAGGTATAAATTAACGAATCTATACTATTAATAATGAATACGGGTTTAGCGGATGAACGAAAACCAGGAAATATTTACATTTAAGAAGCTGCATCCAGAGAATTCTTCATTTCTATCGAAATATTTCACCGGTTTCACCACATCTTTTCTATATCACCGCCATCATTCTGCTCGTTGGCTTGTATTTAGGATTTGATACAATAATAAGTAAACTACCAATGAATGGTTTCTTTTTGACTTTTAAATGTCTCTCCACGCTGTTTATCGTTCAGCTGCTTCTAGAAGGTGTTTAAAGATTCTCCTCCTCTTCCTCAGGATGTTACAGGATGAAACGTCTCAGGTCGTCCAGCAGTAGCGACACTTCTGACAATGAGAGTGAGTCCCGTCTCCGTGAACTCGAGGCCGTTTCCTTCTGCTCCCCCGCTGCTCTTTTTTTATTTTTTTATTCACGCACTTCGTTCTTCAATCAGGTCCCTCCACCTCCTTCTGCTCCTCCCACAAGTATGGAGGCGGCAAACCCGAAGCTCCGGCCGCCAACCAGAAGAAACCGGCTGAAGTAGATCCCCTCCTTCACCACACCTCCCTGCAGTCGTAGCTGACCTCCGTTGTACAGGCGAGGACGAGTGTCTCATGAGTTTGTCCCCCCCCCCAGGTGTTCAGAAAAGACTTGATCAGCGCCATGAAGCTGCCCGACTCCCACCACGTGTCCCCGGAGGACTACTACCTGCTGGCGGACGCCTGGAAGCAGGACTGGGAGAAGGGGGTGCAGGTGCTGGCGAGTCCAGACACCATCCCCGAGCCCTCCGTCAGGTAACGCCTTCTATTCCCTGCTGGATCCATCCAGATCATTCCGTGCGCGCGGTGCTGACACCCCCCCCCCCTCCTCCCCCCACCGTGTGGTGTTGTCTTCAGAGTCATGGAGGAGAAGCCCAAAGAGGTTCTCTACACGCACCAGAAGAAGCACATCCAGTGCTCGAGCCTGGAGTCCACGGAGCCGGGCTACGTCGCCATCAAGGAGCTGGCGGAGGCCATGTGCCGCTACGACCTGGACGACATGGACCTCCACTGGCTGCAGGCGCTCAACCGAGAGCTGGACCGCATGGGTAAAGGACCCCGGCGCGTTCCCGCTGCGTACCCCGGGGGGGGCCTTGTGGCCCCGCTTCCACGTCTAAAGCTCCACCCGCTCATCCAACGTTCATGTAACCCCGACTACTTAAACCAGCCGACGGTATCGTTCTCCTTTAACGCTCAATTAAGACTCTGTAGAGCTTTTTGATTCAGAAGTAGCCAGAAGATGGTCTCTGGTTGTGGTGATCTACCTGTAAATGGATCTTATTAAGGACCAGTGGTGCATCATTATAATCTTATGACTCAGTTACACAATGCGATCACTGACGTAAATGCTTTTCTCTTAACATGTAAAAGAACAATCCAAGTGTGACCGGCACATTCTGCATCATTTGATATCTCATTTCATTTTCATTCACGATCATTGAAGTGCTCCATTGTTGTGTCTTTTCCATTTAAATGCTCTGCCTCCCCAGGCGAGGAGCCCGTGCACGAGCTGACGATGGAGCGCGCCATGGAGGCCCTGGAGAGCCAGTGCCACGACAACATGAACCACGCCATCGAGACGGTGGAGGGCCTCGGCATCGAGTACGACGAGGACGTCATCTGCGACGTGTGCCGCTCCCCCGACAGCGAGGAGGGCAACGACATGGTGTTCTGTGACAAGTGCAACATCTGCGTGCACCAGGTAACCGCGGCAACGCTCTAACATTGTTTAAAAAGTGTTGCATATTTAACGAAAGGACACCTCACTCATATTTTATGGACCTAACATTTAAAAAATCTTATAGATTAATTCATTATCTTAATGTCAGTAATTGACTGGGAAAGTTTCTATTATTATTATTATTATTATTAATTGTTTTATTCAAAGGTAACTTTGTTTAACCTTCTTTAAGGATCTGATGTATGACTCATTCTTATTGATTTATACATCTTCCTCTATTGAAGTTGCTTTGTAAAACGGATGCATAACGAGAAGCGTCCCCCTCACAGGCCTGCTATGGAATCGTCAAAGTGCCGGTTGGGAACTGGCTGTGCAGGACGTGTGTCCTCGGCATCGACCCTCAGTGTCTCTTGTGCCCTCAGAAGGGGGGGGCCATGAAGGCCACACGAGCCGGCACCAAGTGGGCTCACGTGAGCTGTGCTCTGTGGATCCCAGAGGTACACACACACACACACACACACACACACACAGGGCTGTCGCGCTGCAGGGAGCGTTGAATAACCTCACCGTGTCGTCCCTTCGCAGGTGAGCATCGCTTGTCCCGAGAGGATGGAGCCCATCACCAAAGTGTCCCACATCCCCCCCAGCCGCTGGTCGCTCATCTGCAGTCTGTGTAAATGGAAGACGGGCGCTTGTATCCAGGTGAGGCAGCTGGTTAGCTTAGCTTAGCTTAGCTTAGCTTGAATACTGGAGGTCCTCCTCCTTATTTTATACGAAGTAACGCGCCCGTGTTCTGCTCCCAGTGCTCGGTGAAGAACTGCACCACTCCCTTCCACGTGACCTGCGCCTTCGAGCACAGCCTGGAGATGAAGACCATCCTGGACGAAGGCGACGAGGTGAAGTTCAAGTCGTACTGCCTGAAGCACAGCCAGCCCAAGGCCGGGGAGGCCGGCCCGGGCCCGGCTCGCTCCAAGCCCGCCGGCGACGCCCAGAAGGCGGGTCCGCGCGCCCAGAGGCTGCGGGAGCTGGAGGAGGAGTTCTACACGCTGGTGCAGCAGGAGGATCTGTCCCGGGCCCTCGGGCTGCCGGCGCGCCTGCTGGACTTCATCTGTCAGTACTGGAAGCTGAAGAGGAGGGCCAACTTCAACCGGGCCCTGCTGCCCCCCAAGGAGGACGAGGAGAACCTGGTGCTGCAGCCGCAGGAGGACAGCATCCACACGCGCATGAGGATGTTCATGCACCTGAGACAGGACTTGGAGAGGGTGGGTGTCTCATGAAATGCTTTTATTGCTTCTTCCTTCATGCCTGAGCCTTCTGGCTGTTTGAGTACAGAACATCATATCACGGTTTAAGGGAACTGGACATTAAAAAAAGCAACATGCGTTGTTTGTTCCTGGAGGACATTAAGCTAGACGTCCAAACGTCTCCCACAGTATTTGGTTTATTATCAGGAAAGAAGGACAAGAAGCAGACTGGAGAATCTGGTTTCCACTTTCTCTCCGTGAGCTCGGTCCGTCTCACGAGCAGGACGTTCATTTGAAGCTCTCTTCCTCTCTGCAGGTGAGGAACTTGTGTTACATGGTGAGCCGGCGGGAGAAGCTGAAGGTGCTGCAGAGCAAAGCTCATGAGCAGATGTTCAACCTGCACGTGAAGCTCCTGAACCAGGAGCTCTCAGCCGGTGAGCCGTCCCTCCCTCCGTCTGTCCGTCCCCCTCGTTGTCCATTGCCACGCCGCTGAACGTGTCTCTCTGCTTCTCTTCCGCCTCCAGGTCTTCCCTCTTCGTCTCCGGCGGAGAGCCTGCTGTTCCGTCCTCCTCCTCGGATCACGCTGAAGCTCAAAATGCCCAAACCCTCCGGCCCGGGAAACGGAAACGCCGGCTCCAAGTCCGGCAACGGGCCGCTGTGCCCGGACCACAGCGGCAACGTGGGCGAGGGCGAGGGCCTGGGCCAGGGGAAGCCCCAGCTGCACGGCCGGGGCCGCCGCGAGGAGCGCCCCAACGGCCGCCTCACGTCCTCCTCCTCCTCCGGCCGCGGCCCGGCCCCGCTGCCCGGCGGCAAGCCGCTGGCCCTGCACGCCGCGCTCCACGGAGGCCACTCCTCCAACGGCAGGCCGGACCCGGACCGCAAGTCCAACGGCCTCTCGGAGAAGCCGGCGGCGCTGAAGGACAGCTCCTGCCAGACGCCCGGCGACCCGGACGCCTCGGCGCCGGCCCTGGAGAAGAGCGGCCTGCGCAAGTCGGCCATGGAGCACTTCGGCCGGTCCTTCAAGGAGGCCACCATCAACTTGGTGCGGACCACCGAGGACCTGCGGGCCTCCGACAAACTGTCCCGGAAGGGCGGCGCCAAGGAGCGGCTGTGGGCCAAGCCCGAGCACCGGGCCAAGGGCGGCAGGTCGTACCAGGACAGCGACGGCTACTGTCCCGACCTGGAGCTCAGCGACTCTGAGCCGGAGGCCAAAGGGAGGCGGCGGCAGGTCGGCCCGCCGGACGCCGGGGGGAAGGGGGTCGGCCGCGGGAAGCAGTCGCTGGCCTCCAGGCACGCCGTGCAGAGGTGACGGCCGCTCGACCGCTCCGTCCTCCCAAGTGGCCGGGACGAGGATCAGGGGCCGGGACGAGGACCCAGGGGGACTCTGCAGAGTGTCCACGGAGGGTTTTCGGTCCTCCTAAAAACGCGTGAGACAGTCTTCAGAGACGGAGATTATCATGGTTGTTTTCATTGTGACCAGAATCACATTTTGTTCCCTGCTCACGGTGTAAACCCCCCCCCCCCCCCCCCCTAAACCCTGCTGGACATGGTTGTACACAGGATGGTCACGCCAGGATGGCAATCATGTTCCACTGAATCACAACGCTCCACTTTATTGACACTTCAAACATCCTGTCGACGTGTACGGAATCTACTTTTGTATTTTTTCATTTTTGTATGAAGAATAGCAACATGTAACACACGTATGACCATGAACCGTGTGTTCAGAGTGATGGGCGAGCATGTGCGACGGGTGATGAACCGTCCTGCAGCTGTTTCTTGCACATCTGTTTTGGTGACCTTTTGTGCGAGGTCGTAGGTCATGAACACAAGAGTCCCGTCTGTGAGTAGAAATGCACCGTTTAACACTATTAGTAGGATTCTGTCTGAAATCAAAGCTCTTGTCTCAAAGTGGGCACGAAACAAGCGATGCTCCACCCTGTGACGTAGTTCAGATGAGTGACGGATGTCTGCGTCTGAGGGTCACATGACCAGCCTTCATCGTCTTCTTCTCTTTGTTTTGATAATAAACAGCTGGTTCACTACTTCTGCACGTCGTTACGGTTCTTTCATCGACTCCCAAAAAAAAGCTTTATTTTTTTTTAAATTTCATTTCATCAGATGTTTGATGGTGTCTCAATTTAAATATAAAACTAACTGAATCTGGATGTTGAATAAATAATATGACCTTCATTTGGTGCCAACGTTCAGTCTGACTTTTATTCAGTTATTTAAGTTCTCCGTGTCTGAAAAATACAAATACTTAAGTTTAAATATTTTAGTGTTGAGAGGAATCAGTGTTTTACAGCAAAGAAATTACTTAAAATAATCACATAATCACATCAGTTTTAGTTAAGGACGTTGAAATGTTTTCACCACTTCATCAAGGACACCAGACTCCATTCGTAAAAACACTTATTTTAGAGAAGCGCCCCACGTCTTCACTGTTTTTAGTTGAGTTCTGACCTTAATAGTCAAATTATACATATTCTATAAAACATTTTACATATATATATTTCGTACATATAAAAAATATTGTTGTATATAAAAATATTTTCAAGACATTTTATTTAAAATATATTTTATAAACATTTAATATAAAAAATGTTATACTTCATACAACAAATAAGTATTTTATATATAACATTTAGAAGAGCCAGTGTTTTATCAGCACATCCATACATTAAAGAACTGTTGCCGGTTCGTGTTGTGCAGTCGACGGTGTAATAAATGAGTCTTGGACTGAACTTCCCGGTTGTGAACGAATGAAACGGTGGCGTTATTTACGGGGCTCGTGTGCTGTTGATGCAGTTTAACCTCGTTTCCCCACGTCGCTTTAAGCCGTTTCAGGGCTTATCGACCCGCTGAAGGAGCCGAGGAGGACCGGCCGACGGAGTAATCACAAACCAGCAGTTTGCAATAAGTTTGCAAGTTGAGCAATGAGGCCAAAGGTCACCGGTCTCTTCTTTCAGCTTCATATGAAGACGACGTCTTTAACTCGTTCATTAGACACTCGAATTTTTTTTACTTGACCTTTATTTAACCAGTTAAAATCCATTGAGAACCAGGTGAGGTGTTTTGAACTGAGTTCCAATCATTTGCAGCGGTTACGAGTGAGTTATGACCAAACACAGTACGGACTTTCAGTCACTGGATCTTAAATAAATACATATACACTGGATCTCTTATTAGTGTGATTGACAGGCCTCTACATCCTCCTCAGTCCAAATACCTTCACTTGCATATTTTTATGTGGCCCATGGAGGCTTCACGAGGTCTGGACGCCGGAGTCCATTCAGTCACCCATTTAGTTCAAATAAACAAATAGGAATTCTCCGTGGATCATTATGAGTGGTCGGAGCCGGCGTCTCATTTTGTTGCTGCAGTATCACAAGTGGCCACCAGGAGGCAGCGGTGTGCCGGGTCTTTATTACTTTATTATCCATTTGTCTTTGATATTTACGAGTCGCGATCCTGTGTTTGCTGGGCATCAAAAAATGAAACATTAATAATCCTAATGTGTTATTGACCTTTGACCTTCGGTCTACGGTGATAATCAACTCCCGCTTTATAAACATGGCAGCGCTTTAAGGGGAAGCTAAGAGGTGATTGTCTTACCTCTGGCCACACCCATCGGTGACGTCACCCCAGGTGTTTCTTTGGATAACAGCGGAAGTGACGTCGTGCAGGGCTGAAGTTTTGCACGTCTCCAGCGATAGAGGTAGAGAGGTGGATCATATTTATAGAATTATAGAAATAATACTGGTGTTTTTGCACAACTCCCACCTCATGATATGTTTCAACCAAAATTAAGTATTCATGAGGAATCATAAAAACATAAACAAACATAATCATGTATTAATCTCGCCTCCGTTTAGATAATAATAGAAACAATATTTTTTATTCATTTTTTGTGAAATTTATGTGAACGTTCCACGTCTAATACGGTGAAACTCTTTAATTGATCGCCTTATTATTTGAACATTTTAATTAAGATGGGGTCTTTAAGAGGCATCTGCTGATCTGTCAGCAGGCGTGGTGCCTCCACCCCCCCCTCCCTCCCTCCCTCTCCGGTCCCTTCAGCCCGCTCACTCCGCTGCTGCACCGCCGGGACACCGGCAGACACCGCCCGGTCAACTCGCCCGCGGATCGATCGACCGACCGGCCGTCGCGGATGATCGATGAGCGGAGCCGAGAGGCGCGCGCCCGGGATCCTCCGTCCTCGTGGTCCGCGGCTCTGCAGGTGCAAGAGGAGCCCGGACGAGTCTGCCGCTTTATCTCACCACGTCATACGTGTTTCATCCGCAGCCATGACGTCATCTGACGCGTTTGCGACGGACGTCCTGTGGCGCTCGCCTCCGGCGTCGGTCTCTGCGGCGGTTTGACCGGTTCCGCCGGTTCCGCCGGTCCGGTGAGAGGAGGCGGCAGCTGCCGCAGTTTGATCCGGTAAGTGCGAGATGAACAGAGACCCACAGGAGGAGGGGGGGTGCTGAAGTTTACTTTGACGTCATCATGAACCCCCCAAACTGAACATGGAGGTCTCACAATATATTTAAACGTTAGTAATAAAAACTACAATATTATTAATGGAAACAAATAATGATAATTACATCATAATGGGAATAAAAGAATAAGAAAGATACAATCGTTGTGATGGTAAGTTATAATAACAACATTTATTGTGTGTCCACTGAGGGCGCACAATGTCCTCGGGGAGTCTGGACGAGCTGCCCATGGAGAGCTGGATGTCTCACCTGCCGCGCGCCCTGTGGGACACGCCCCTGTACCACCTGGCCATCCCAGGTAGGCCGCGGGGGTTTAATGACAGACGCTCAACCCGGAGAGACACCAGATGGAACTTTATGACGCTCTGTCAGGATTCTTTTACACATGGTTGCACGGGGAGGGAGGGGGGGGGGGGGTGTATGCAAAGAAGCGCACACGTAGAGGCAGTAGGCAGCGTGGACGCGATAGAGCTCGTGTCAGTACGGCGCCATAGAAATGGGAGCGGTCACGTTTGCGAGAGTATCTGGGCGGCTCTTCGTCTCTATTTGCGTGCGGTCCCCTTACCCTTTGCATGTGCGTTGAGCCCTCGGGGGGGCGGCGCCATTTTCTACAACACAAAACCAATCAAAGGGCTTAGCGGTGATTCTGTGTACACCCCCCCCCTCTCCATTAGGCAGCCACAACGCAATAACCTACTGTCTGGATATGAATGACCGATCCCCAGTGGACCTCACGCAGCCAGACCTGCTGCAGAAGCTGGACAAATACATGAAGCCTCTCATTCGCCCCTTTGTGTACAAGTGGGCGGTGACCCAGGTAACGAACGCGCTTCCGCATCGCTCGCCGTTAAGTCCCCCGGACCAGGTGCCTTGAGCCGTGCGTCCCGTGTCCCCGCAGGAGCGCACCATAAGGCAGCAGCTGGACTCGGGCGTCCGATACTGCGACCTGAGAATCGCGCGCAGGCCCAACGACAGCTCCGGCGACCTGTGCTTCTACCACGGCGTTTACACCGCGCTCACTGTGGAGGTGAGGCCGATCTCACACACACACACACATGCGAGCGCACACGCGTGTACACCATGTTCCCACAGTGACATTTATGCTCCTTAAAGGTCAGCCGCCGTGCTCGGTGAACACATCGTCCTTTAATCAGACGCATCACGTGGATCATTACGGGTGTTTTTTAACGTTATTGAAGTGGAAACACAGCATTGTTATTTAAAACCCTTTTTTAATTTGACTGAGAAGCCACGACTTGAAGTAACAGTAGTCGTAAAAGGTGCAGCGGGGGAACGATTGGTCTCTAAGTTACAATAATTTACTAAATGAACATCATGCTGTGTTGAAGAAGACTTTAAACTAGAGATTTTTTACATGTTTACTGAGGGAATAAATCAAGAGAGAAGTAGAGTCATTTCCTCATAGACGTCTATGGGAGCAGAGGAGTCGCCCCCTGCTGGTCACTACAGAGAAGTAGAGTCGTTTCCTCATAGACGTCTATGGGAGCAGAGGAGTCGCCCCCTGCTGGTCACTACAGAGAAGTAGAGTCATTTCCTCATAGACGTCTATGGGAGCAGAGGAGTCGCCCCCTGCTGGTCACTACAGAGAAGTAGAGTCATTTCCTCATAGACGTCTATGGGAGCAGAGGAGTCGCCCCCTGCTGGTCACTACAGAGAAGTAGAGTCATTTCCTCATAGACGTCTATGGGAGCAGAGGAGTCGCCCCCTGCTGGTCACTACAGAGAAGTAGAGTCATTTCCTCATAGACGTCTATGGGAGCAGAGGAGTCGCCCCCTGCTGGTAACTGCATAGAATGCAGCTTTAACACGTGAAGCTTTCACCACGTTTTCATGTGGAGCTGCAAACCTTGTTCATCCAGAGCTGGGAGGTTGTTCCAGACCTCCATCCCATCAGACCCGTGACGTTCCCACCACGTACCACACACTTGGCGTAGCTCCAGGTGATTCAAAATGGCAGCGGAGGCTCACGTTGTGTTTCTCTCCCATCAGACGGTTCTAATGGAGATCAGAGAGTGGCTGGACGCTCACCCTAAAGAGGTGCTCATCCTCTCCTTCAGCCACTTCCTGGGCCTGAGCCAGGAGCTCCACGCGCTGCTGCTCGCCACCATCCGCAACGCGTTCACCTCCAAGCTCTGCCCCAAGACGGTACGACCACCACCACCGGCGTCCCGGCAGGAGACGACCCGGTCACAATCGCCATGTTGGTTACAGAGAATCGACATGAGTCCTTTTAAAAAAGACCAAAACCACCGGTGGATTTATTCTAATAATAACTACGCCTGTGTATCTTAATCAAAGCGGTCCTGTTTCTTCCTCCACCCACACCACCCTGCTACTGTGGCTGCTCAGTAGAGCGCCACACGGGTGTGAATCCGCAGAATAAAACGGTGTTTACTGTGGCACGGGGGGGATTAGGGGGGGACTAAGGGGGACTAAGGGGGATTCTCTGGTGCTCTGAGGAGGGAAAAAGGCCTTTTAACGTCTCGCAGCCTGTTTGAGCCTTTGGAGTCCGTCAACGCAACAAAACAAAGTGGTTTAATTCGGGTGTTTTTTTAGCCACATCCCAAATGTCCACAGTCATTTCCCAAAAGAGCCGCTGTCGAATCCTCCACTCAAACATTATGAGATTTCTGTCCGTCTGCATTCCCGCAGATTTTGCCCGGGGGAATTACCCACAGTATATATATTACTCCCATTTGTTAATTAAACATTCACATTTGGATCAAAACGAGCAAACCGATTATTTGACATTTACCTCCCGTCCCATTAGGAAAGATCCCGGAAGACGTTCAAATCAGGCAGTAAGAGATATGAGATACCCACATACCCACGATAGTACACAACACGCTATGCCGTTGTCACGGTGACCTGACAAGCGTCACATAAGTGAACCCCGTCTTATATCTAAAACAACCTGAACCGCTCACCGACGGTGGAACCGGGAGGGTTCAGGGTTTAAGGCCTCTGGGGGGGGACGAGACACTAGGATGGGACCTTTGCGCTCTCTGGCAAGTGGTCACATGATCAGTATGGACACCAGATAGAGGGGTCACGAGGGAAGGCGGATTGCTTCAGAGGCTTTTAGAGTCAAAGTTCTGGTTTTGGTCTTTTTTCTAGGATTCCTTATCTTCTGGAGAAAAAAAACCCCTCAAGCCTCATTTGGGATTCTGTTTGATTTTCAGGAGGAGTTAACTCTCCGGAACCTGTGGGCTTCGGGCTACAACGTGATTGTGTCCTACGAACACAACATCTGCAGTTGCCACGGCGACCTGTGGCCCCACATCCCGTACTGGTGGGCCAACAAGTGCAAAGCGGAGGCGCTCATCGAGGACTTCGAGCACAGGAAGCAGCACGGCCGACCGGGTACGGAGGTTCACCCAACACGCAGCACAGGGGCTCCGTTGGATTCCTTCTGCTGCCCACAACGCTCTCACGTTGGTTGGGCTCATTTTTAATATAATGGGAGACTTCAAGCGTGACATGATCAGTCAGGAGGAGACTTAGGGTTTTATATTTGAGATAGATGTCATGAGATGACGTAGTCACGGCGACGTCTCTGCGGACGATGTGAAACTTGAGTTTGGCCTTTTTGTTGTCGCAATCTTGCTTCTTTTTTGCAACCAGTGAACAGGAAGCGTTGTCTCTGGGCCTGTCAATCAGCGTGTAGCCCCGCCCTACAGCATCCCCTGCTTTATGGTCTGTTTGACTCTAAATGGACCATCAGTCACTAAATGAACATCATGTTGTGTTGAAGAAGACTTGAAACTAGAGACTGAGACCATAAACTCATGTTCACAACGTTTACTGAGGGAATAAATCAAGAGAGAAGTAGAGTCATTTCCTCATAGACGTCTATGGGAGCAGAGGAGTCGCCCCCTGCTGGTCACTACAGAGAAGTAGAGTCATTTCCTCATAGACGTCTATGGGAGCAGAGGAGTCGCCCCCTGCTGGTCACTACAGAGAAGTAGAGTCATTTCCTCATAGACGTCTATGGGAGCAGAGGAGTCGCCCCCTGCTGGTCACTACAGAGAAGTAGAGTCATTTCCTCATAGACGTCTATGGGAGCAGAGGAGTCGCCCCCTGCTGGTCACTGCAGAGAAGTAGTCATTTCCTCATAGACGTCTATGGGAGCAGAGGAGTCGCCCCCTGCTGGTCACTGCACAGAATGCAGCTTTAACTCATGATATTTCACCTCCACTGTATTTGACCCAGTTTTTAAAATATATCCGTCTCCAATAACATGAATGTAATTGACCACATTTATCGTCTCTCGTATCTTTGGGGCTTCGGGAAACAGGAACCACCTTGTGAGCGCCGTTTTATAAAAGTTTGAGAGGGATGACACACATATTTAAATAAGTGGATTTTGCACATTGTCCTTAAGTTTGATACGTTGCTTGATTATTTTTCTTTCTTTTTTGTGTTTTTCAGGAGGTTTCTTCGTGACAGGCATCAACCTGACGGAGGACCTGAAGTACATCTGCACGCACCCCACCGAGTCCCTGAAGGACCTGGTGACGTCCACGTACCCGGCGCTGCTCAGCTGGGTCCGGGACCAGACGCCCGGCCCCCGGGTCGGCTCGCTCAACATCATCGCCGGGGACTTTGTCACCGAGAGCCCGTTCGCGCGGACCGTCGTGACGCTCAACCAGAAGCTACTGAATCCGTCCTCGTGACTTTTCACCTATTGGAAGAAGTGAATCACAGCATGAGCTTGTTTTGTGGCGGGAAAAAGTACTTGAATTATTACTTTGAATTTCCTACATGCACTTATCTGGAGGCAGTGAAATGTATATTTCAGTTTTTGGAAATAGACCTTTTGGGGTTATTTCGACCTGCACTGTTTACATTGAGTTCACTATTTATGCAACGTCCTGTATGACTCATTGTCACGGTGACTAGCAATAATAACAACTAACATCTCACCTGGACATTTTAAAAGAGGAAAGCACAAGCGATGTATCCAATGAGCACATACGATTGTAATGTACATTCTTTCTCACCTATATACACGTATTAATCTGTAGAGAATGTAGCGAGAAAACGTCAAACTTATGCAAAAAATGCATGGACTTGTTATCTGCATGAACCCGCCCGGGGCTTTTCCTTCTAATATTGACCTTTGGAGCAGTGCCGCACCGCTGTGCCTGAGGGGGCGCTTTCCCACTAACAGTGAGCCTCACTTTGTCATGGGACCATATGGTTACAGTGGCCCATGCAGTGATAATCACCCCTCAAATCACAGAGATCCACTTGAAAAAGCACATTTTTCATTTGATCCTGTCGTTTGTTGGTGAAAATGCTCTTTGTGAAAAACCAACACTATTAAATAAGATAATCAATGGGACCGATTACTGGCACACGCTCCCTTTGAATCAGTAACCAGAATGACTCAGTTAACTAGTTACCTAAAGAAGCTTGTTATTATTTACCCAGTTGCCAAATAAATCTTTTTTTTTTATCGTCACAGTAAACTTTCACAGACGGGAGCAGAAACCAACACCAAGATAAATGAATCTGTCCTTCGGGTCACATTCCTTTCTATTGTTTTCTATTCCAGCTCAACTTGTTGTCTTGTTTTGCGTTAGCCCCGCCCCCCCTCTACGTCACAGAAACACGCAGAGACACGTGGCCTCTTTGAAACCTGCCATGAATTCCCAGATTGTCTTCGGTGGGACATCTGTGAGAGACAAGCGGTAGCGCAGCTGTCAATCAACACGGAAGACTCCTCCCCCTCCCTCCTCCCCCCTCCCCCCTCCTCCTCCTCGGTGGTGACTCCGGTCGATGGTTTGAGGGAGCCGGTATAAAGGAGGAGGACGGGCGCGATCCCGCGATGACGGACCCGCGCAGGCAGCTCGGATCTTCGGCTCGGACCCGGTCCCCGTGAGTCGGACATGGACCCCCGCTGTGAGGACTGGATGTCCGGTCTACCGGAGCAGCTGTGGGACGTCCCCCTCACCGACCTGGCCCTCCCCGGTAAATAAAGCACCTTGTTTGCTCCATCGAGGACGAGTGAGGGGAAGGAAGCACAGGGGAAGGACTCGGAGGAGGAAACAAGGCCTCAGGAGACACAAAGTTTCTATTTAACTTATTTAACCTTTTTTATGCTCGAGGGTTTATTGTGTTACAAAAACAACGCAGCGGTACCAACAGAAATCTAATAGTTGAATACTAAACGACAGTAATTCGATGAATTCAATTAATAGAAATGGTAAATTAAATGGTTATGCAACAAAAACTATTTACAATAAAGGGAGATCTTTTGTTAGATGAATACAAAAATGATTATAAAGTCATGTAAAAAGCCAGAGGATTAAAGAAAAATATCAAATAAAGTAGAATGAAGTAAAAAAAACAGAAACGGTATTTTAAAATTAGGGAAGAAAATTTGAATAATAAAAGAACTTTATGTAAAAAGGTTTAAAATGTGCATAAGATTAAAGTGAGTTGGTTTTAAGGACGTTCTGTATTTTCATGTGTGCTGAAACCACAGCAGTTTGTCACAGTTCCTCCGAAACAACACAAAGACAACCAGTCCGATGGCTAATGCATCGGCTTGTATAGTGTTACATTAGGCCATATATATATATATATATATACACACACACACACACACACACACACACACACGTAACACCATCTGTAATGACGGAACTTCGTAATTTCTGATTTCATCGTCTCCAAATGCTGACTCGGTATCTCTAGATAATCATTTGCTTCCCAAAATGTTAGAATCTCAAAACGACTGGGCATCAACTTCTGGGGGTTGTTTATTAGCCGTGGCGGTCTCACTAAGATCGAGGTTCCTTTAAGAGGAAACACGGGTCGTTTCTCGCAGGAAGCCACGACGCCATGAGCTACTGCCTGGACGCCGGCTCCCCGCTGGTCCCGTCCGAGTCGGACGCCTTCCGGCTGCTGGACCGCCTCTTCTCCTGCGTCACCAGGCCCGTCATCTTCAAGTGGGCCACCACACAGGTAGGCACAGGTGTGTGTGTGTGAAAGTAGGGCGAGGACCCCTATGGGACTAAGATGGCATGACATGTACAAGCAATCCTCCTCCTCCTCCTCCTCGTAGGACAAGAGCATTGAGGAGCAGCTCTCGATGGGGATTCGATTCTTCGATCTTCGCGTGGCACACAAACCCAACGACCCGTCCGACGACCTCTACTTCACGCACGTCATCTACACGCATGTAGCCGTGTTGGTGAGCGTCCTCGGGTTGCTTTGGCTTCTTGAGGTTCTCCTTCTATCAGGACTATTAGTCCTGAGCTTTTGCACCGAACCAGGTTCAGCAGAAATCATCACCGAGGCTCCGTTGCCTCGACCAATTGGGCCAGATCCCGCCCCTTCCCTCTTTCCTTCACAATAAAAGCCAATTAATGGTCAATTAACATTGTCGTTTGCTGATTCAATCACTCAAAGGAACGACGCAAAGAGATTTAGAGACGAAGGATTCCTTCACTGAAAAGTGTCCATTTGTGCCTTTACATCCTGATTCTAATGTCCTCCGACAGGAAACGCTGTCGTCCGTCTCCGTCTGGCTGAAGTCTCACCCGAAGGAGGTCGTCATTCTGGCTTGCAGCCATTTCGAGGGAATCGACGACAAACTCCACGAGTCGTTTATTTTGTCCCTGAAGAAGCTGTTTGGGTCAAAACTCTGCCCCAAGAAGGTAGGCAGACCCCCCCCCTCACAAAAACCACGGGGCGGGTGCAGAGGGGGCCCGTCGGGCTCCAGGTACCAGGTAGGGGGCCAAACCGCCAGCGGCCCCTTGGACACCAAAGAGACAAAGTCTCACAAAGAGACAGAATATCCAAAATCTCATTCAAAATAACCCCAAACGCCTCTGAATGTGTCCATAATGAAGCTCCCAATGTCCCCCTTCAGGAGGCCGTCCTCACCCTGCGGAGCCTGTGGACGTCCGGCTTCCAGGTCCTCCTGTCCTACGACTCCCAGGCGGCAGCCCGGCACGCCGACCTGTGGCCCCCCATCCCGTACTGGTGGGCCAACCAGCGCACGGCGCAGGGGGTCACCAGCTACCTGGACTGGAACAAAGACCTGGGACGTCCAGGTGAGGGTCCGTCACGCGCTCACAGCGCTTTAACGCCCCCCCCCCCACCGGGCTGCCCACTCAGCGCTCTGTGTCCCCGTGTCGGTTTGTCCAGAGGGCTTCTTCGTCTCCGGCCTGAACCTGACGGCCGACAGGTTCTACGTCGCCGAGAACCCAAAGCAGTCGCTGCGGAAGCTGACCGTCGATAACTGGGAGGGTCTCAGGACGTGGCTGGAGGAGCAGGAACCGGGGTCCGGCCCCCGGAGCCTCAACATCATCGCGGGGGACTTCGTGGGTCCGCTTCCCCTGTGCGCTCTGGTCATCGCGCTGAACAAGAAGCTACTGCGCAGGAACGCCGCCGCCGCGCGCTGAACCACGAGACGCACAATGACCCAACAGACAAAACTATCGAGACACCAAAAGATGACGATGCAAAAGACACAGAACCCCCATGAAGGGACCCGATATGAACCCAGACCGAAGAGGACCGCCATGAGATGCTGCAGAACGTCGTCGAGTGGTTTTATTCCACAGGAAGTGAATCCAGATGAACTTCTGCTCACATTTCTGTTCTTTCATAAGCTCGTCTACACGAGATGTTTTTATTCCAGGAAACAGTTTGTCGATCTGACGTTTATGTAAAAGAATGATTGTGTTGTTGTAATTACATCGGCAAATATTTTAATATAATGTGCAATCTGTACAGAGTCTCTGGTTTGATTGTCTGTGGTTCAGTTTGCATGCAGTACATTTAAGAATAAGTTACTCTGCACAAAGAAAACCTCCGTAAAAAACAACTAATCAGCCGTATCGACGTGCTAACATTTAGCTAGCGGTGGCTAACGCTACATTCTCCGCTATCACCCGTGTGGTCTGCCAAGAGCGCCCTTCGTTCTCGTCTCCGCCGTCGCGTGTCGGACCCTCCTCCTGGCGTCACCTTCCAGCGAACAGCTTCCGGTAGCGGCCGTAGGCGGCGGCGCTGATGATCACCTTGACGACGGCCGAGCCTTCGTCGGCGTTCACCCGCACGTCCTGAACGGCGGCCTCCTTGTACAGCCAGCTGTGGACGCGCACGGGGTGGAGGGGTTATTATTAAAAACCAGAGACGCAGCAGCGAGGAGAACGGGCGCCGTCACCTCAACTGGGGGGAGCCGAGGTCGACGGCGAGATCCATCACGCGTTTCCCCGTGGACGCCACAAGCTCCTCCTCCACCGCCGCCCTCAGGGCGTCAAGGCCACGCTGCTCCAAGGCCGAGATGGGCAGAGCGCCGGGCTCCGTGAGCCGATAGCTGGGAGGACAAACGCGGAAGTTCACACAAACACCAAGAGGCAAAACGCGTCCTGGAGAATTCAGATCATTCATCATCATCATCACGCGTCTCGCTTTGAGTACTTGGACCTTCAGTCGGGACCTTGCAGGCTTCACATGTCGTATTTCCACGAGGCGAATAGTCGCTAAAGTGTAAGATTTGGAGACATCTAGTGGTGAAGCTGCACATTGCAGCCAGCTAAATGAGACTCAGCAGGGGACCTCCAGCAGAGACAAGTGTCTTTAAGGCTCAACAAGCACTCTGCTTTTCTTCACTAGATAATTGCTTTATAAATGTATAGAATAAAACATTAAAAAAAAAAATCAGACTCCACCGACACTTCAACCGTAAAAGATCAGACATGTCTCTCCTCTTACTTGTCCACGAGGTCCGTCTTATTGTGGACTTCGATCATGGAGCTCAGCAGCCGGTCGGGGACTCTCATGTTCTCCAGAACTCTCAGCACGTTGGCCTTCTGGTTCGCCGTCTCCGGGTGACTGACGTCCCTGACGTGGACGAGCAGATCCTGAGAGAGACGGAGGGACGAGTCAGCAAAACGCTTCGGCCCCGCACCGCCCACCGGGGGGGGGACGTTACCGGCGTTACCGAGTGTTTGATGTCCTCCAGCGTGGCGGAGAAGGAGTCGATGAGCTGGTGGGGCAGCTGGGACAGGAAGCCGATGGTGTCCACGTACAGGACGGTCATGTGACTGGGCAGCTGGCCGGCGTGCACGGTGACGTCCAGCGTGGCGAACAGCTGGTTCCTGGGCTGAAGGCCGGCGTCGCCCGTCAGCGCTTTGATCAGCGTCGTCTTTCCTGGTCGGAGGACCAAATCGCAACGACAGAAAATATCGTAGCGGTAAGGCGACGACCACGCGGTTCACGTTATGAGGCTGTGCGATGGGACGAAAGCGGGTTTTTACCACAGTTGGTGTATCCCAGCACGGAGACGCTGGGCAGCTCCTTGTCTCGCCGCTGAGATCGCAGCAGGCGCCTCTTCCTGCGCAGCGTCTCCAGCGCCGAGCGGATCTTCAGCTCGCGCTCCCTCAGCAGCCTCTGCTGCACCTCCATCAGCGTCTCCCCTGAGCGGACCAATCAAGAGCAGAAACGGTGGCAGAAACGGTCCAATCGGTGATGCGGGCGGAGCTCATCGCCGGCGCGCGCGAGGGCCTTACCGGAGCCGCCGATGTATCTCGAGCCTCCGCCCTGCTGATCCAAGTTTGCCATTTCGTTTTTCAGACGGGATCTGCCGATGGAAGACGTTTTAAAAACCGCAATGGATGATGGGAAAAAATAACCTAAAGTACATTTAGGTACATAAACGTCACCTTAAAAGAGGGATCTCCGCCAGAGAGATCTGCAACTTGGCCTCTTTGGTCCTGGCGTTGCGGCGGAAGATGTGGAGGACCACGGAGTACCTGTCAAAGACTTTTACCCCCCAGGCCTCCTCAAACTCCCTCTTTGCCGGGGGGAGTGAGGGGGTGGGGGTCAAACATCTGTCAGCACGAGAAAACATCATTCAGCAGGGGGCGACTCCTCTGCTCCCATAGACGTCTATGAGGAAATGACTACTTCTCTGTAGTGACCAGCAGGGGGCGACTCCTCTGCTCCCATAGACGTCTATGAGGAAATGACTCTACTTCTCTGTAGTGACCAGCAGGGGGCGACTCCTCTGCTCCCATAGACGTCTATGAGGAAATGACTCTACTTCTCTGTAGTGACCAGCAGGGGGCGACTCCTCTGCTCCCATAGACGTCTATGAGGAAATGACTCTACTTCTCTGTAGTGACCAGCAGGGGGCGACTCCTCTGCTCCCATAGACGTCTATGAGGAAATGACTCTACTTCTCTGTAGTGACCAGCAGGGGGCGACTCCTCTGCTCCCATAGACGTCTATGAGGAAATGACTCCACTTCTCTCTCGTTTATTCCCTCAGTAAACTTTGTAAACACGAGTTTATGGTCTCAGCCTCTAGTTTCACGTCTTCTTCAATACAGCGTGATGTTCATTTAGTAGAATATGGTCCATTTAGAGTCTAACAGACCATAAAGTGGGACGCTTTAGGGCGGGGCTACATGTGATGACGACCTTTCACTTCATAAATACGGTCCGTTCTAATCGGATACAGTCAGATTAGAACAGTTCCGTCTGAACGTCTGTAGCAACAAGGTCATTTTAAGAATCAGATCCTGTAAAAATAAAACTAAATAAAACAACAAAATACATAATAAATCTAATAAAAGCGAATACTGATTGAAGGCAAATTGATTGTGTTTGTAGTAATGTTTACCTCAGACAAGGCAGACAGACGCTCCACATTCACAAACACTGCGGTGATTCCTGCGGTCTGTCGGATTCGGTCTGCGGGGGAAACAGGAGGTGAACAATAGAACCATCGGCCCGCTGAGACGCACGCCAGCGGATCCAAACCTGTCAGAGTCTGGAAGTTCCCTTTGCCGAAGATCTTCTTTTTCTCTGGTGTCTTGGTGGACATGATGACCCTGTCCACCACACTCCAGCTGTCCAAAGTGTTCACGAGCCCCACGGCCTCGGCCATCATCAGCTCAGCTGCGGATCGACGTCACGTTAGTGACGTCATTAAACACGGGGCACACCTGAATGCAGGGGGAGGGACCTACCTGTGGTCAGATGCTGCTTCCGGCTCCCCCACTTCACGTCGGGGTGAACCACGAACACTCTGTGCGCGGCCCCGAGGGCGCCGGCGGGAGCGCGCTCCTGAAACAGCTCCTCCACCTCGCCGTCATCGATGACGTCATCCTCATCCTCATCCTCCTTCCCATCACCCGCGTTCTTCCACCTGCACGCGGAGTGTGAGAACGCCCCGGACCGAAGGGGCCACGTAGCACCGACCGCACGCGGAGGTCGGCGGAGGAGTCTGCAGGTGGCTGATGACGTCAGAAAGGTGTGCGCGCGGCGGTGCTGCAGGACCGGAAACAGCGAGTGAATCCTCCTCAGTGCCGTCACGGCGCTTTTGCTGTACAGCATCACGCGCAACTGGCTGTTGTCATGCTTTTAAAGTGAGAGCCACGACGCATGCGCAGTGTGAACGTGTTCTTCTTCTTGCTCACTGAAGGTCACGGAGCAGAATACCGCCACCTGATGGTGACTCTTTATGTGGGTAAATGTATTAAACACTACTGGTGTAACCATAGACATGTCAATGGGTGTAACGACACGTGTGCATGTGTGTATATATATATATATAGTTGGGTATATTTATGTTTCTTTCATTCTGATACATTAATGAATATATGTTATTACTATATTAATTATTCATATATAGTCTACCAACTACCATCACATGCTTACTAGGATACCTTTAATCTGGTGTCAATCTGGTATTTTTGGTCCCTGTGGGCTCTGAGCACTAGAATTTACCTCCGCAGGGTGTGACTAGTCTCCCCCCCCAGCTCCTCCCGTTTGTACAAGTTCAATCATGGTGGTTGCCATGACGTCACGCCGTGTGGGCGTGCTCCACCTTAGCAGCAGGACAGACAGGTCGGACACCTCCAACAGAAGCCTCTCCGCGGGACGTCTGCGGGCCTTTAACTTCATCACACTAGTTCCCGCGAAGTTCTCCCCGTTCCGCGATGTTTGGGTCAAATCACGCCGACGACCGGAGCGGATGCCTCGACAAGCCGCGACGTGACCGACTGTGACGTCACAGGGGGGGGGTTGCAACGAGGTGTGCCCGTCGGGCGCGGGGCCGCGGCACAGGAGCCCGGCAGGAGGAGCCGCGATGGGCCCGTCTGCGTTCTGCGGTCGGAGGGGGGAAGCGTCCCCGCGGCGGAGTTGCGCGTTTGGCGCACGGAGCGCGCGCGGAGCGGCGGCGTGGCGGTGCGGGCTGCTGCTCAGCTTCCTGGGTTTCTGCGCCGGTTTGGGTGAGACGACTGACGCGGACACGAGCACACGCACGGAAATATTCACATCGTGCACGTTCAGTTTCTTTTTATAAGATTCCAGCAAGAGTTTAGTTGCTGAAGATAGTGAGAAAGTGACCAAACCTCCAGATTACATTCTCTATTATTATTATTATTATTATTACTGTAAATCATTTAAAAGGAAAAAGCCGTCAGCTGTCTGCTAAATTATTGTCAGAAGTTCACTAATTGTTTTTGTACTTTTACATGTATACACATAACCATTAATTTAATTGCGCTTCATAACTTTAGGTTTCTGCAATGAACTTTTATCTGGTTCTGAAACAGTCTCAGTTTAGTCCAGGGGTCCGTTTCAAGAAGCGGGTTTAGTGGAAACTCAGAGTTTGTGAACCCTGAGATGATGGAAACTCTGGCTTGTCTGTTTCACAAAGGGAGGTGAATAAAGCTCAGGCTCAGTCTCCATGGTAAGTAAAGCTCAGGCTCAGTCTCCATGGTAACGAAAGCTCAGGCTCAGAAACCATGGTAACTAAAGCTCAGTGTGAACATCACCGGTTTTCTTCAATAAACCTGGAGTTTCTTTCACAGTCTCCTCCCTCTGACAGCAGCCCAGCCAATCACACGGCGCGCTTTCATTTCCTCATTCATTCAGTTAATCTGTATCAGGAGGATTTTAGTGCAGTTTCCACATATGAACAAAATAAGATGTTACGTTAAAGACCAAAGTGTTTTCTGGGACATGTCACGTCCTTTTCCTGTCGACGAAGAGGCGGTTTAGATTAGATGAATTGTCATTTCCAGATAACTGCTTGTTTGAACGGTATCGTTTTTCTTCACAGTCCATCAAATATGTACATGACCTCACCCGTCCTCATATGAGTAACGTCCCCCACCGTGGACATGCTCTCACATACGGGCACATTCTTTGTGTAGTATTACGTTTTTTTCCTTTACAACATTATAACATCAGTAAAGCTGCTGCATGCAGAGCCGTGAGGAACGTGTGCGTCGCTCTCCATCAGAGAGAAGATGGACTGCAGAGACCAGTCCACCGTAGACAGACCAGATCCTCCAGAAGAGACCAGTCCACCGTAGACAGAGCAGATCCTCCAGAAGAGACCAGTCCACCGTGGACAGACCAGATCCTCCAGAAGAGACCAGTCCACCGTGGACAGACCAGATCCTCCAGAAGAGACCAGTCCACCGTGGACAGACCAGATCCTCCAGAAGAGACCAGTCCACCGTGGACAGACCAGATCAGAGGGGTTTTCTGAAGGGACCCTGGTGCTCGGAGACGCTACCACTTTAGTCAGAGTGGACAGAACCCCCCCCCCACCAGCACTGATTGTCCAGAACTCACGTAAATGAACTTGTCTTCTCTCCACTAGACTGAACCCTTCCCTTCCTGTCTCTCTCCTCTCCTCAGAGGACGACTGCGTCCTCGGTATAGTCGGACAGCTGGTCTCGCTGCCCTGCGTCCTCCCCCAGCTAGTGGCCGCGGTGAACGTCAGCATCGCGTGGCGGAGGGGCGAGGAGGTGGTGCTGAGGTCGGCGTGGATGGACGACGGCGACGTGGAGGAATGGAGCGTCAACAGGGCCACGACCCCGGGGGACGCCGCGCTGACGGGGAACCTGTCCCTGCAGCTCCCCGCGGTGGAGGCCTCCGAGCGCCCCGTCAACTACAGCCTGCTCGTCACTTCGGGGGGGAACCAAAGCGGCGCCGAGCTGTGCGCCACGTGCCTCAGGACGGCGGGTCGGTGTCCCTCCACACGCGCAGGACAGGAAGTGGTCGTCTCGAGCGCTTCCCGAAGGGAGCTAACGCTTGTCTCTCCCGGCCCCTTTTTTTTTCCACAGCCAGCTTCAGCTCCCCGGCGCTGCGGCGGGAGGAGGGGGCGGGGCCTGGGGGCGAGACCGCCTTCTGGTGTCACTCCAGCGGGGGTTTTCCCGAACCCGCCGTCTACTGGCTCCTCAACGACACCGAGGACCCCCCCGGCGGCTCGGTGTGGACGCTGGCGGCGGCGCTCCCGCGCTCCCTCCTCTACAACGTCACCAGCCGGCTGACGCTCAACGTCTCCGACGACGCCAGCGTGTCGTGCGTGGTGGAGAACGCCGCCCTGGGCGAGAACCTGACGTCCACCTGCAGTGCGTGACCCGCTCGGCGCCGAAATAAATGAATAAAAAGCCCGTTTGCTAACCGCGCGTCTCTTGTCGCTGCCAAGGCCTGGTGCCGGTGAGGGGAACCCCCGTGGTGACCAGCAGGGCGTCGGAGGCCATGTGGATCTTCAGCACGGCTCTGTGCGCGGTGGTCGGGGTCATGGTGTCGGTGGGCGTGGTCTACCAGATCCACCTGGACCGGATAAGCCGGACGAGGCGGCGCGAGTCGCTGAAGGAGCCTCCGTACAGAGGTGGGCGGGACCCGCGTTGGTGGACTCGACCTTCTCGTCCTTAGAAACGGATCGAAGAGGCGTTAAGATGATTTGTCGAGTTCAACCGACTGCATCAGAATCAGGCCGAGCCGCGTGATGACGACCTTCTACTAAACGTTCTCGTTCCTCTGATCCCGTTGGTTCTGATCCGGTTCACTTCATCAGGCACAAACTGATCCAGCAATCATATAAAAGATCAAATACAATCATGGAGGTTATTGTGTGAGAATAAAGCAGCACACGCGTTGTTGTCATATGAGGAATGTTTGCTCTTGGTTCAGGATACAGGAGGAGAAACCCGCGGGAGGAGGAGGAGGAGGACGACGAGGAGGCCATGACCCCGGAGAGGAAGGAGACCGACGTGTGAACGTTTCCTGACTCGAGGAAACGCAGAACTTTGATCGTCGTCGTTGCCCGCGGCGACGGCAGGGAGTAACCGATTCAAGCTTCAATAAAGACACTCAAACGGCCGTCGATGATTTATTTACATCATGACTGAAAATACCACAATTTACATTTGAATCAATAAATCTTATTTTTGAAAAAAGACAAATATTTCTGCCACTGTTTTTCATCATGGAACCACAAATGTTTCGATTTATAAACAATATCAACTGGATTAAAATATCTGATGTAGCAACTCCTCATCGATTCATCTGATCTGATTATTTTATGACTAATCAACTTTAACACGTCCAGCAGTGTTTGACGAGATGAAACCCTCAAACGTCTTTAATCCAAAACTCAATGATATTCAGTTCTGGGCCAGTGGAGAAAAAGAAACAAGAAAAATTCACATTCAAAGGCTGAAATCACAGAATGTTGATTATTCAGCCGGATATAATAGATTATTGAAATAGTTGACGGTGGATCTGCAGCTTTTACTTGGCAAACGATGCAAACAGCTAAAGAGGAAGTAAAGAACGTCACGTGATCAGCTGGCCGCTCCCGGCAGGGACGTCACGGCGTAGAGGTCGTCACGCCGCTGAGCCGTCACGGGGATCTGCTGCCGGATGTCGGCCAGGTACTGCAGGTCTGGGATCAGGTCAGACCGGCACACACGGGGGGGGGGGTTAGAGCACAGAAACGAAGAAGACGGGGGGGGGGTCATCTTCAGAGGTCGTGACTCCACTCACCCACGTCGGCGTAGATGACGGCCTCCTCCGGTCCGGCCTTTGAGATCACTTCCCCCCTGAAACACAGAGAGGAGGAGCTTTGATAAATGCTAATTGATGCTACTTTATACTGAACTTTATTGGCCAAGAGTGGCAGATGTTTACCAATAAAAGATATAGATATGTATAGAGTCTGGATATATATATCTATATTGATAAGGTATTAAATATGATGCTTTCCTCTCCTTGTATCTCAACAATTTAAAGCAGCTTTAAAATTTAGATTAAGTTGCTTTCTTCCAAAACGTTTGGCAAAAATCTCCATTAATTACAAATAACGTCAAACAAACATTATCTTCCATCTTTCCAACGGCCAGTGAACGTCAATCCCTTGATTCTTCTCAATATGAGCGCTGAGAATGATGCAAAGGAAACAAGGACAGAGGAGACGAGGTGGCCGGAGGAAGCTCCTGCTCGTCGGCGTACCAGGGGTTAACGACGCTGCTGTGGCCCCAGGCCACGTATGAAGACGCCTCGTCTCTGGCGGGAGACGCCGTGGCCACGTACAGCTGGTTATCCAGCGCCCTGAAGGGGACGCAAGGACACGGCCCGAGGTCACACGACACAAAAAGCCTCTGGGAGGTTCTGGACGCCCAACGTTACGTGATGTGGGTCTCTCACCGGGCCCTCTGGAGCAGCTCCCAGTGAGCCGGCCCCGTCGTCATGTTGAAGGCTCCGGGGTAAACCAGCAGCTGACAGCCTGAGGACACAGAGACCAACCGGTGACCCCCCTCCCCCCAACCATCACACCTTCTCATTCAACAAGAGGATCCAAGCAGCCGGCTCACCGCTCCTGCTGTACAGCTGGGCCAGCTCGGCGAACCGCATGTCGTAGCAGATGCCCACGCCCACTTTGCAGAAAGCTGTGGCGAGGACACGGGGGGGAGGGGTTAAAGGGGGGGGGGGGGCGGAGGCGGGAGAACCTTTGGAGGGGAGGGTTGGGTACTCACGGGTCTGGAAGGTGGACAGACGGTCCCCCGGCGTCAGCGTCTCAGACTCCTGGAAGCGGATCTTCCCCGGAACGTCGATGTCAAAGAGGTGGATCTTTAAATTAAAGGAGACATGAGGGACGGAGGGACTGTCCTGCAGAGGGACCCTTCAGATCAATAAAGGGATCTTTATCAATGAGGTGGTCACAGACCTTCCTGTGCTTGAGGATGAGCTCCCCGTCGGGTCCGAACACAGTGCAGCTGTTATACAGCTTCCCCCCGTCCTCCTCCGGGATCGAGCCTGGAGAACCAGGGAAACATCAGCTACGCACACAAATATATACATATACACACATATATATATACATATATTATATATATGTATATATAACATATATATTAAATGAAATAAAATAAAAAAGACAAACTAAATCTGACTCATTTTCACATCTTCCAGTGTGGAGCAGAACATGAGATCCGGTCCTTCCTCTGTGGTGTGTGAGACGTCTCCCTCACCTCCCACCAGGTACACCTGGTTCTCCTTCGCCGTCTCCGACAGCAGCTGGGTGGACTCCCCTGGGATCCGCTCGGCGTACTGAGAGAAGAAGCCGGTCCCGTACGGAGAGTTGAAGCATTCCTGAGAAAGAAACACATCAGAGTCCCGTAAGGAGACGTCCATCAGAGTCCCGTAGGGAGACGTCCTTCAGAGTCCCGTAGGGAGACGTCCTTCAGAGTCCCGTAGGGAGACGTCCATCAGAGTCCCGTAAGGAGACGTCCATCAGAGTCCCGTAGGGAGACGTCCATCAGAGTCCCGTAGGGAGACGTCCATCAGAGTCCCGTAGGGAGACGTCCATCAGAGTCCCGTAAGGAGACGTCCATCAGAGTCCCGTAGGGAGACGTCCATCAGAGTCCCGTAGGGAGACGTCCTTCAGAGTCCCGTAAGGAGACGTCCATCAGAGTCCCGTAAGGAGACGTCCATCAGAGTCCCGTAGGGAGACGTCCATCAGAGTCCCGTAGGGAGACGTCCATCAGAGTCCCGTAGGGAGACGTCCATCAGAGTCCCGTAAGGAGACGTCCATCAGAGTCCCGTAGGGAGACGTCCATTAGAGGAAGCAGCACGCTCGCCTTAAGGTCACTGGAAAGAACTTTCATCTAGTGTCCATGTCGGGTCCCTTTAGAAAAACTCTCATTCTACTGCAGCAGGGTCTGTCCTTAGAGGACTGGTCTCTGCTGGAGGACCTGGGTTTGTCCACAGTGGACTGGTCTCTACTGGAGGACCTGGGTCTGTCCTCGGAGGACTGGTCTCTGCTGGAGGACCTGGGTCAGTCCTCGGAGGACTGGTCTCTGCTGGAGGACCTGGGTCTGTCCTCGGAGGACTGGTCTCTGCTGGAGGACCTGGGTTTGTCCACAGTGGACTGGTCTCTGCTGGAGGACCTGGGTCTGTCCACAGTGGACTGGTCTCTGCTGGAGGACCTGGGTTTGTCCACAGTGGACTGGTCTCTGCTGGAGGATCTGGGTCTGTCCTCGGAGGACTGGTCTCTGCTGGAGGACCTGGGTCTGTCCACAGTGGACTGGTCTCTGCTGGAGGACTCCTTAGTTCCTTGTAGAGACTTTAAAGAGAGAGAACGTGGTGCAGAACCCCCCCCCCCCTCACCGGAAGCAGCACCAGCTGGCTGCCTCGTCCCGCCGCCTCCTTCACGAGTCCCCGCGCTCGGCTCAGGTTGTCCGCCTTGACGCTCGTCACGTGCAGCTGGACCACCGCCAGACGGAATTCTGGGAAACACAAGACAGCGCTGGTTTAACGTGCTTGTTGTTGAGGTAAAGCTTTAAAGGAGTGACATACGTACTGGACATCGCTTTAGCTACAGCAGCCATGTCTGCGCGCGCGGTCCAGACAGCAGACCAGCAAAGCGACTCCGGATGACCGTTTGGTTTTTCAAAATAAGAGTTTATATTCAGAGCAGGGTCATGAAAGTCCTCTAAAACACAACAAAACGATAGTAATGAACGTACGTTGATGTAAGTGATCTGTTCTTCCATCTTATCGCCACTCTGGGACGAATAGCTAGAGCTTATGTAAAATTAGGAAACATTATTGTGAAGTTTAGAGGCAGCGTGACGTCAGCAGGTGGGTGGGGTTCAGCAGCCAATCCGTGAATTTACTTTCTACGGGTGGGAATGAACGTAAACATTAACCTCCCTCATGCTTGTAGAGTTTATTCATTATAAACATTAAGTATTTCATATTTATACTTTACAAAACAGCCATTTGGTATTTTTGGACCTTTATTTTAATACATTGAGGCTCAAGACATAAGTCAGTAATGACCATATTGGCTGCTGTGATTCTGTCAGAAATCCTATTTATGTCACCGGTTTAAACAAGGCACACGCTTCCTGTTCCCCATGTGTGTGTTTACTGCAGCCAGAAAAAAGACACCAGTGTAAAGTTATTATTTGTGTAGCCAGAAGTACTGATTCATATGAACGAGACAGATCCTGCTCACTGGTAGGGTCACAGTGAAATATGAGGCACTTCTATGCCAAATTAAATCAACATCCATCTGTATTGAAGAATGCTTGGAACTAGAGATCATAAACGTTTACAATGTTTACTGAGGGAATAAATCAAGAGTAATTTTCTCATAGACCTCTATGGGACCAGAGGAGTCGCCCCCTGGTGGACAGTAGAGACAATGCAGCGTTGGGCTGCAAAACGTTGTGGATTGGAAGCACAAAGAAAGCATGTTATCAAAATACTACTTGATGAAAAGACCACATTTTTGACCATGTTAGATATTCTGCACTTTTTTAATAATATATTCTACCGACAAATAACAAAAATCATGACGTCCTTCAATTGATGTCGGCACATTGGCGTCAGAGGCGCGTCTCTGCTGTCACTCGTGGATGTAAGCCCGCCCACCTTTTAACAGTCCAATCAACTCGGGGTCGGATTTAAAACCCTTGTGTATCTATACACTCAAATATAGTTTTTGATTTGAGAAAACATCACAGTACAGAAGCCAATGTTCTACTTGAGTAATTACCTTTCTAGCATTTGAACACAGGATGATGATCTGCAACTTATCGGAAACATTGTTGTGTAAACGGCCTCTTTTGTATTATAATGTAATCACTATCCAAATATACAAATATTTCCCATAACAATACTAAACTTCAACATGTCGATTTATCTCCATTTATTAAAATCAGAAAATACTAGCTAAAATAATAGCAGTACAGTAAGTTTTAAATTATACTTTAGACATGTCGCATTTGGACTCGTGGAGACGTCCTCAGCCGCGTCACGTAAAGATGATCAATACGACAAAATATCACACAGTTTGAGCTCAGTGCGCCGAGTACAAGGAATGCTACGAGAGGCGGAAAGAAACACCAGATTCATAAGACGGTCGGGGACCAAAGTGGTTTAAATAATGTCTGGATTCAAGCGTAAACAGGTCCGCGGGGGCGGGGTTACTCTGAAAGGGGTCGATTTACGAGAAAAAGGGGTATTTCACCAAATTGTGGAGGAAGACATCCCCAGATTCTCACGGGATGTCTTGAACCTAACATGAACCGGGTGAGAAGCAGGAGGTTGTCACAGGCCAGAAGATGTTAATATTTGAGCTGAATGACTCGTGATCACTTCCTAACTAGAAGCGTGATCATTACATCGGCTTTAAACGCATCCGAGAGGTCAAGCGAGACACCGAGCCGCGGCCGTTTACAGCAGAACGGGTCAGAATGGGGATTGTTAAGGAAGGATCCTTTGGAGAGAGCTTCTCCTCCACAGTCGGTGTCGTTCTACACGAGATGGAGCAGTGATGTTCTGCCGTGGACGTAGTTCAGACACATAAACTGATTTATATATATCAGTTTAAGTGAACGCTATACGCAATCTTTTCACTTGTTTACCTTTCACGAAGCAGGTTTCTATGACCTCTATAAACACACCAGACTCCATTCACAAAAACGACAATTTTACTTCTGAGAAGACTGGAGTTTCTGATCTACTGCTGAAGCCACCGGCTGGTTAATGTGTGACTGTAGTGTTTTAAAAGGCTTAGTTTAGATTCTTTAAAGTCACACAAACACTAACAGATGATGGATACATGAGTAGATCAGTCAACCCTCTCTGTATAATCACTGCTTTCGTGAATGGAGTCTGGTGTATTTAGTTCCTTGTCTGACATAAAAGGTAAAGAGGTGCAAAGATTCTGAAATGAAAACGATAAGATTCTTTCCCCGTTTCTACAAACCGCTGTGAAGTAAAACACCGACGGTGGAGGAGTCAGAGCGCCGGTCTCCCTTAAGGAAAAAAGCCCCTTCCGTGGGGGGCTAGTGGGGTGTCCCCCCACTTCCTTACGCCCAAACGCAGTTCCCCAGAGAGATAGTCCTCCATGTGAAAAAAGCAAATGGAGGAACATTTTCAGGCAACCCGACCTTGACTTAGGTCACCTCGAGGGGAGGTGGGCCCCCGGGAGGATTCTCCTCTTGTTCTTATGCACATCCCCCCGCCCCAAAAAACCCAAGACAAAACGGGCCTTCCGGGGCCCCCCCCCCGGGGTCTCTTCGGGCGGGGGGGGGGGGGGGGGGGGGGGTGCAGCGGGACAGAGGGTTTCACAGAGACTCTCCTTACAGTTTGTGTCCCCGCCCCCCTTGCGCCCCCGTCTTTACGAGCTCTCCAGAGCGTCGAGGACCTTCATGATCTGCTGCTTAATGACCTTTGTGGCGTCGCCAGCGTTGGGTATCAAATATCTGGAGGAGGGAAAGAGGAGCCAAGTTAAAGCACTTAAAGGGAAAGTTTGACACCCATTTGTACCACTCCTGTGAGGTAAATATGAACCTACAAACTATTAGTCATCGATCTTCTCATCAAACGGAAAAGGAAATAACTGCATTTCAAAAAGATGTTCCATTGCACCTTTAAAAAAGGCATCATTTTCGTAGCGCCACAAACAAAAGTCCGCACCTCTCGACCGCCGAGATCTCCACGCCGGCCGAGTTGTTGGTGCCGAACTTGAAGGTGATGAGCTCCGGGTGCTTCTTCTTGGACGTGATCTTCACCACCGAGTTCAGCGGCTGTCTGGACTGGATGTAGGCGAAGCCCTTGCGCGAGGCGATCTCCCGCAGGCAGTACATGTGCGTGGCCGTGATCAACAGGTGGCTGCCGGGACAAACGCGGTCACGTCCTCGTCCAAACAAGTTCAACGACACTCTGCTTCAAATGCGGCTCACCTGGGGAACATGTGACCGGTCTCCTTCACCTCGTTGCAGGGAATGTGATGCTTCACGTCTGGCTTGTTGGTCCACGTCTGGATGTTCACGATCTCCTTCCGGTCGTCGTCCGACGTGGACGAGCTGTCAATCTCATCTGGCGGGAGGAGGGAGGAGGGGGGGAGGTACATGTTTCGTTCTTGTAAATGTCATCAGAATGTGAAACCATTATTGTTTTAATTAAAAACATCTCCCAACATGTAAAACAGGATATGTTGATAATACATTGTTCTAATAGGGTATCTTTCTTATAGATAGATGCATCCTTCATTCATAACCTGAAGAAATCGTTATAACGACCAGGCGTCGTGATGAAGAAGAAAACCCTCCAGGTTATACGGCTATACCCTCCGTGTTCCCAGCTCACCGGTGTCGTACTCCTCCTCGTCACCGATGCTGAAGACGGGCTTCACTCCTCGGTACGCTTTGCCGACGCGGTCGCTGCAGCTCACGTGTCTAGACGAGGAAACAACACGGTGGTTTGTTGTGGCGTCGCCTCAGCAGCGAGCGCAGGACGCGCAGGAACCGAAGTGCAAAGCTGCCCCACAAACAGGGATGGAGACCTCGTTTATCCCCCCCCAAAAAAAAACCACCGCCCGCTGTTAGATGCAAGGAGAAGGTTAGACGAGACATTCAGAGGCGGATTAGTCCACGTATGACACCCGGGGCTGCAGAGCGCCGCGAGCGGCTGTCATCTGAAGACGCTCGCTGACCGACGGCAGCAGAGAAACACCTCGGCTAGTCGGAAAGCATGAGGTGTGTGTGTGTGTGTGTGTGTGTCGGGTCTCCAGCGTCTCCCGGCTGCTACCGGCTGAGGAGATGCTCAGCATGCGTCACTGTGACGACCGTCTCCCCGCCCCTCGAGGTCTCTTACCGATGTGCAGCCACCTTCTCTAGCCACGGCAGATTGAAAGACATTCTGGCGTGGGACAGGGCACAAGGCGAGCTCCCGTTAAAACACACAACAAGGCCAGTGAGACGTTTCTGCTGCGTAACAAAAGGCTGCACCTAATAACTAATGACGGACTTCTTAAACCCATAAAATACTCTTTGCTGTAGCAGAAAAACCTGGGGGGGGTCTCACCTGTCTACGGGGGTGGAGGTGTTCTCGATGAAGCTGATCATCTTCTCCTTGACGTTCACCGACTTGGTCTTCAGCGCGAAGGTCATCTTGTTGACCAGAGACTTGACGCCCTTCCCGTCGGCGGCGCCGCCGAGCTCTCCCTGAGGGCGGAGCGGACCGCCGTTAATCGCCGCTCGGCGAGAGAGCTTCGGCGTAACCGTTCACAAAACGCCTAGACTTACATCGGCGGAGCTGAGGCCGCCGTGGGATCCAGATGTGCTGACGATCCAGTGGAGGTAGGAAGAGTCCAGGCCCTCGATGTTCATGTCCACCAGGTGCTTCTGAAGGGCTGAAACACACTCGTCTCTCAAGAGGCTTCTACAGTCCAGTCGGTGCTAATCTCACCCCCCGTTTTAAAAGTGTTTTAAACATAAAAACCATATATCATTTCACAATATAAAATATATTCATCATTTTGAATAAAATACTGTGGATCGGCAGTAATCTCAGGTTGGTGGTTTTTTTTAATAAAAAAATGTCAACAATGCCACATTATTTATCCTCATCTACTCACCCATGAATCCCCCTTTAGCGATGCTGACATATTCTTTGTTTTTCTGCAACAGGAAACCTTAAATTAGCCAGAACCACAAGCCGAGCGCGGAGCAGATGTATGACAACATCTGATGGGAATGGCGGCGCTTTCCCGTCGGGCGCGCTGACCTGCAGGAAGTGCGCCAGCACCATGTTCATGTACATGTCCTCCTCCTCCCGCCCGCTGCCCATGAAGCACAGGTGCTCCCCGCTGGCGACCGAGCCCGACTCCAGCGAGTTCTTCTGCGCCTCCAGGAGGGACTTGACGGAGAGGGCGAACTCGGAGGGGTTCTGCAGCATCTGAGAGCGGGAGAAGGGAAGGAGAACGCGCGTTACTCGGGAGGTAAAGGTCCAGGTCGCGCGGCATCAACGGCGGCGTCTCCTCTCACCAGGTCCGAGTCCAGGTGGAACGCCGTGGACAGGTGACCGGCGTTGTACTGCTCCGCGGGCCGACAGTCCACCACGAAGAAACGCACGCCGTCCTGTGAGTGACAAGACGAGACGTTCTACACATCAGCTGTTGCACGTAAACATTCAGATGCTTTAGAGAAAGCCGCGTGTTGCATAAACCGCTGTCCCTCCGTCACGGTGACACTGCGTCTCTCTCGCTCTCTCCTCACGTGGCGACTGACCTGCTGCAGCTGGTTGGCCTGCAGGATCTCGGGGACGGACACGGGGAGACACAACGCTTGACTCAGATCGGTGTCCTCTTCTTTCAGAGCCACCAGGCTGCTACCAAACAGATTCTGGTTCATCTATCAGGGCGGGAAACAGCAAACGCACAACGATGGCTTCTGAGACAATGCGTGTGCGTGTGCGTGTGTGTGACATCACTACTCTGTGCATCCCACACGAACAGAAAGACATTTACCTTCCTGAGAGACAGAGGGGTTTTGCTCTGGTAATACTGAGCCAGAGAAAACAAATCCTCAACGTCCTCCGATTCCAGAAGAGAAGGAGACTCCTCCAGCATCTCTGTGACAGAGAAGTCTCGTTTAACAGCAGATACTTTTGTTCAGCAGCTCCGCAGTGACGTGCGGCCTGACGACGGCATTAAAGCGAACGGATCGGATCCTAACGCCGCACAGCTCGAGCCGACTTACTGATGATGTCCTCCCTGCTGTCTCCTTCTTGTGAGAGAATGGCCTCTCTAAGGAAAACAAGACAAAGACACGCGTTAAGAAATCACAGCCGAGGCCTCCCCGCCCGCGGCCTGTTAGCGGACGCGTACTTGGCATTGACGAGGATGATGAGCATGAGGAAGAAGATGAGGAAGGGGTCGGCCAGCCGGAAGTAGCAGTCCCACAGGGCCTGGGTGACGTCGGGGGGGCAGTGGCTGGAAAACAGGCTGCCCATCTACAAAGGAAACACAGGGGGGGTTTCAGACGGGGGGGGGGGGTCACGGCGGCCGGGACGAGCGGCAGCCGCGGCGACGGGACGAACCCAGTTGATGGCGTAGGAGTCCGGCGTGATCTTCTTGGTGTCCAGGAAGGAGCAGAGCTCCGGCTCGTGGTACTGGAGCAGAAGTCTGTACAGGTGGAAGGGCCGGCCGCTCGCTACGCAGTCCCTGAGAGACGGATTGGGACGAGTCAGCCCTCCGCGTCAAAAACCAACGCGGCCGATTTCGGGGGCAGAGGGCGGCGCTCACCTGGGGATGTGCTTGTTCATGACGGCGTAGAAGCAGTTGTAGAGGTCGCTGCGCGGGAGCTGGAGCCCCAGCAGCGGTTTGAGCAGATGCGGCCAGCTCATCTCGGGGCTGAAGGAGATGTTGCGCGACTTGCAGTAGAACGTGATGACGGACTCCACGTCGCACGCCGTGTCGCGCCTCTCCTCCTCCGACACGTCCAGCTGGTCTTAACGCAGGAACCGAAAGCAAAGCAAAGTCACAAACAGGAAGCAGAAGGAGCTCATCGCAGGTTTAACGCCGACGGTGCAGTAAAAGGCCGTTTGGGGCTTCGTTCGTAACGTTGATGCTTTAAACGCTAAATCCGAACCTGCGCCGGCGGCTCGCTCGTGGGAGAGCGCGCCGCAGAGGAGAGCTCGCTCAGCAGCCACTCACCGATCAGCTGTTGGCTGCGGTTGTGAATGGCGGTTTGTTCCGGTAAATCGAGGACGCCGTCCCATGGAGACAGGCTGTCTCCTTTGCCGGAGACATTTAGAGCGATCTGACGAGAGGAAACGGGAAGTCAAAAGCGGCGCAGAGGACAAGACGGACGTGCAGTCAGCCGAGCGGACTTCTGCTGCACTCGTGATGAACTGATCCGCGGGGAAGTCGCCGCGCGGCCGGACGTGATATTCAGCCGAATGAAACAGGAGCCTCTGCAATCTGCCTAAAAACCTTATTAACCAAATCAAATAGCTTCATTCATTTAGCAGATAACAAATAGAAGCCCTGCTGCACCACTTACGAGCTGGTTGGTTTATGCTTTGGATGTCGATACAGAAGAGAACAAAGTAGCACACGGGTTTCTGCCTATAAAGTGGTTATAAATGTCAAACGAGAACAAACAATGGAGGAAGCAGCAACAACAACTCCCTTGTTCTGAGAAGTGAAAATGACCTCAACAGAAGCCTGCATTGCCACCATGTTTTTGTAATACAAACAGCACCACCATTACTCTAAAGTATTAACAGCAAGGGATGAACAGGTGTTTGCTGCTCATCCAACGTCGAACCGACCAGAGTTCGTCCACATGAATGAGGTTTAAAATATGTCGCAGGTATGTTGTTTTTAATCCAAAGTGATGTCATGAATGCGGGTGTGTCGCACAGACATGGCATTCATATTATCTGTGCCGGAGACGCTGGTCTTTCCAGTTTGTTGACTTGTCTGGGAAAGGTCATTCATTTTCAGCCTTTCCACTCCCAGCAGCATTACTCCTCCTAACTAATAAACTTGTATATGTTTTAAACAGCAGTCAGTCGGGCTTCTTCTCACCTTCCACATCTTGGCCCTGTGCTGAGCAGAGTGCTCCTTGTCCTGGTTGATGCCTCGCTCCATCTCCATGTCGGAGCCGCCCGAGTCCAGAGCCTCGGCCAGATCCTGGTCCCTGAGGAGGGCCGGCACACACAAGTTGGAAATATTCATACAAGCAAAGACAAGCTTTCTTATGGGTGACATGTATCCATGAAAAATTCATATTTTGTGAGCTGAGTCCAGCCTCAATCAACAAAATTGGTAAAACAGAGTTTCCTGTGTTCATTAATTTGATATAAAAATGAATTAAAGAAACGTCAGTGGACTGAGACCAAGGCGATGGTTTCTCTGAAACACTAAGAAGCCATGAATATAAATGTCACTCTAAACACGTCGGACCCAGAATGACCGACAGATGCTTCCCGCATTATGATCCGTTATTTATTTACATTTCACATATACTGCCTACATTCTCTCCCCCCCCCCACATATAAAAAGTTAATTCCACAAATATTTACGCATATATTCATACAAACACACACGAAAGCAGGAACTAATTGCGTCGCTACTCAAGTCGCAGCGCAGTCACGTGACAGGAACGGTCGGGTTCTGGTTTAAAGGGAAGCAGAACTCGACAGAACACCGGCTGTCTACCGCTAGCTAGCCGTTGTTAGCTTAAGCTTTGCCTTTAAACGAGTTGATGCGAGAAATAAAAGTAAGGCAAATAGAAATAAAAACATAAAACATTATCGGCGGCTCTTAATTGAAACCTCGTGTCCTTCTTCCACTCACTGCGCTGCTGCCTTTTCTGAGCCAACTAATTAACGTTAGCCGGCTAGCCGCCGAGCGGCAGCGTTGACGGCGTCCGGGCCGGTTTTTCGGGTCAGCATCCGCCGCCAGCCGACACGTCTTTAGCTTCTCCACGTCACGTACCGTCGGGCCAACGCGGCGGAGCTGTTTGACAACCGAGACAAACGCCTTCGGCGGAGCTGGCGAGGCAGCAAAGGGACTCACCAGCTGCCCTGAAGCGCTTCCTCCGCGGCATCCGCCATCGTTGTGTTGACGGAGACACGTCACGTGCCGTAAACACGGCCGACGTGTCGCACAACGCCTCGCTGATCGATGTCACCGATGAGCCACTTTAGCGCGTGACTGATCGGATGTCTAGATATTACATGTGTTGATATTACTCGTATTTTATGACTATTATTAGCTACAATAAATGTATTAACATGTAAATATATTTGTAATAGAAATACTAAGCAGGCAGTCCACACTGAAAGGAGACGTACTATTCAGCTCCACATTTGTATTTTCAAGTTTCTACTTTTAGTCATTAACAGAAAATCAAAAAAAACAAGGAAACCCGCAATCAAAATTCATTCCAGGAATTATATCTTTATTAGGGATTCGCTTTCACTTTGGTCCCCACAAATATTGATGAACGTCAGTGTCGTTTCAATTGAACAGCCAATATTATGTAGTTATCTGATGATTATTACGTCACATTCTTGCAGCTTGATTCTCAAAAGGTTTCATGGAGAAGTTGTCAACAGCTGAAACGAAGCGTTCGCCACACGTTCGGGAAAATGTGTCCGTAACCAGCGCCAAATGAATTCCCGTCAAAGAATATTAGTATTTTTCTAAACATTACAAACATTTAGCAGTGGTGGCTGATTTTATTTTCCATTCATACAAAGTAGGGATGCTACTTGAGAACAAGGTCGGACGCTTCATACTCAAAAGATGCATGAGATTAGAAACAATAAGGCTTGTTATGAGAATATAAATCTGAAAAGGACAGAAAAATAAAACCAATCTCTTACTCTGTCAAATGAGACATGACAAATAAACATTTACAATAGAAAAAAAAACCTATTAAGAACAAGCTAGGAAAAAAAACACTGAATATCCAATCCCTTGTGACATTATGTTCTGACACAAGACGCAATTCAAAAATCACATTTCCAAAAAACTAAAGACGTGTTTTCTTTCTAATCAAAAGTGTTTTTTCCCCCAAACAGTCGGCCTTCGTTGGGTTTTCCTAGTGTTCAAGATGCACGAGCGTCGCACGTGCACGTATTCATAGAGTGAGCATGCTGCACCGAGGTGGTGAAAATAAGGAAACAGGCCGTCCCATGATTAAAAAAAAAAAACTAAACCTCTCTGTAGCCCCGTATCCATGGGAACAACTCCAGCATTACAAACACACATTTCACGTTGGACTATACTTTTAATCTTGCATTCAGAACCGATAGCGTAGTTACACATGACAGGAGGGAAAAACAGAAACATCAACACTTTAGATCCGCATAAATTAACGAGTGAACATTCAAACTACGTAAAGCTCCCAAAGTATCTCTGTAGATTTAAAAGAGTCAGTTTTCAACAAACTGGGCAGGTTTCCGTTCACTTACATGTCGCATAGTTACTATTAATTTAGACAGGAATACATGGACTTCCATGTAAGTGTCTGGGCAACAAAAAGGCTTGAAACCCCCTTTGATGTGATGTAAACACATTTGTTTATTTATATATATCTATTATCTCAGGGGTCTTACTTTTTCCTTTCATCATCCAGTACTTTTTTTTTTTTTTTTTTGCAAACCAGAAGCGAAGTTGCATGTTGACGTAGTTGGGTGGAGCGACGGAGGTCCAGTTTGGCGACGGGAATCCAAGCGAGGCGTTACAGCGTCGGCGGCTTCAGGCCGTACTTCCTCGCCACCTCGGTCTGCGCGTACGCCGCGTCGCACAACGAGTACAAATGGGCCATCTCCATCTCGGACTTGGCCAGGTTGATGGCCTTGTTGAACATGTCTATCGCCCGGTCCAGATTCCCCCTGGAAGGAGAAGAGACGCTGCGGTTACCTGGGCAACCCAGAGAGACACCAGGTGACATCAGTGTGGAGGTTGCTCAGCTCACCTTTGAACCTCGATGGTTCCCATGGTCTCATAAGCAAAGTCACATTTGTTGTCAATCTCGATGGCCTTGCTGATGAGTTCAAGCCCCAAGTCGAGGTCTTGTTTCCATTGAAGCTGTAATAAACTGGAAACGTATTGAACATTTAACAACAGGCGGTTTGTTTACAACAACACCACTAAAGAGGACCTGTATGATGCGTTCAGGCTCTGTTCAGTAAAACCGGATTTTCTTTGCCCAATGACCCGTGACTCAAAACAACGAGGTACGATGGAACCGTGACCCACCCCTTGTGGACGTATGTGGTGGCGTTGTCTGGTTCCAGCACGATGCACTTGTCGTACATCTCGTCCGCTTTCCCAAACTGCTGCTGATCGGTCAAAGCCTGAAAGACACCGAAGGAACAAGACATGTAGCCGCTGCTTCCCGTCTGAACTGTGCGGCTCAAACGGGCCAAAAAGGCGGTTTCTGGCCCTGCACCTGAGCGTAGAGAGCGTAGCCCTCGGCACACTTGGGGAACCTCCTGATGACGTCCTCGAAGCCGTCCATGGCCGTCTGGACCTGAGACGGGTTGTTTCCTGTGTACGCTTGTCTGTACTGAAGGACACAAGAACAAGAACCTCAGCGCGTCATCCGGAGGCAGCGGGAACGCTTCTCAAAAAAAAAAAGATCTCCGGCCGAATTACTGACCAGAGCGAAGCATTTCTGGGCCTGAGCGAGAGCGGAGTCGGGTCTCAGCACGATGCACTCGTCGAAGTCTCCCACCGCCTCGTCCACCTGGTCCAGCAGGATCTTCAGCTGCGAGGGAAGATCGACTTTAGACCAACACATCAAGACAGCGTGCTAGACGCCAGCGGACACCATCTCTGTAACCTCTTCACATTCTCCTCATAGTAGTATTCATCCGTTGAATGTTCCTCAGGTAACATCTTACACGTTGCACCTTTAACTTGGTCAACCCACCTGGCCCCTGTGGTGGTAGACGTCGGGGTTGCTCGTGTCGATTTCGGCGGCCATGTTGAAGTCTTGCGTGGAGAGCATGGGCTGCTGCTGCTGCATGTACATGCTCCCCCTCTTGATCAGAGCGTTGGCTCGTAGCTGGAAAACACCTCGGACGGGTGAACAAAGACGTGCGAGACGCCTCACTAAGGCCACGGCGCGTTAGCAACACGCTGCCAGTCTACAGCCCCGCCTGTCCGGCACCCAGTACCAGTCCGTACCTTCACGTTGGCGTCCTGCATGGTGATCACCCGGTCCAGGTCGGGTTGGGCGGCGGTGGCGTTTCCGATCAGCAGGTAGAAGGTGGCCCGCAGCAGCAGGGCCTCCGCGGTGTATCGGCCCCCGGAGTCGACCTCCTTGGTGCACTCGCTGATGATCTTGTCGTAGTTCTCCTCTTCCATGTACTGCTTGGCCTTCAGGTACCCGGAGCTGAAGGCGCGAGGGAGCCGATCAGAAGGGAATACTTTGTTTAAAATTGCTGAATACTTTTCACCGGGAAACAGTTAAATCTGATATATTTTTTGTCATCTGGTGGATTTTGTTTTTTTTCTCAAGATTACAAAGCTTCAATTCCTAAAAGAAAGCCTGTCTGACCTCTCAGTGACCTCAGCCGCCTCGCCCTCTTTGTCCTTGTCTTCGTCCTTCTTCTCGCCCTTCTGCAGCGGCTGTGAGATGATGTCATCGGTGAAGGAGCTGAAGTAGGATTTGATGAACTGAGGCGAAGGCATCATCGGCTCGCGGTTCTAAAGAAGAAGACGACGGCGAGTTCACAGTGAGACGAACAGTAAAGAATCACACGTCCCTCATGCGGAACGTCCACTGCGCCGCTCGCTCTTCTTCGGTTCTCTGCCTGCAGAAGTTGTGGATAGAACCTGGTGCTTCTTTTCACACCACATTGGCCGACGTTCCAAGCGGGCTGAGCCGATAGCAGAAGCTGGAGTTAAAACGCTGCAGATTTGATTGGTCACAGCATGACCTGGGACATCCTTCACAAACTTCATCCGATAAAGGAGTGTTTGCTTTAGGGCGGAGCGATTTCGGTACCCGATGATTGCGAACATTTCTTATATACTGTCTATGATTTGCCAAAACGTAACCAAGACGGTTTTTAGCCAAAACAAGAGTCCTGAAGGCAAACTTCTCGCATGCTTTTTTTGTTGTTGATCCTGATTAAAACAGCCGCCCTACAACGGGTCTGAAAGATGAGGCGGCCCCCACACACACACACACACTAAAGGTGGCGCTATCTTCAGCGGGAAAAGGACCTGGTATCAGAAAAAGGGGGGCTGAGCCCAGCAGTGATAACGGGGCACAGGGTGGACGACGTACCTTGTATTTATCTTTGGCCTTCTCCTTCCCCAGCTGCTTCAGCACCTTGTCCGCTAGCAACATGCTCTGCTGGTTCTGGAAGGCCTCGAGGATGCAAACCGCTGTGACGTCTGCAGGCAAACAAAAACACGCCGTTGAGTAACGCTCGCGCAGCACGTTAAAAGAAAAGAAATGCGTTGCGAGTTAAGTGAAAGAAGTCTCCCACCTTCTAGACATTCTCTCTTGTTGTCTAGCTTTTCCAGCGCTTTGGCTCTTCTGAACAGGGCCTTCACGTAGCGAGGATTCATCTCCACGGCCTGACAGCAGTCGTGAACCACTTCTGTCCATTTCATCTACGATGAGAGTAACAGCGGCAGTTTCATTTCATCCGTTTGTACGGAGCTTTGGCAACAGCAGTGAAGGCTTCAAAATGAAGCAAAGATACAAAAGTAATAAACCGAACAGCATCCGCGTGGAAGCACAAACGCGATTCTTTTAGTTGGAGCAGTGATGTGAAACTTGTTCCGTGCGTTACTACATCAGATGGAGCCACGTGATGTTCTGATGTGGACTTTTTTTATACATCTGAAAGAATCTAAATCTGTTATCTTTGATCTTTGCAGGGACATTGTGTGACTGATAGTTAAGGGACCGATTTAGAGGCAGCCGTCCCCTGTCAGGTAAACTGGCTGGTTTTGTGAATTTGCTCTGGTGTCTTTCAAGAATAGATGAATAACATCAGTTACATGTAGCGTGAGCGTAGCGTTCACTCCATCCACTGTAGTAAAACACTGACTTTTGAGAAGAATCTTATATAATATCTGTGGAAAACCCCCTCAGTCAAACACGAAGGGGGAAAGGTTGGAAATGATTAGTAAAGAACCTGCAACTCATTGACCAGCTGATCGCTGCATTAAGGTGTGAAGACATTTGAGTCCCCTGCATGGATGTGAATCTCTCTGGAGACATTTAGAGAGGGACAAAGTGTCCCAAACTGCAACATCAATAACACCCAAACATCTCATTACGGACACAACGCCGACGTGCACATCCCTCGTAAGGGAGCCGTCGCTGCGCGTCAGGTGTGTATTTCATCGATTCACAACCGTCAGGCGGAACCCACCTGCTGCTCGTAGGCTGCCGCTCTGTTCTGGTAAAACGTGGACAGGTCGGTCTTCTGCTCGGTGGGGCAGAGGCCGATGGCCTCCGTGTAGCACTGGATGGCGTTCTCGTACTTGCCGGCCTTGAAGTACTTGTTTCCCTTGTTCTTGGCTGCTTGGGCTCGATCCAACGGACTCTGGATGAGCGGGTTGAGAACAAGAAGTCAGGGACTGTTGGAAAACACTTGCTTCTTTTCTGCTTCTCACATTCATGACCTCGTAATAACAATTAGGACTTTCATCATACAAAAGATATTCATAAATGACTAACAACTAATATGTTTTTAACAACTAATTGCTCGGCCGATACAGACTTTACAGGTCTGTTAAACAATACGTTTCCCAACAACAACAAAAATCACAGAAATTCAATAATAAATAATAATAATAAATGAATTTGATGCATTAGTTATTGCGCAATCTGTTTTATCAGGGTTCAATTTGAGTTTCTTTCTTTGCTTTGTCTGTCAAAGCACTTTGTAAAGTGGGATTTCAAAAAGGTTCCGTATGGATAAAGGTTATTATTAACAGTAGTTAAAGATGTGTGCATACATTTCTTATCAATAAATCATTCAACATGACAAACATAACTAAATGAATTAAGAAATATTTGAGTGGACTAATTATGTAAGACGTGGGCAGATCGTGAAATAATAAGGTTTATAAAAGGTTCATATATTTGATATTACGTTTGGAAGTTATGAGAGGAGTCAACACATGCCAGACCTACAGAAATATTATATTAACCTTTATTAAAAATCCTCAATGAGCAACACACGTATCTTTAATAACACGTCCACGTGCACGCGGACCGTTGTGCTGCTCAATTAGTGCACGCGCATGGATGAATATAAATAAGACAGTGTGCGTGGATTTACACGAAGGTTGATCAGTGTGTACGGTTGATATAGAAAGTATTTTATAATTACAACATTTGGTGAATCGGACTATTGTAATTATATATATACACATACACATATGCATGTGACATAAAGTCGTTTAGCAGAAGACGCGTAACGTTGTGTCAAACGTGCCTTTGCTTTAACACTGGAGCGCGTTAGCTAGCTAGCGGCTAGCTGATAGCTAGCTAGGTTAGCCAACTTTAGCTAGCTAGGCTAGCGGCTAACGCTGGCTAATCCGCCGCCTCGCCGCGGAGCGTAGCTGTCACTGACAGCCGGTGTCCTTGACGGCACTTTGATGTAAATGACCCGTTAATTCGGTAACGTGCCTGCGGGGCGCCGAGGCGGATGGGGACACTCGCGGGACCGTGACATTAACGAGAGGAGGACGTAGCCATCCCGGTAACGTTACCATGTTCTCCTGCTCTCGGCTAGCGGGGGGTGCGCCGTCTTGGCCCTGCACCGGGCTGGCGCTGCCTTCTGGCGTCTTGCGCTCCCCGTTCCGCTTGCCGTCCTTCGTCCGGCCGCGGTTCCAGAGGTACACCGCCCCGACCCCCAGGACTATCGGGGTCCCGACCAACAGGGCCAGCTGCCAGCGGGGGAGTCCGGTCCCGGACTGCGGCTCGACTGGCTTGGAAGCAGCCATGATCTACAACCAAGCGATAGTTAGCCAGCCAGTTACCACCAACGGGACAGCGTGAGCGGGCGCCGCGGCGTGTTCTTCTTCCTGTGCTGCCGAGGTCACGGACTCACCGAGGGGCTCACGGGATACCGGAGGACGATCCGCGGGGTTGTGTGTACTTGTAGTACGATGGTAGCAGTTTGTAGTCCAAATAGTGTATCTTCTTCGCGGTTTCTGTGGGATTGCAACACTGACTTTAAGGGGCGCAGCGCCATCTACTGTACCAATGTGTAACAGGATTACTCGAAAAAATAGATGTGTCTCCAATTAAATAAATTATTATTATTTAATGATTTTCTTCAAAACGTTTTTGAATGTGCATATTTTCTCAAAATATATTTAGATTTTTTGTATACAATTACTTTTTTCAAAACATTTTTTTAACTAATATATTTTTACTTTTCCCCGTAACATTTTACGACCTCACATATTTTGTATCAAAACATTTTTCAGCCTAACATATTTGAACTTATTTTTGAATTTTCTTTTCGACCTTACATTCTTGTATTTTTGATGGCATTTTTTGACCTTTTCATTTTCAAAATTCGACCTTGCATATATTTTTATAGCTTTTTTCTTCTTTTTTTTTTTACCTTTTTAGTGTTTAGACTTTGAAAAAAAAATCGGAGCTAATATTTTTAACTTGTTTTTTGTAACACTTTTCGACTTAATATTTTTTTACCTTTTTTTCCATGGCATTTTTTTTTAACCTTTTTGGTATTTTGACTTTAAAAAAATGTTACTGTTGTGCACGACGATGACATTACATATTTTGAAACAGCTTTTTTTCCAGCGTTTGACACTGATCGACGTGGATTTTGTTCATATGAGTGGTGAGGTGTGATTTTCTCATTGTGTGTTTGTGTCTTTGCCAAGTTCAGCCTGCTTCGTGTCCCAGTTCACGGCTCTCACCAAGTGATCGATTACTGCCGGGGGCCACGTGTCCTCAAACACACCAGCAACGGTGCTTTCAAAGTCAACAGCGTTCAGCTGGTGGAGGAAATAGATTTACTGCAGTAATTATGAACAAATAAGAGGCTTTTTTACTTGAGTTTTCTACTGCATTTAAGGGAGGAATATTCCTTTTTTCTTGATTACGTTGGTTTGACAAATTACTTAGTTGCATATAAGGATTTCTAATTTATCAACAAATAAAAATAAATGTTATGTCAGATTTTGCACTGTGCTGCAGCATAAAGTTTGAGAAGATAAGAAGATTCCTTTTCAGTCATTCAGATTCATAGCTCTTTATTACCCTTTTACACTGTATGAAAATTGTGTTTACAAGTCATAAAGTGGTTGAAACACATTCTGCACTCACACATGCTGTTGTGTATTGATATTAAGTTTGTTCCCTCAGGGAATCCATAATGTAAACTGTTAACTTGCACTGAATGCTGGGTATTTTTTGTCTTATGCAATGTCCAATTCAAATATACACGTTACCTCCCACACGGTTTCATGTCCGATCTCTACTACTAGTTGTATTAGTATAGTATGTATATGTAGCAGAGTGTACAATAGAACACATGCAGCTTTTTAAACCCTGTGAAATGCATGTTTCAGCTGCTCCAGGTCCTCGTGCCTCTGCTCTTTGGGAGACGTGGGCTGCAGGAGGTGACGATTTGCAGGTCTCAACGTGTATCTGCTGTTGTTAGCGTCGCCCGCCTCAAGTGTTTGTTCCTGTTACCATGGAGACAATGCCCCCCCCCCTCTTTGATCATCTAATCAGATGGTCTTCACATGCTGCAGGGTGTTTTGATCTCTTTTAAGTTATGGTCGGTCTGGCTTCCAAAGAGTATTTGTGATCTACATACCGAAGAGAAAGTTGGATTTAACGTGATTTATTGTGGAGTCTGATCCTCTAGTACACAACTAAACAAAATTGAAATGTTTTAAATAAAAGGGATTGAGGTAGGTACATTATCAATTTGCTGCATACATTTAACACAGTTCATCTGTAATAATATAATAAAATCAATCCAAATGTCTCAATTTATGTTCATTCATCTAATATCTCTGGATCTACAATCCAATGAATTATTCATTTTCCAGTCAAATATTGTTCATCTATTCAGGTTGTGAGAGATATTTTGTTTATGTTCAGGTGTAAATTACATCTCATCTCTCTATTCTTACATATTTTCTTATTGGTCTTCACTATTATATTTGTGACACACGCTCCCTTTTTTAATTTGCATTTCTACAACATGCACCAATCCACCAAAACAAATTCCATGTGTGTGAAAACCTTTACAATAAATCGCATTCTGACCAAAAATGTGTGAATTTCTTTCCCCTCGCTGTTGAACTGGAGGATATTTGGAAAAGGAGGCAGGAGCAACGGCAGGAAGCCAGTAAACCTGACAGCGTAATATGAAAACATCTGCTCCGTCTCTCTGGCCGCCGTGCAAACAGCCTCCGGCGCTGCTCACTCCATAACTATCGACAGGTTTGATGTGCTCAGCGAGCGGAAACTATGGGGACATTGGAGTTTCGGTTGTGTCGCCTGAGGCCCGCGACTGTGGTGGAAAGATTCAAAGCCGTGTCCACATCGGCCACCCTGCTGCCGAGCAACAAGCCCCTCCTCCTCGTCCCCGCCAGCCTCCATCTTTACCGTCCCACCACATTGAACACATCACAGAGGTTCTGGGAAGAGCCCTGCGCTTTGTTTTGGGACCGTCCCTGAACAGCAGAGCGCCAGTGAGACGAGGCCGCAGGCTGCGAAGGGGTCCGACCGTTGGCTCGGCCTTGTGGCGGGAAGGCGGGAGGGGGCTTGCGGACCGCGTGCATCAGCGGCTTTTCCAGTGAGCTCAGCATCCGCCCGCAGGAGGGCTCCCCCGGGCCGCCATGGCCCTCAGGCTCCTGCCGACCTTCCTCACGGACAACGACGACGACGACGGCAACTTCACCAAGTGGATGAGCAGCTACTGGGGCCACGGGGCCGAGGGCCGGCGCCACGGGGAGAGGAAACGCAGCCTCCGGAGGCCCGCGGCGGCGCCAGGAGATCGGAGAGCATCGCTCCCCACGGCGGTAAGGGATCGGCTGCCCGTAGGACAGATGGTCGCGTGCGGTTCTTTGATGATGATGCAACGAGGCGGAGGAAGCAGGGAAGCGTGGTCGTATTTAGCACGGGACAGTAACGCGACGCGGAACGCGAGTGGCCCCGGTACGGTGCCCCGGTGCCCTGACCTTTCATCACACAGACTAACAACGTCTGCTGAAGACACAGACGTGCACGCGCATGCCGAGTGAAGTCACGTCACGGCGACGACCCGACCGCTTCATGCACAGCTGCTTACGTTTAGTCTTTGATCTGTTTTTAATGTCTTGAATGAAAAACTTTGATTAGCTGTCAGCGTTGGTTTGCAAACAGTTCGTGTTGCACGAAAAAAAAAAAACGGCGGTGCCTTTATTCATGAAGGAGGTCGACGTAGAGAGGTCAGAGGTCAAGGGCGGCTGCGCTGGTGGGTCAAACAGGAGGTACCAGGGGGCCAGAAGGATCCCGGCCCTCAGGAGAGACACAAACCAGCCAGCAGGTGAATCAATATGATCACAAAGCAACGAGATGAGAGACACACAGCAACTATTAAGAGACATAAACGGACATTAAAGTGTCACTAACACAAAACAATTACAAAGAGAAAGAAACCATGGGGAACATGAGGACATTAGGAAAGGTTTTATTTTCCAGGCTTGATTCCACCAGCAGATTTCAACGAGGTCATTTGATTGCGTGTGTCCCGATCCATAAACACATGGACACTTCTAACGCCGGGACATTTATGAGGACGATGTGAACCAAAGTGGCCCCGTGGGGGAAAGTAAGGAAGGAACTAAAAGTTATGAGCTCTCAGCCTCTGCTGCGTCATGATCGACTTGAACCCACATTCAAATTACAAACGATTTGCCAACAAAAACGTATTTTATCTCCAATGTGTGAGGAGGTTGTTCGTATGAATAAAAACTCTCAGGTTTACAGATGATCTGTTTTCTGTTCATTTTCTCTCATCAGACAGACAGAATGTTCATCGTCCACATGTTAGAATGTTAGAATATTATATAATTATCAGAACATCTGGGCTGCCCCGTGTGGCTCAAAGCAGAACTGCAGATGTAATTATGAAACGTGAACATTAGCTCCGCCCACCAGGAATCAGTGATCTGACCACTAGAGACACGCTCGGCTGTCTGTCTCACCGCCTGTCCACTGTCCACTGTTTGACTGTCTGTTGTCTGTACAACATCTGTCTTTATATCAGTCCGTCTCTCGTTCTGTCTCTCAGTATTCATGTCTGTCTCTATCCACCTGTCTGTGTTCATGTCCGTCTGTCTCCCTATGTCACTATCTGTCTCTCTGTATTCATGTTTGTCTGTCTCTCTATCTCTCTGTCTGTCTTCATGTCTCTCTGTATTCATGTCTTCCTGTCTTCATGTCACTCTGTCTCTCTATATTCATGTCTGTCTCTCTATCCACCTGTCTGTCTTCGTGTCTACTTTGATACCCTCACCTCAGGTCTTTACCTTTCCACCTCTTGGTCTTTCAAATGGGACAGTGACTGTCCCTCTGAGCAGAGACCGAGGCCCGACGACGTGTCCCGTCCCTGTTTGTGTCCACAGTCTCAGTTGGACGCCATGAGGCTGAACCACCTCCACGCGGCGGCGATGGCTCCGGGCCCGAGTCACGCGAAGCCCAGGGAGGACAGGACGGACGCGAGGAACCACCAGAGAGTTCGCCGATCCGACTCGGTGGACAGCAGCCACTCCAAGCCGCCCGTCCCCGAGAACCGGATCAGCACCATCCCCGAGCTCACCGAGTCCTTCGAGAGGAGGCTCCTCCTCCGCGACGACGGCGCCACGTCTCCGGTGAGTGGTGGGGTTGAGGCCCGTCTTCTCCTTCCTCACCCGTCTCGCCCCGTCTCACGTCCCCGCTTCTCTTTACCCAACAGGCCCACAGAGACAAGCTGTGCCTGATCTGTCACGAGGACATGAAGCGGAGCGGCGGAGCGGCTCGAGAGGCGCACTGTTCACACCGCTGCCACCGAGAGGTGAGACTCCGCCCCCGCGGGGGTCCCCGCACGAGGTCACGTCCCCCGCTGCATGGTCGCCCTGCGGCATGGAGGACACGAGGGGACACAAAATGACCACCAAGTACCGACCAGCACTGAAACACTAGGAGATGCAAAACAGCTGACAGAAAAGACACACACATGTTGAAGAGACTCACAAGGACAGAGGGATCAAAATGAACTACAAATAAACACGGAAGGACTACAAGGAGAAAAATGTGACACAGAAAGACACAAAATGACCACAAACAGGGACCAATAAAAGAGTCTTGTAGTTCTTGTAGAATCAGCCTGCGCGTCGCTCTGTGCAGAGGCCCTTTGCATGGCAGCCCCCCCCCTGCATGATGTCCCGCCCCCCCCATGATGTCTGTGCATGATGTGCATGACGTGCACCGCTATGAGGTCACTCTGCACCGACGACTGTTCCTGATCACGTGTCTCCGGCTCGCCGAAGGCGTCCCGGGGGGGTCCAGCTCCCCACGGCGAGGCGGCGGCGCGTCACGCGAGGAGGCTCTCGGAGGAGAGGAGGAACTCCGCGGACGGGCGCATCTCGGTGGAGAAGGAGGAGCACGCGGCGCGACGTCAGCTCTCGCTGCGCAGACACCGCTGACGGCGCCCGGCGGCTCCGCGTGCAGCGACCGGCCTCGGCTTCGTCCCGGACTCCTTTTCTACTTCCCGCTGTGACGTCCAAGTGTGAAGATCTCAGGGCCTCCGGCGCGTGGCCCTCGTGCGCGGGGCCCCAAATTTAGAACGAAAGAAAAGACACATTTTTGTTAGTATGAGCCGCTTATATGAGCCTCTTTCATAAATGAGGTATTTGTTGTTGTTGAAGAATGCACAGAAGGTTGTTGTGTAATCAGACCAACAAGATTCATTCGTTGCACCTGCGTTTGTTTTGTTCAGACATACACGGAATTAATGAGGATAATTATAAAAGAGAGAATTCATTTCCATTGTTATTTATTTTGTTTTTTTTTACCTTTGTTACAAAAACAAAATACAAAAGTTCTCATTTAACGAAGAGGGAAGATGAAATATATATTAATATACACATAAAACTCAAGTGTGTGCATTCATTTTTATTCATTGTTTTCACACTTGAATAAAGAGATAATTCCCAAATGTATAACCTGACCTAACACCACCTCTGACCTTCTGCTCCTGGCCTCAGGTTCCTTAGATTGAACTAAAATCACCTTTAAAATACGAACGGACCTTCGTCTCTCTCGTCTCGTTGATGCTGCGGACTCTTCGTGAGACAGAATTTGCATATTCAAACTAATGGACGTCATTATTGTTCTTTCGTTGCAGTGTTGATGCCAGAACTATAATGAGGAAGTATTCAAACTCTCCCCCCTTCCCACCTGTGTTGATGTTCTGACCTCTCACGTGTCCTCATGCTCCCATTACTTTACATTTGGTTTTGCATGGGACATTTGAGTCAATCTCTTTCATAGTTTCGGCCTCCATGTGAAGACAACAACAAACCCTGGACCATCTAGTCCTTTGACACCAACGTGAGCTCATCTGCAGCGCCGATAAACGTGTTTAGGATGAGTTTAATTACGTTTCATCTCTTCGTAGGACTGATGTGTCGCTCCCTTTGACTGACACACCTTTCATGTTCCATTGCGTCTTCGCTCGGCTCACCTTCACGCTGCACAGTAATGACACACATTCAAAGGTATTCAAATCCCGTAATAACAAAGGCAGCAGCATGATGGAGCTCAGCGGTAACGGTAATGATGCTCCACGAACACAGACAGAGGTCGTTGCATAACGTGTAAATAATAATAAAACATGTAAATGTCTGAATGTCTGAATGGTTATTGAGTCAATTTTCAAGTCCACTTCATGTTCTTTTAGTAATGAGGTCCAACAAATACATACATAACTAAACAATAATAAAGTAAACAAACATGATAGAAACGCGTGTATTTATTTATCACATAAATGCATATTTGTTTTATAAATACATCAATAAACAAATACGTTTGTTGTTGTTTTGCTTTGTTTACCCGGAGGTCACCACGTGACGCAGAGCCTCCTAAAGAGGAAGAGGAAGAGGAAGATGAAGACGGCGTACGTGACGGAGGAGATGCAAAGTAGCGGTTTCCTTGGGCCGGCGGGAGGGAGGGGGGGGGGAGGGGAGGGAGGGGCGGGGGCAAGCAGGCGGAGTGAAAGTGCACACGTGGACAGCTGTGAGTGACGTGGCTTCGCAGCCAATCGCAGCGCGGACCGATGACGTAGTGACCCTCTGTAGACCAATGGGAGGCTTTCTGCTTGGAGACGGAAAATGTTGTATAGAAAAAAAAAAAAAAGAAATGTCTGAACCCGAAGGACTGAAGCTGTTTTTACTTCTTCTGGATCAGAAGACGCGTCTGTCTGCTTAGAAATGATTAGTGAGGATGCTGTGATTCATCCGGCTTGATATACTACAAGTACAGGTACTACTATCACTACTACTACAGTTTTCTCCAGAGACAAAAATACTCCGGTAAGACTCCCTTTTTCTTTCTTTCTACTAGGAGTTCTACTGTGTTGTGTTAAGTAGTTATATGTGATTAAATGAACATGTAATACACTTAATGCCACTCTACATTTGAGGGTTGTAAAAAGAGATCATGAAAAAGTGTTGGACTAAAAACCTAAAAAATGAGCTTTTTGCAAATTATTGCATTGAGAAGAAAACGGTGTTTGTTATGAAAAGAAATGTAAACAGGTAAATATTTTACGTTTTGCTCTACTTCATCTCAGAGGTACATTTTGTACTTTGTATTTGTCGGACAGCTTTGTGAACTACGTATTTATCCCATTCCTGTACAAAGAAACCACATCCAGACGCGTTAAAGATGAATGTTAGTGATAAACTGAAGGATGAAGTGTTCCTTCATGTGTTAATGATGAACGTTAGTGATAAACTGAAGGATGAAGTGTTCCTTCGTGTGTTAATGTTGGATGTTAGTGATAAACTGAAGGATGAAGTGTTCCTTTCCTGTGTTAATGATGTAATGTTAGTGATAAACTGAAGGATGAAGTGTTCCTTCGTGTGTTAATGTTGGATGTTAGTGATAAACTGAAGGATGAAGTGTTCCTTCGTGTGTTAATATCAGTGATAAACTGAAGGATGAAGTGTTCCTTCGTGTGTTAATGTTAGTGATAAACTGAAGGATGAAGGGTTCCTTCGTGTGTTAATGTTAGTGATAAACTGAAGGATGAAGTGTTCCTTCGTGTGTTAATGTTTAATGTTAGTGATAAACTGAAGGATGAAGTGTTCCTTCGTGTGTTAATGTTGGATGTTAGTGATAAACTGAAGGATGAAGTGTTCCTTCGTGTGTTAATGATGAATGTTAGTGATAAACTAAAGGATGAAGTGTTTCTTCGTGTGTTAATGATGAACGTTAGTGATAAACTGAAGGATGAAGTGTTCCTTCATGTGTTAATGATGAACGTTAGTGATAAACTGAAGGATGAAGTGTTCCTTCGTGTGTTAATATCAGTGATAAACTGAAGGATGAAGTGTTCCTTCGTGTGTTAATGATGTTATGTTAGTGATAAACTGAAGGATGAAGTGTTCCTTGTTAATGATCAGTGGGGATGATGTAAATCAGGAGACGAGGCCACAAAGGGAGAGGCAGATTTCTTTGTGTAGCACATCTCAACAACATGGAAATTCAAAGTGCTTTTGTAATTCAAAGACGTTGTCGTTGATTAATCAGACAAACGCTGAAGAGTCTTCGTGCTGCACCTCAGCGGCGGGAGGGAGCGATCGCCATGGCGAGCGCCTGAAGTGTTTTCCTCCGTCTGGAGAGCTTCCCCTTCATAGTCCACCATCATCGTCGCCAACAAAGAGACATTTGCAGCCCAGCGTTATTATTGGCTTATTGTTCCTTCAGTTGGTCGCAGTTGACGCTCTGGGGGACTGAAGTCAAACAGGTTGATAGAGGTTCTTTATGAAATGAAGAGTCATTGTTATTGTCTCATTGTTACTAGGTTGTAAATGTGAATTTATAAGTCAGTCGAGCTAGATTAAATAACGCTTTATTTATTCCGCCAATGTCACATTACGTCACAGCTCTTTTCATTTCCATTTAATATATTCAAATGTAAGCAGGATGATTATCTCACGAATTCACAATAAATAGGTTGTTTTTTGATTTTATTGCATGGTTCACCTATTTTCTGTTTTAAGTTATTTTGATTCAGTGTGACGAAGTTTTAACACAAACATGAATGAATTAAAGGTGAAGTTGACACACACACACCACACACACTAATTGTACCTGAGTGTGCTGTTTAACTAAATTGCCTCTACTTTTCCCTTCCAGGCGATCTAAAAATACCGCGTGCGAGTTCTCTGAAATTATCTCGTTTATTTTAAATCTCCAACTAACCGGCATTTAAAATAAAACGAGTTCCCCCAGATGTCACGCAGGAGAATAAAAGCCTCTCTGTGGTTCTTCTGCCTCCTAGCACTCAGGTGGGGGGGGGGTCATGGGAAGCTTCAAGGGCCACGCGCTCCCCGGGAGCTTCTTCCTGGTGGCGGGCCTCTGGTGGACGGTGAAGTTCTCGCTGTGGCGCGCCACCCGCAGGAACAAGAACATGGGCTCCACCCGCCTGGCCAGCAGGAGCTCACAGCGCCGCCTGGAGGTCATCGAGAGCGCCGCGGCTCTCTTCTTCTCGTTGGTCGGTGCGTCGGTTCCTCCTCGGGTCGCAGACAGACACACAAAATTCAGTCCAATTTATTTCACTGCCGTCATAAACAACATGTCAGGCATCAGCCGGGGCCGCTTTCATGTTGGCGAGCTTTGAACCTCTGTTGAACCTCCAGGGATGCTGGCAGAGCAGTTTGCGGCGGGCGGGCCGAGGTTCCGCCTCTACGACGCGGCGGGGAAGCACTGGGAGCTGCTGATGAACTGGCAGCACGCCACCATGTACCTGTTTTTCGGCCTGGCCGCGGCCGCGTCGCTGGTCATCCACACCACGGACGCCGCGCCGCTGGCGCTGGACCGCCTGGTGCTGGCCGTCGCCTTCTTCAACGAGGGTGAGAGAACGACGTTCGATCTCCTTTATCGACGGCCATATGTGGAATTGTTTATTCCCAATCATCATCTTTTGGGCTGGATTTTATCAACGTGGTGTTTTAATACATCAAACGGAGACTAGTTGCCTAAAAACGTGCAGGTGAATAACCGGTTATAACATCGCGTCAATGAACTCGCTCCTGCAGGATTTATTTTCTTCTACCACCTGCACGGCCGCAGCCTGCTGGACGTGCACGTGCACCAGCTCCTCCTCTACGCCGTCTTCGGCGAGGCTCTCGTGGCGTTCCTGGAGGTCTTCCACCGGGGCAACGTGGTCCTGGAGCTGCTGCGCTGCACCCTCACCCTCCTGCAGGGCAGCTGGTTCTGGCAGGTAAGCGCGGGGGCACGTGGGGGCACGTGGGGGCGCATGTTTTCCCTTTTCTGGAGTGGCGCTAACGTCCGGGCTCCCTCTGGGCTGCAGATCGGCTTCGTGCTGTACCCCCCGCGGGGCCCCGAGTGGGACCTCGACGACCACAGCAACGTGATGTTCGTCACCATGTGTTTCTCCTGGCACCTGGCCTCCGCCATGCTCGCCGTCAGCGCGCTCCATTGGGCCGTCAGCTGGTAAGAAGCTCTCCCACGCCGTTCCAGTGTGTCATTCCAGATGTGACGTATCCACAGGTACATTCAGGACCTGTGTAGGAGAATCGACTTTGGGGGACGTTCTCTCAGACAGAGTTTGGAACCTATCCAGGGTTCTGAAGGCTTGGCTGATGCGCTTCATCTCGACCCACAAAGTCCTGGGTCTCAATCACAGTTTTGGGGATGTGTCGACTTGTGTGACCTTCAAGAAATGATTTCAAAGATCCTCAAAGAACTCGTTTCATCTAAAAAGAAACACATAGTTATTTTTTATGTCAAAGGTCCTCAATCCAACGCTTAGTCTTACAGAGAACTCCCCAAATGGTTCTGGGTGGAACCTCCTTCTTCTGTCAGGAGGAACTCTCATTTCCAAGAGGGTGGACCGGACTCAGAATCAAACCTGCATTAGCATTTGATCCGCTACGCTATTAAAATCACTTTAAATCACTTTATGGTTATTTTATTCTCTGAAGCCAGACTTCATGTGACAAACAGCAGGGACAGTAGCGCAGCGCCACCTGCTGGACGGTTACTTCGGTCCACGGACCCACTTGAAGGAAATCAAACTCCTTTAGGCAGCAAACGTCGTTTCAGTTTCTTCTTTGAATAAATGTGTCGCTCTCTACGCAGTGTGGTTCGCTCCCGACTGAGGAGGACTCCTCCGATGGAAATGGGTCTCCTGAAGCCCCGAGACCAGGATCCGGAGTCAGAGGACGAGGTTCTATGAAGGAGGACCAGGTTGTGACTCGTGAACATGTCGCGTTAAATCAGGGATGTTCGCAGCGGTGCGACGAGAAGCCAAGCGTGAAGACGCAAAAGGGACGTTTTCCTTTGTTATAAACACATTATATCTCTACGTGTGCCTTAATTAATCTGATGTAAACCCGTTCAGCCGTCAATCAACGCTACATTAGCTGGCGCGATTGGGGCGGCTTGAATCGCGCCAGCTAATGTAGCGTTGATTGACGGCGGGAGCAGTTGGGGGGTCGGGTGTCTTGCTCAGGGACACTTGGACGTGGAGCAGCCGGGGTTCAAACCGCCAACCGGCCTCTACGCCGCGATCGCCTGCTTATTAGACTGCGGTCTCATACCTTTCACACGGGTCATATCCTTTGTTTCATCGTTAACTTCACTGTGTGTGTAACTGAAGTCACGAGTCGGCTCTTTATGGTTTTCTTTTGACACAAAGTGGCGCCGGAATCAACACTAAAAACAAGTCCTTGATTGTGATTTAAAGAATATTGTTTCATTTCAATGTTGCCAAACATGTGATACATGATACAAGTGCTAAAGGAATGAATTTGATCAAAATTATTATGTTTACACTTTGTTCATATTGTTACAGATTATGACGTCATTGTTGATACTGAATTTTCTTCATTATTTCCTTTTGTTTTTGCTGTATTTCGTCAGCGGGGATTTATGTTGTTTGTTATTACAGGAATAACCAAATGTGTCACTATGTTATTTAACCAATAAAACAGTCAAACCCGCTCCGTCTCTCACAGTAACGCTCAGGCAGCACAGCATCACTCCAGCAGGAGTATTGATCACTGATAAATCCATCCGACTGATTTCTGTCAACAAAGTTTGATGTTCCTACAAAATAATTTGGTATTTATTGATCAATCCGCAAATGATTTTGTCAGTTAGTTGACATGAGCTCGTAGTTTAGTTTCAACATTTATTCTGAACATTTTGTATCTCCCCTCAAAAGAAAACTGTTGTCTGTAGTTCTTAATCTGGATTCCTGATGTACTCAAAACATTTATACTCAAAAGTCTCCTCATCGTCTCCTTTTCCTTTTATGTAGTTGTTTTATTATTATTTTTCATTTTATTTTGAGAACAAAAAAAAGGAAATACACATTAAATAAATATTTCGATAAATATGTTTTATTGAAATAAGTGGAAAGCAGGATGAATCTTCTCACCGACTGCGATCGGTTTCCATTCACTCCGGGCGATGACGTCAGTTCTGCCCCCTCAGGTGCGTCTCACCTGACGTCATCAACCGGGCCAGCAGGTAAGACACCTGACAGCAGCAGCAGCAGCAGCGGCGGCGGCGCGACGCTCCGATACACAACCGGCAACTTCTCTCCCCCCCCCCCGTGTCCGGCCATGGACAAGCTCAAGTCGGTGCTGAGCGGCGAGGAGGCGCGCAAAGACGACAAGACCGTCCTGCAGGTAAAAGTCGACCCGCTCCTCGAGCCCGAGCCGAGCCGAGCCGAGCCGACGAACCAACCATCAATAACCCCGAACCTTCCTCGCGCGCAGACCGTGAACGAGGCCTCCACGCTGGGCTGGGGGACGCGCGTGAAGGGATTCGTCGCCTGCTTCGTGGTGGGGGGCGCGTGCGCGGTGTTGGTGAGGAAGCGTCTGAATGTCCCGCTGGTCAGGTCTGTTTGTGTGTCCCCGCGTGAGGAGGACGAGGCCTCGCCGGGAGGTGAGAGTGGCCGCACCGGTTCCTCCGGCTCCGAGGAACGCTGGAGATGTGACTCACCGAGCAGGAAACACTCTCATGATGATGATGACGACGATGATGATGATGATGATTTGCTCCAGCTGATCCGTTCTGTCTCTGCAGGGAGTGTGTCTGCTCTTCCTCCCCAGGATCGGCATCACCCTCTTCATCGTTTTCTACACTTTTGGAAACCTGTGTGCTATTTGCAGGTCAGTGCGACGGAGACAAACCTCTCACAAAAGGTTCATCTTTTTTTTCATATTATACGTATTTAAAATAAACCCATATGTCATGTGTGTCACAGCACCATGTTCCTGATGGGCCCCATGAAGCAGCTGAAGAGGATGTGTGACAAAACGCGAGCCCTGGCCACCGCACTCATGCTGGTAACTACACACGACTACACCAAAGTGCTGCCCCGCTTGACTAAAACGTGCCACTGACTTGAGCGTCTGTCCCCGCCGGCGGCTGCAGACCTGCCTGGTGTTGACCCTCTGCGCCGTCTTCTGGGTGAGTGGGTCACGGCAAAACGCCCGCCCCGGTGAAGATGCCGGCCCGCCGTTGACCGTGCGACCTTTTTTTTTTTTTTTTTGTCTCGCAGTGGAAGAACTTCGGCCTCGCCCTGCTGTTTGTCGTCTTGCAGGTGCTGTCGTTCGCCTGGTGGGTCATTTGCGGATCTCACCCCCCCCCCCCCCCTCGTAGCTTTGGGTCTCGGGTGATTATCGGTTTGTGACGGTGTTGCTTTTCTCCCGTTTCGTTTGCAGGTACAGCCTGTCCTACATCCCGTTTGTGAGGTTCGTTGGTGAACCGGACGTTCGTTCGCGCGGAGCGTTCGGGGGGGCGAGCTCTGACCTGTGTGGTTTCCTTTCCAGGGACGCCATCTTGAAGATGGTCGCGGCGTGCGCCCGCTGAGGCCTCCGGGTGGAGGCGAAGAGGGAAACTTATTCTGCTTCAGAGAGTCTGGGACCTCCTGTTTTATCTCCTTGTTTGTTTCATTCATTGAGCTGATTGATTGTCCAGTATGTATTGATTGCGTATACCAGTTTTAATGAGCGGGGGGGGGGATCCTGGTTTAGACTTTGTAGATACTTTTAATAAATGAATGCATTGTTTTGTCTTTTAAACAAACAAATCAGCCTTGTTGTTCACTGAGCGAAGTTTGAACACTTGGTTGCAGTTAATCAGTAATTGTTTAGTTTATTGGAGGCCAAACTAATACGACGTGATCATATTTCTGATATTTCTTTACCCACTAGTCAGATTTATTAGTAACCGAGCGAGCGAGAGCTCATTCTCAAAGGAAAGTGTGTTTGTTTTTTTTTTTTAATCGAAGAAGATATTTTGAAACTAAAGCTCGGGGCCAAACTACTTACTGACACGAGAGAACAGGAAGTTCTACAAAAAGGCAGAGACGCCTGATGTCGTAGTGTCTGCTGTTACACTCCAACCAGTCAAATTCCTCCTGTCTGACGCGTTGAGGCAATAAATGTTTCCTGATTCCTGAAACGCTCGGACAAGACTCCCCCTGGTGGACACTGGTGGAATGAAGGATTACGCGTGATTGAATGAACAGATGTTTGAGCATATGTGAGCGAGTTCAGCAGGGTTGACTGTCTGGAATATGATGTGCGCTTAAATGTTATTTTTTATCCAAGCCTCAGGGCGACCGAGCCGCCGCCCCATTCATCTGAAGGGCCGTCAATCAAACTGTTTGGAAACGCCCCGGATCCGCCCACTGCGAAACCCCTGCCAACACAATATTCTCCTCTGGCTGTTTTTGACTCTTATTTCCTAATAAAAAAAAACATTGTTTTATCTTTTCATCTTGTTATTCGAGGTATATTTCTGCTTTTGTTTGGCCTTTGTGTAAAGTGTGTAGACTCCCGACTCCTCATCAAAAACACCTATTGTAGCTTAATCAAATAATACTTCAAATCAGTAGATATTTCTCTATGGGAATAACCCACCTGGCAGTAGACACGTCTGTACAAAAATATGGTTTGAGCATATGTGTAATAAAGAACCCCAGCGACCATCGGCCCTATGAATAGTCCTCTGCCAGCGCGTCGAGGTAGTCTTTGTCTGCGTACAGCAGGAAGCCAGAGAACACGCTGTCGGACCAGCCCGGGTCCGCGAACAGTCCGTTCTGGTCGTTGAAGAAGATCTCCAGCCAGACCTCGTCCTCCGGGTTCAGGAACATCATGGTGGCGCCGGACGCCACGTCGTGGTTCCCCGTGTTGGCGTCGAAGGTCTTGATGCGGTACCGCCCGTTGTGCACCAGGCCGATGGCCAGGTGCTTGTTGGCCAGCGTGATGTCATAGGAGAAGTAATAAATGCCCGGATAGGCGCAGATGAACTTGCCCGTCCGCGGGTCGTAATGGCCGCCCTCGTCGAACAGGACCTTGTTGAACTTGATGGGGGTCTTCTCCGCCGGGTAGCTGCTGGTGATGCCGGCGGAGAAGGCCGACCTGGGCAGCAGGCCGCCACACTTGCAGGTCCCCGTCGCGCCGGGCGGCCCCCCTCGGCCCCGGTCCCCTTTGTCTCCGTCCCGGCCCGGAGGTCCCGGAGGCCCCGCGTCGCCGCCCTCTGCCGCGGGGCCCCGCTTGCCAGCGGGCCCGCGATCGCCTCGACCTCCGACCTTTCCCGTCGGCCCGACTCTGCCCTTCAACCCTGCAGCGGGAAAAAAACATAAACACGGTTTGCGTCACATTTTCCGCACAAAGGAAGCAGCGTTTAGACGTTCGGCGCCTCGTTTCGTGGGCGTTAATCGCCCTCCATGGGCCACGCCCTCACGCTCTTGAATGAAATACCTGCGTCTCCCTTTTCTCCCCGTTCACCCTTCCTGCCATCTCGGCCATCTCTTCCCGGGACGCCCACATTCCCGACCGCTCCCGGGGGCCCGGCGGGCCCCGGTTTTCCGGCGCGGCCCGGCGCCCCGGGGACGCTGCAGACGACGTGCGGCGGCGCTCCTTTCGCTTTGGTGTCGAGCAGCTGCGCGGAGACGCAGTGGCAGAGACAGACCGCCGCCATCAGCGCGCGCATCCTCGCATCTGTAAAACAAGGCGTCTTATTTTAGGCTTTTCTCTAACGTCGTGCTTTGAGCTGGGCAGCTGTTTTGGGGTTAAATCGGTGGAACACGTCCAGCGGCGTCGTCATGGACGCAGACGGAACAGAACCACATCGGTGGATCTGATCCATGATGGAAAACAGCAGGAGGCCAGATGTGGCCCCCGTCCCACGGGCCCATGTTCTCAACCGAGACATTTGTCTCCGTTCCGAGTCTTTTTCTTAAAACATTCCCGAGTTACGACATAAGGGGCAGCAGCGCTGAATGGGCTCCGGACGGGTTTTGCGTCGTGACGGCCACGGCCCCCTCGGAGCCGGCGTGAGGTCATCGAGAGAGAGGGGGAGAAACCGCTTCCGCCCGAATGCTCCGCGGGGGTGACGTCAGCGTGGAGCGAAGAAGGCAAAGAGACCCACGAGGGCGCTGATGCATGTGAACACACGCACGCCCAACAGCGCCGTTTCTCATGACCTCGTCATGTTTCAGGTTTTGTCCTTATTTCAATAAATGCTCCTAATGTAGTGATGAAGTTTCACGTTGATATCGCCTCTTCGGCTCTTCGGCTCTGCCTCACTGAAGATGTGTGTGTCAGCCTCCGGCGAGGCCTCCGGGGGTTTTGTAATTGGAATCAGGCATGAGGTTATCGGCGAGTCCTCGGGCGGCGGGTGGGTTCCAAAAGTTATAATTCGGTGGAAAAGAACAAATGAGACCTTCCGACTGCCTTTCAGGGGGACGCGCGCATGTATTCAAGTCTGCGTTCCGTCATTCTGTTCAATGAACTCACCGTAAGTGCGCCGGCCGTTCATCTCCGAAGCCGCTCAGCGTCGCGTCCCCTGCGTCCCGCGTCCCCCGCGGTCCGGTCCCCTGGTCAGCATCTCGGGTCTCCCGCTGTGCGAGTGCAGAGCTCCGCTGGCGGTGTTTTGCGGCAGTCTTCATCCAACACCTCCCTCCTCTTCGTCCTCCTCTTTCTCCTCCTCCCTCCTCCGATCCACTCCCATAGTTCCCTGCAAGCAGAGTCGGCTGCATGACGTCATGGCGAGCATTCCTTGGACATGAGACACTGAGGTTCAGTTAAGACGGCTGTTGTGTGAAAAGTCAGATCTATAAACGGGAGAAGTCAATGGGCCTCGTTGACCTCTGTGTTTCTCACATTGACCTCTAGATGGGGCCAGAACTGTGTGACTCACACGTTAAAATGAGGCAACCTTCATCGATACCGACAATACTTATACTTAAATACTTATGAGACATGAATGAATGAAAATTAGTGTTTGAACTTTGCAGCTGATTAAGTTTCTTTATCCAGACGAGATGTTAAAGTAAATTTTAATAAAAATCTTTGGAATTTGCGAATTTTGGGCTATACGAAATAAAATTAATTGAATTATTTTGCTAAACAATTTCCAGTTACTTGAAAGTAAAGCATTAAAAAAGTGGAAAATGCTGATGTTATAATAAGTGAAACAGTTTCATATTTAACGATATACAGAATCTAATAAGGTTTGTGTCTTAAAATGTTAATTAAGTCTTGAATAAATTTAGTTTAAGTAATATTCCACAGGCCCAATTCAAGTGAAATATAAAGTATTCTATTTCATTCTGTCACGTGTTCATAATGTCCGAGAGGTAAAACGTTTGTTAAGTTCAAAAGCAGCAGCAGCCATGTTGTGTCCAAACAGAATGGGTCTTTATTCAGGAAGTGAAAGGAAAAACAAGATTGTAATCAACACCCCATTTAAATACAAAACCAACAGAATAAAAATAAACATGATATTCATTTTGCATATCAAAGAACCATTCAGTAATAATTACAATCCAAACACCTCATAAACCACTTTTGTGAATCAATACACAAACTTTTAGATTTAGAAATTAGTAGCTTTGACAATACAATTACAAATAGAAAGCTTTAAAAAGAATTAAAACTCTAAATAATATCTTAGCATCATAATATTATATATAGTGAATTTCCACATAAAAATACAAAATGATACCGATGACATTTAGATATGAAAAAAATGATTCCAAGAACTCTGCTACTATTAAACAAAATAAAACATGGGAGAAAACAAGATGAAATGAAAATAGAAATATGCATGAAAAAGTCTCTCCTTTTGTTAGCAAAACACTATCCAAAATAACTACAATCATTTACATCAGTACAAAGATATCTGGATTTAAAAATAGTTGCAATGAAAAAACGGGGTTTTTATTTTTTCTGACAGTAAAAAATGACACTGTGGATCAGAAATCTGCAAAATATGCAATGAAAAAAATAAATCTGCATTAAAAAGGTTTACACTGTAGTTCTTACTTTTTATACAAACATTAGAAACAGTATTGCACATCACAACACAGATTCGAGGTTAGTCAGCCTTTCAAAATGTGTTATTTATTCAAGTTTCAGAGCATCTGCGAGGACGGGCAGCCGGGGCCTCGATGCAACAGGGGAGAATCTCAAGTGTCTTCCAAGAAAATGATAAAACCTTCTTTGTGTTTCCTTCCTTCAAATGAAAATGTCAACTGTGTTATCAAAAACGTGGATGTTGTTGTAGCTGATGACATGATTCTTTGTCTCTGAACAGAACTTCTGGACATAATTAGCAAAGTGGGGGATTAAATTGAATAATAATTCCTATTTAAATAGAAAAATACAATCAAAATCAAATAGTTTTTTTTGTCTACAAAAATAGTGAAATAAATATGATTTTTTACAAAAACAACGACGCAAACAGGACAAAGTAACAGTGTTAAAACATAGAAAATACAACCTCACAAAAACAGCACGAGTCAAGTGTTACAGGTGATGATATTCAAACATGTTTATGAGAACTAAAGCCACACGGGGGGGAGGGGGGCTCGCTATTTAAAGAGTAACTAAATCCCACACTTTAGTTGCGTCTTTCGTCAGCTAATTTTGTCCGTAGTCGGTGTGGAATCACAATCTGTGCACAAACTCTTTATCCAGGGAGAGCGATGCGCTTGATTCAGCATATTTCACTCATTTAGTATCTAGCCGGTTGTCTTTCCACATTTATCCAAAATTTGTTGTTTTTGAAATGACTGTTTCAAGATGTCCGTTTCCTCTTTCAATTGGCGTACGTTAGCTAGCATGCTGCCGTACGTTAGCTAGCATGCTGCCGTACGTTAGCTAACATGCTGCCGTACGTTAGCTAGCATGCTGCCGTACGTTAGCTAGCATGCTGGCTGTTGTTACGCGTTTGAGCCTATGTGTGCTAGCATGCTAGGCAGCGCTAGCTACGTGTATGCTGTGTATACGTCTATTGACCTCCATCTTAAAACACTTTGCAGCAGGAACAAACGTGTTTCCTGCCTGGCAGAGAACACGGTTCAGGCTCCTCTAGCTGGAATCGCTCAACGAGGACGGTTCATACATCACTCGCCCGCTTCAACGGCATTACGGTTTAAAGTTATGCGTAATTGAGGGAGGGGCCTCGCGCCGCCGATACACCTATTTTATACCGTCTAGAGAGCAGCTTCGGCGATACGCAGGCCAATTGAAAGGGTAACAACCAGCCAAAAGCCGGGAACATTTGATATATATATATATATATATATCACACAAATAGTTCAAATACTACACCAAATTGTCAGGATTTGTACATTGTTTTCTAGTCGTGGTTTAGTTACTCTTTAACTTTCCCCTCAATTACGTCTTTTACGTCCTCAATTAAGTGCGGGACGCCACTCTGACATCCCCCCCCCCCACACCCGCGGTCCTCACAACATCCAGACTACATTAGAATATATTAGAAAATATTGGATTTTTCTGCTCTACTCATACAGAACACAGATAACTTAAGACCACTGCTTCACGCTACATCTTAAATAAGTAATCATGAAAAAATAAAACAATTTGATAAATCTTCTTTAGGGTCATAAATAAGTGGACGCTTAAAATCACTTAAGGGGGGGGGGGGGTAAAGTGGGGGTATAGAAAATTAGTGCATAATACAAAAAGAACAGAAAAACAAGGTATTAAAGGGCCAGTGATGGGTAAGTATTTGTACACAAACAGAGTACTAGAGTCTCAGTGTTTGGTAACGGTACACGTGGCGCCTGGACACCGACAACGAGCAGCGCGACCACGAGAAAAACTGCGAGGACACACCGGTGCAGTACCGAGCGGACGGCCGGGCGCTCCGTCCTCACAGGGAGACCGTCCCCGTGGTTACATTTGTGTCTTTATTCTTTTTTCTTCACACCCGAGAGCAACGCAAAGGGGGCGCAAACCAAAAGGAGACGAACGAGCGGCGGAGAGGAGACGCTTTAACTTCACACGCCGGGGGATTCTAGAAGGTCCAACAAACTAGAGCCTCAGTCTACACTACGAACAGTCACATGACGACAAAGACACAAACCACTGAACGCCACTCCGCTTTTCTCCTCCGCTGCGCGAGGACCAACGTCACTTTTTATCGTTAAGTATGTAAACGATCAGACGACAGATAAACACCAACGCATGCAAGTTTATATACGGTTCTTTTTTTTTCCTACTCCTTTGTCACATTTTCTTTTTCACTCTTAGGCATCTGTAAAAGATGCCCGTGCTACTTTTTGTCCCCAGTCATGATTTCAGTGGTTTGTTTTTAGTTTTTGTGTAAATTCTACCCTACATGCTATTTGTGTAGCGTCGCCCATTGTCACAACATGCACAGCGGCCGAGTGCACACTGCACCTCTGGTTTATACATTGAATATAACACCTACACAGCTATTCATATATATATGTATATATAGCAGCAAAGCTTCCAAAGTAGCTTGTGGAGTATAACTGTTGAATACGGTAACAGGATCTTCAGGTGTCCCTCTGTGGGTCAGTGTGAGCGCAGACGTATTTTAGTTTTTAATAAAACTCTCTAGGAAGAAGATCGGCAAGAACAAATGTTTGTTTTGCCGGAGAGAAACGTGTGGATGCGACGTTTTCTATGTGTCTCTTTCTTTGCTACCTTTGGTTAACGTGAGGGAATCAAGGTCTTTTTTCCCCCCCGGGAACGTGGGTGTGCGCTACACACACACACACACACACACACACACACACACACACACACACCTGGGGCGGCTATAGCAGCAGACGAACAGACAAGCTGTCGGCCATGCAACAAAAAAACATTCCCATATCTACTTTAAATCTCACATACAAAAATAATAACAATTAAAAAACCTACAAAAATCAATCTCTCTTTTTTTTCTCTTCTTCTTCTTCTTCTTCAAATCTCCTCTTAGAAAAGATGAAAGTACCACAAAAGAGTCGTCGAGCTGTCAGAGCCTGAGATGTGGGGGGAGTTTTGGTGAAAAACTGAGGCTTGTGGTGTTCGGCTGCTACAAAAAGATATATATATATATATAGATATAGATATATACACGTCTATATATCCACATAGATATATAGGCGTGTAGTATATTCTGTATAGTGTTACGTACTGGATTACACTGATAGCTTGGGACAGCGGGGGGCGGGGGGGAGGGCGCGGGGGTCTCTAGTTCCAGCGGAAGTGGATCTGGCGCGGCCGGTCCGCCCCCTCTTTGACCAGCGGCTTGTGGAACTCCCGCCCGGCCCGGGAGTGGATGTTGGCCCAGCAGAACTCGCAGTAGTACTGCAGGCAGGTGACGTTGGCGCAGAAAAAGGGGGCGAATTTGCCCCCGCAGCGAGCGCCCTGACACTCGTCGCACAGCTGGTCGTCCAGGACGTAGGGCTTCACCTCCACCTGACACACACACACACACACAGACAGGCGACACGCACACGCGTGTTTAAGGGATTGCATGAACACTGACAGTAACAGAGACAACAGGGCGCGTTTCACGACGCGCGTCTTAAAGATGCATTCTGCCTCCCGACCACCAGGGGGGGGAGTCTACGAGGCGGCTTTACCCGCTTGTCGATGTCGCCGTGCTGCAGCTGGACGAATCTGGCGCTGATGGCGGCGATGTAACTCTGCTGATTGGAGAAGGCCACTCGCCCCGCCCCCTTCGGGTACTTGAGCTCCGGATCGGTGTCGATGCCGGCGTAGCAGACGCCGCCGTACAGGCGGTCCATGATCATGGCCAGCTCAACTGCTCGGGGGAGGGAAAGGCTGTCACACGCGTGTGGCCACTTACAAAACGGTTCCATGGGATTAAAAAAAATAAGTAAATTAAACCGTTGAAGTCAGACATGAAGAAATAAGTAAGAAAATCTCTAAATTTTTAACCACATTTTTTTGCATTGATCATGGAAAACAAAAAAGGACTTCTGGGATTGAATTTCATGAGAAAAAAATCATAATTTAATAACCCCATCACACTCCAGCTGATTTAACATATAACATATTGATGGTATTAGTATTCAGTTTAGTTCACACACAGAACAATTGGCGACTTTAATCTTTGTTGCTTCTGACTTTTCTCTCGTTACGTAACCGACTCCCGCCGCTCCGTCATTATTTATTCATTCCACAACGGCGCCCGTTTCGCACTCAAATGAAGCTAACGTTATAAAAGGAATGTAATTACTCGCTCTCAGGGGGCGAGGGACGCCTCCCACAAAGATGGTCTTGCGGGGATCGAGGGGCTGAGACCCGTCCATCACAAAGTCGCTGTCGCTCAGGTTCCACGGGCGGATTTGCACCTGGGGCCAAAGTGAAAGTTGTCCTTTTTTGTCAAAAACACGCTCATCTTGGTTGAAGTCAAACGGACAGGAATGTGCGCCGGCCGCTGGACTCACGGGTTTGTCCTTGATGGTGGGACTGGAGACGCACAGGTACAGCTTCCCGTCCTCCTCCATGCAGGCCTCAATCAGAGCCTGAACCGAGCTCTCCTCCTGGAACAGCAGGAAGGCGTAACCTAGGGAACGCACACACACACACACACACACACATTTAACACTCATGAATAACATATGAATGTCAAATGACGCCTTATATATTAGTCATAGCTTCGCAGCATCCAGGCTCAACATTAAAGGGTAATGGAACCACTTTGTCTCCAGCTTGTGCGGTTGCATTTGGGGATTTGCTGACGATGCACAGCGCTAATGCTAATCGTTAGCACACACCGGTCGCTGCCTTGCAAGTGAGCTAAAGTTCCTAAAAGATTTTATCCAGTATTTTTGACCAACAAAAGAACCCGAGCAGCTCTCTGAACTCGTCGTTGAATAGAGAAACTGAATAATACGTTATAATTAGTCCAGTCTGAAAGTAAAGAGATGAAAAGGCGTCCGTTACCTTTGGGGGGGAAGTAGGACTTGCTCTCTGCTTTGTGCGGCCAGTCCACCACCAGGTGACCGAAGCGGCGGAAGCTGGAGGTGATTTCATCTGAGAGGAAGCGTGAAAAAAACAACAACAACAACAGCTGAGGCGACGAAGGACGAAGACGCGTCGGCGAGGAGAGAAAAGCGGCTCACCTTCGTCGATGTCGGGGGGCAGGCCGCCCACGAACACCTTGCGGGAGAAGCGCTCCACGCGCTCCCCGTTCTGGTGGGGGTAACAGCCGTGGGGGCCGTGGACTCCCGGGACGCCCTGGTTGCCGTGGCCGTCGTCGAGGAGGTTGTCGTCAATGGGGAAGAGGGAGGAGCGACCTGTAAAAAAATGGTTATGGGATCAGCGATAAACACGGGGTTATCGGCCAGGTTGCCCCTGGCAACCATTTACAAAACGATTGGGAAAAACTTCTGCCGTGTATTTTTTAAACCTTTCAAAAACAGGGCGAGCCATCGGAAAAACATGCTCACCAAAATAAAACAGCGAAAAGTAATAATGTGTCGCATTAGTTATATTTAAATATTTCTGTTACAGTCAGAAGGAGAAATAGAAACAAACAGATAAAATGTCAGATACATGTTTTGGTCTAGAGCCCCGGATTAAATAACCATAAACATTTTGTTATCGCATAGAAGTATTTATATATTTTCTAATTTCAATACACAAAATACATTTTTCCAGAAGATAGTTTGGGTTTTATAATGAAACTGATTTATATGTTTTACACAATTTATTCATATGGATATGATAATATTCTCTCTTAATTCGTATAGTTATGAAGATGTTGGGGCTCCATAGAGCAACAGGCATGTAAAGGGTCCTGAAACCCTTGAGATCACTCAGGTCTGGACACCAAAACAATCATTAAGTAATATTTTACAGGGAAAAATTTAAACAATGCTGCAAAAACCAACAACAGCGTCTTTCCCCACTTTAAAAACAGAAATATGATTTGAGGAGTGACGGTTTGGGGGTAGTTTACCTCGACGTCTCCCGTAGCTCCGGGCTGCGTGTGGAGAAGAACAGAGCACAAGTTTCAGGGTTTAAATGTGACCTCCAGACCCCCTACCGGCCTACTGCGCATCCTCTGGGGACCCGGAGCAACCTTTGCGTTGTTCCTGGTCCATGAAGTAATGTTCTCTGCTCTGAAAACGCTTGAATGTTTCTGAGATAGTTACCGTTGAGCATGAGGAGGCCGTCGGCCCCGGGGTTAGGGCATCCAACGCGGCCTAACGTGAGAAAGGGAAACAGGTTGATATGTAGATGCACACATGGAGGACACACACACTGAGACAAACGCACATGTATAAGAACAGCAGCTCTGCACGTGAACAAAGGCCGAAGACACCTCAGCTAAAAGACACCGTCTTTCCCCTTTTCAGCTCTAGAAATGGAAAAACGTCCAATACTTCTATATATTTAATATATTTAAACATTTAAAATGTTAAATGTTCACGACTCAAGGTTTTTCTATTTAAAAATAATTTAAAAGTGGCCAGATCACATGTTGTTGCCTGGTTTTTCCTATGACCTTTGACCCCTTTATCTTATTGGATACTTTGTTTATTTAATCGTGAACTCACTGCAGCTTCTTAATATAAACCAACGCTAGTAAAACTTTAAGTTTCTGTCACAATGCTGCACGTATAAATGGCAGAGCCCCCCCAACAAACATGCCCTCCCCTCCTCCTCTTGCCTGTCAAACACACACTGTGTGAAAGTGTGATCGCATCTAAAATTAGTCCGGACCCCCCGCCCCCCCCCCCCCCCGCTGTGCACACCGGCTCATGTCCTCTCCATCTGCTCAGGCGGCAACAACAAGACGCTCGGCTGAGGGGAGGAGGGTCCGGGCCTCTACCGAAGACCTACAAATAAGGACGGCTCGCAGGGCCTCATCTGTAGGAGGAAAACGCCGCCGGCCTGTGAGGCCTGAGCGGGTTATTTGACACCGTTGCTCTTACGTCAGCGTTTCCACCCCTGCACACCTCCTGCTTTCCACAAGGAAGGAGGGGGGAGGGAGAAGCTCAGCTGGTTTAAAATGATGAGTCGCATCCAGGAGGCAACCTCCTTTTCTCCTGCATTCTGTGCAGTGACCAGCAGGGGGCGACTCCTCTGCTCCCATAGACGTCTATGAGAAAATGACTCTACTTCTCTCTGGATTTATTCCCTCAGTAAACGTTGTAAACATGAGTTTATGGTCTCAGTCTCTAGATTCACGTCTTCTTCAACACAGCGTGATGTTCATTTAGTGACTGATGGTCCATTTAGAGTCAAACGGACCATCAAGTAGGGGATGCTTTAGGGCGGGGCTACACAGTGATTGACAGGTCTCCACCAGACGTACATCACTCCTCCTCCGTCCAGATATCGTCAATAACAAGATGGTGACGGCCGATTGGACAAAACACGAGTCTTCTCCCACTTCTCACGTACAGTCTAAGCTTTTCATTCGTCCATGAAGACAAAGAACGAGCTCCAAGTTGTTGGTGTGAGAACATTTTATCTTTCTAATTCCATATTTTCAGTTTCATGAATAATCTAAGATCGACGTCCCGACCTCCTTCGACTAACGTACGCGTATTCCGTCTCAAATAAGGCGGTGCGATGCTGCACCGCAGGGAGCGAGACTGCACGGCTGCATTGAGAGACCTTTGCGGATCGCATCCCCCCTCCTCGCCTCATTCTGTGCCCCCCCCCCCTGCCCCCCCAGGTTAAGTAGCCCCAGGATCCGAGCTGAAGGTCGTGTAAATGTGCAGCTGGGGGCAGAAAGTAATAAGCTCCCAGCGGGGAGAAAAAAAGCCGGAGCGCGGGACAAACAGCACAGAAACGGGCCCGGCTCCCCCCCCCCCCCCCTCCGGGAAAAACGAGAAAGGGTCACCTCACCTTTCATGGGGTCCTGCTCGGCCCGCATGATGTCGATGAGCGAGCTCTCCAGGGAGTGCATGTTCAGGCTGTCGTACATCCGGCTGCGCTCCTGGGGAAGGGAAAGCATGGGAGTGAGGTTTTCACGCCGCCTGCCGCGGCCACGCCCCCTCCCACCCCCCCCCCTTGCCCGAGGTAACGGAACGAAACATGGGGTCCTCAACGTTTCCGACATGCTGCTTTCGTCACCTGGCTGTGCGAGCAGCAAAGCGCCCGAACTGTCGGTATTCGGATTATCGTGGAGGAGATTTGAGGGAGCGAGCGGCTCGCGCTTGGATTAACATTCTTTCCGTACACTTCGGGGGGGCGGCGGCTCGGGGGACCCTGGACTTGTTCCCAGAGAGAATGGAAACCAAAGGCCGGGGAGGAGCGGAGAACGAGATGATGAGCTCATCGTCGGGTCTCCCCGAATAGGCTGGCGACGAGAGGGCAAAGGTCAACAAGAAGCCAACTTATCTCCTCTCACGTCTCCGATGGAGGAAAAGACTCGCTTCATTCACGGTGAATACTGCGACGCGAGTTTGAGACGTTTTATTTTGTCAACTTGCTCCTGTTTGATGACTCTCTGGCATTGTTGTAAAAATAAACTACTTATAAGAATAAAGGTAAATAAATAAACAATCCACATGTGCAACCTGGAATTAAAAAAAATTGCGGGAATCCAAAAAGCTGAGAAACGTCGTCATGAATCGAGGCTGCATTTGAAAACCAGACAATATAACTGTTAGAAACTTTACTGAGGGCTTAATATTTAAAACTCAACAAAATATATATATATATAGATACACATGTGTGTACACGTGGTCCATGTCGCTGAACACACTGAAAACAGACTCCTTCTTTCCTCCGTCTGACGTCTGGTGACGCCGATCGACAAACATTAAGAGGAAAGGAAGGAAGGCAGGAAGGAAAGAAGGAAAGAAGGAAGGAAAAGTGTTGGAATCTGAAACATTCCTTCCCGACACTGTTTATGGAAATGAGCGCTCGGCGGAGTCGGGCCTGTTTCCTGCAGGAGGAAGCCTCGCTGCTGCCGTGGTGACTCCATTGTTTAGGTGCTGTACTCGTTCTGGTCCGAATGAGTCGGAGAAAGGGAATTATTTTCTTGGAGCAACTCATCAAAACGTAATTTTTGTGAGAATTGTAAGCAGAGACGTTACTTTTAAATCATCAACGAGGATCCTTAGAAACTGCAGTTTGTGATACGGACTCTTTTTATCATGAAATACCAAGAAATACCTAGGAAGCACCAAGAAGTACCAAGAAGTACCAAGAAATACCAAGAAGCACCCAGAAATACCAAGAAGTACCAAGAAATACCAAGAAATACCAAGAAGTTCCAAGAAATACCAAGAAGTACCAGAAGTACAAGAAGTACCAAGAAGTTCCTAGAGGTACCAAGAAGTACCTAGAAGTACCAAGAAGTGCCTAGGAAGTCCAAGAAGTCCCAAGAAGTACCTAGAAGTACCAAGAAGTACCAAGAAGTACCAAGAAGCACCCAGAAATACCAAGAAGCACCAAGAAATACCAAGAAGCACCAAGAAATACCAAGAAGTACCAAGAAGAACCAAGAAGCACCCAGAAATACCAAGAAGCACCAAGAAATACCAAGAAGCACCAAGAAGTACCAAGAAGCACCAAGAAGTACCAAGAAGCACCAAGAAATACGAAGAAGTACCAAGAAGTACCAAGAAGTACCAAGAAGCACCAAGAAATACGAAGAAGTACCAAGAAGTACCAAGAAATACCAAGAAGCACCAAGAAGTACCAAGAAGCACCAAGAAGTACCAAGAAGTACCAAGAAATACCAAGAAGCACCAAGAAGTACCAAGAAGTACCAAGAAGCACCAAGAAATACGAAGAAGTACCAAGAAGTACCAAGAAGTACCAAGAAGTACCAAGAAATACCAAGAAATACCAAGAAGCACCAAGAAGTACCAAGAAATACCAAGAAGCACCAAGAAGTACCAAGAAGCACCAAAAAGTACCAAGAAGTACCAAGAAGTACCATCCTAAGCCCACAAATGGCAAGAATGTTCTGAGTCATGAGTTCATTCTATTATGGGTCTGAATCCCGCCGGCCCGTTTTAAACAAACACTAACAAAGGTTCCAATAACACACTGTTTGAGTCGTGTCTGTATTGGTTGTTGTATGTGCCGTGTACCGTGTTGTTTTTATTGCATGTATGACATGCGTGTAACTTTTACTCCTCCTTACCATCTCAGAAGAGATTTTTCACCTCGAAGTTAGTTTTTACTCGTCAAATTACCGTATTTTCCGCACTATGCGGCGCGCCTTCAACGGCGGTGCTTTGACCCTCTGTGAACCTAAAACGGGCTCATTTCCAATGTCATCACCATCGTTCGCCGTATCCACCCCTGGCGCGTCTCCATCGAGTGACTCAGCGGTGCTAATTGTATTAGCCTTGCTAGCCAAGTTGCCCTTACAGGTTTGGATACTATTCAGGCAGTCTGAACCCCGGCGAGTGTCGGCTGTGAGATAAAAACCGGAGGGGTTACCCGGCAGCAAACAAGCTAGCGTAACGGCCGGCTAGCTGCCGCGCGGCCCTTTTTACCCGCTACTTCTTCCCTCTTCTCCACAGTGGAAAATGACCGTTCCCCTCGCTCTCTGTCTCCCCCTCACACTCTCCCCCTGCCTCTCGCTCTCCGTTCAATAAACTCCAGCTTTGTTTCTCCGCCGGCGCCCTGAAACAAGCTCCATATCTCACGCGCTCGAGCGCCGCTCAGCGTCTCGCCGTCGCAGACCGAGCTTTGCCGTGTTTGGCAGAGCGCCTTGAGCGCCATGTACAACCAGTATGGATCAAGCGATTAACCAATTGATCCATATATATAAGGCGCTCCGGATCATAAGGCGCACTGTGGTTTTTTTGAGAAAATTAAAGTCTTTTAAGTGCGCCTTGGAGTGCGGAAAATACGGTAAAAGAGACAATAAATACAATAAAGCCTTTCACAAAACAGCCTCTGACTATTTCCCCTGTATGTCTTTCTGCTCCTATGAGAGCTGGAACATATAAACCCATATAAATATTACATACATACAATTACATATAAATTAAGCTTCATTCATTCAAATGCTGATAAAAAGCAACACAAATGTCCTCGACCAGAGAAACTTCCTCATGAAATATCCCAAGTGGGCGGAGCTTAGTCCGTAACCCCCCCTTTTGTTACACCTTTAGTAAAAACCTGCCCCCCCCCCAGCGCTGCACACTGTGGCCCCTCTCATGGTGATTCCCATCAACACCGTTATGTGGGTCTGAATAAGCCTTTTTCTTTCACTTCCTCCACTCGTAAAAAACAATTCTCAAGGGATCTGAACTGAAACACACAAACACAACAAACACACACACACACACACACAGACACACACCTCTTCATCATTTCCCTTTGTCCAATCGCTAATTCAAGTGACTGCGTCTGCTTGTTTCCCACCTCCAGAGCGACGGATTTCTGCCACAAACAAACAAACCCATTGTGCCCCAAAGCCGCCCCCCCCTTACCCCCCCTACCCCCACTCCCCCCGAGCATCTACCTGCAGGGGCAACAAGGTGTTGCTGTTGCCGTCGGTGCGAAACAGGTTCTCCTCCATCCAGGACTTGGGCCCCAGCGAGCCGGCGGAGCGTGGGAACTTGGGCGGGGCGATGATGTTGCTGGAGAAGGCCTTCTTCAGGGGCGAGACGTGGTGCCCCCCCGAGCCGGGTCCGCCCACGCCGCTCCCCCTGCGGTGGTCCCGGCCCCAGGACATCCCGCCGGAGCCCCAGCCGTTCCCCTGGTGACCCCCCCACGGAGACTGCTGCTTCCCCATGGGCTGAAAACACGCGGAGAGAGAGAGTGCAAAGGGTTAGAAGTGCATCTTTTTGCCCCCCCCGCTCATCCACAGCCTGATCTGCTCCTGTAGATAAGAAGATTTAGGGCTTTAGGACTAATACCAAGTTACCCGAGCGCCGCCACGCCGCCGAGAGACACTGTTCCGCTCATCAAAGATCTGATTGAGGCAAAGAGGTCAAAGGTCAGAAGAACAGCGACACCATGAATGGACCTTTTGGACCAGATCTTTATTCTTTGTTGGTTACTTTCCTCGATTGAGAGATTCGTTGTTGGTCTTTAAAAGAACAAACACGCTGATCTGTTTCTAAAAGCCAAAGACGAGAACATTTTAAAAAACTGTAATCAGTTTATCATAGACGAATAATTGAATAGTAATAACTAGTGTAATAACATCTCCACTTTTAAAGCACCCACACACACACACACACACACACACACACACACACACACACGATGTGCACGTCACATGAGAAACCTGAGGCTGAAGGCTACGAACACACTGAGCCCGGACGCAGTGAAACTTGAACAGTCGCGTGGGCCCTTGATGCGGGTTCTGGGTCCCTTAACTGTCCACCAACACACACACACACACACACACACACACACACTCACACACACACACACACACACACACACACACACGCCTGTGAGCATCCATTTAGGACAACAAACCCCCGAAGCCTTTGTGTTCCTACTGACTGGACCACAAGACAGAGATGGTTCGGGGACCATGTGACCGCTTCCCACTGGTAGCTTGAGAACAACAGCTGGATTCAGTGCCCCCCCCTCTTCACCTCCTCCCCCCCCCTTACAAACCCCCCTCCCCTGGGTGAGGATCAGGCACGACAAAACGCATTTTGAGTAAAACTAAATACCATTCATCCTTCAAAGGCCGTATGATGCACCTACACACGCGCAGCGTCGCAGATGCTGACCCCTGACCCCGGGACACATCTTCATTCGAAGAGGTCACGAAGAGTGCGCGTTGTTGGGCCTGTTATTTGGGACATCTCGCGTGGGACTGCGGTCTGTCGCGTGCTGCAGCGGCTCACCTGGTGCTGGTTGTAGTTGTTCCTCTGCTGCAGGAAGGCGCCCTGCTGCGGGTGCATCTGGGGGCTGACCGGGGACCGGCGACTCTGCGCCTGCTGCGGCACGTTCATCTGCGGCGAGAAGGCACCGCCGAAGCCCTGCGCGTTAATCCCGGCGCACGGATTAGCCGCCACCGGGGAGAAGCTCTGGAAGAAGGCCGGGTTGACGGAGGGCGGGATGCCGGGGTAGAAGCCGCTGTCGGGGTCCGCGTTGCCCACCTGGTCGATGGCGTTCGCGTGCACCTGGTGGTGGTTGGTGGAGTTGGATGCGGGCGGGGGCGGGGAGCTGGTCTGGACGGACCACGGCGCGCCGAACCCGGGGGACGAGCCGGCGCTCTGCAGCTCCTGGGCGGGGAGGTTCGGGAACGCGGCGCCGAGGCCTCCGGGCGGCACGTTGCCGGCGGTGCCAGTGCCGTTACTCATCTGGTGGGCGACGGACGAGTCCATCTGGACCGCGTCGGGACTCACGGGAGCGGGCGAAGGCGACGCAGCATCGGGTTCGGCCGCGGCCTCCGGGGAGCCGCGGCGGTCGGGCCGCCTCCGCGGCAGGTGGCTGACGGGTCCCCGGGGCGTCGGGGGCGACTCCGCGGCGCTGGAAGACTCGGTGCGCCGGCTCGACGACTGCTGCTGGCGCCTCTTCCGGCCGCGCGGCTGAAGGTCACGGGCGGACTGCGCAGCGCAAGGACGGCGGCGTCGCGCGCAACCGGGGAAAGCTCCGCGGCGGCTGTAATCCGGCGTGAGCGAGCCGTCGGCTCGGTTCGGCCGCGCGCCGGACTCGGGGCTGTCCCTCTCCTCGCTCGACGCGGGTATTTTCGTGGTTGTCAGCCGCACCGGCTCATCCTGCATATTTCGCCGATGCGCAGCGGCTGACGGGCGGAGGTGGGGGGGGGGGGGCGCGGGGACGCGCGGCGACGTCGCTGAAGGGCGAACCGGGGACGACGAGGCGCGAGGGATCCGTGAGATGAGGCTTTCACACGAGGCCGACGCGCGCCTCACAGAACGTGTATCACGAAAACAATGTCCGTTTCATCTGTGGACCGGCGGCAGACACAGAAGTACCAGTGGAGGAGGAGGAGGAGGAGGTTGTGGTGGTGGTAGAGGAGGAGGAGGAGGAGGGGGGTCTGGCCTTCACCAAACAGCCGGCTCGTTCCGGTCCTGATATTACCGTCAGATCTATGTCGGCCTTCGGTGCAGACTAACCCGAGCCCGTGCGGTCCACTCCCGTCCGACCGCGCTGCCCCCTCCTCTGCTCACCGGCCGCGGCTGCTGCGGCACCGGATTAAAAAAAGATCCCCGGCTGCGCGACGTCACGCGCCGCGTCACGGCGCCGGCGTGCCCGCCCCCGGCCCCGCGCGGGGAGGACGAGGGCCGCATTGTTTACGTCACTTTGTGTCTTTCTTTCATTATTCATAACGTGCAGCGGGTCTATGTGCGCGCGAGAGCCGCTGCCGCCTCGGTGCCGTCGCGCTGTGACGTCACGTGTCATTGCCTCAACGCGTTCCATGAGTTCGCTTCGTTTTATTTTGAAAGTACTGACGTGGCTCATTCAGATTAATTCTTTGTGCGCATTAAAAACACACATACACACACATGCGCACGCACGCGAGTTGTGAGATTCAAACAGAGGGCGTTTCCACCCTCAATAAACATCAGAGGCAAAATACAAATAAACAAAAGTAAACAAACGCCGAATGGAGGTTTAAACGCTCCACAATCCGCCGCGTCCCTTTACGCACAGACGCCAAACAAGCTAAAAATAATTTCCCATGTCGGCGGCCGACGGATCATCGTCGGCTGGTCTCACGCTGACACCGCAGAGCTTTCTGCGAGATGTTGCGTGACACGAACAGAAAGGGACCGTCGCTCTTTTCCCGTTGGAGCTGAAATAGAAATCATCTCTCTCTCTTTGGAGCTTTTACTTTTCCACAGAGACACAAAGTACTGCCAGTGTGGAGTCAGAGGAGCCTTTGTCGTTGTGGATATTTAAACGCATCCATGTGACACGGGTTTGGGGGTTTGGGGGTTTGGGGGTCAGGCAGCGGATGAGTCCAACAAACAGGACTTTCAACTGGGAGACCGGTTCATCAGACGCTTACATGAGGGCTTTCCTTCCTGAAACCTAACTGTTGGTTTACTTGATCAAACCTAACTGTTGGTTTAATTGATCAAACCTAAGTGTTGGTTTAGTTGCATAAACCTACATTTCCTTTTTAACGTTATACCCTCATGAGAAATGGGAACAATCCGCTTCTCTTAAATTTTGATGAAACATTTGATGAAACATTTGTTGAAACATTCCCAAACACAACGTGAACCAAATTGTTCCAATCACGTTAACTGTTTTGGGTAGTAAGAAGACCCCCCCTCCGCCCCCATCACCCTTTCTGAAATTCCCCATCACACGGTCCCAGATGGGACGGTCCCACCAGCGAGGGGGGCAGGTGTGGTGGCCCCGGATGGTGCTGAGCACCAGTGATTAGCCGGGCCCAGTAAGTGCTGCAGGGAGTTAAATGGGGCAGGCTGCCAGCTGCTGGTGTCTGATGCTCCTGTGCTGGGGGAGGGGGGTCAGCCCGTGTGGGAGGGGTTGGGGGGGGAGGGGGGTATCCTTTCTCTGACTCCCAGCTGCCCCAGTCACATGCAGCCTGTGACATATCAATCCTAACTTGAGCATAGTTCTGCTCATTTGTTCCCTTTTTCTGCAGAATGCGATTCCTTGTCTTTTGAAGGAACATTTTAGCTTTTTTCAGAATCAGTTCTCAGGTTGAGTCCTGATCCTCTGTGTGAACCAGTCTCAGTTGAGTCCTGATCCCTCTGTGTGAACCAGTCTCAGTTGAGTCCTGATCCCTCTGTGTGAACCAGTCTCAGTTGAGTCCTTTATTCGACTTAATTGGTAATCAAAACCATCGGGAGAAAGAAGGTCGATCGTCATACTGTGGCACCAGATTAAGATGTGGTGAAACTTAGAGGGACATCCATGGCAGGTTCAACCTAAACCTCCTTCAGCTCGAGACTTCATGCGGGGGGCCTCCTAGCGGAGACCAGTCCTCCCGCAGACAGATTCCGGTCACACTAGCCGTTGGATCTCGCAGGGGAGCTCCCGTGAGGAAGGAGGGAAGCTCAGCTCCCGGCAGCGGTGGCATCCTTTCCTCCTTTTCCTCGTCGGAGAGCACAGCTTCTCCTCCCTGGAGCCCCAGGACGTATTCCTGGAGGAAAGGGGGGGGGGGGGGGGGGTGAGAGGGGCAGACTGTGAGACCCCGCTGAAGTAGAATGAGAGGTTTTCTGAAGGGACCCTGGTGCCCAGAGACGATACCGCTTTAGTCCACAGGGGGCGACAGAATCAACTCCAATGACACTCAGTGACTTTGTATCTGCAGATACAACATGAGAGGCCCTGAATGTTTGTAGCCTTCTGATAAATGTTGATCACTTAAATCATTGAATATAACATAAAAGCCTAGAGCCCCTTTATTTAAGAGAGAATCATAAAACGTCAGTTAGGTTTTATGAAATACTCAGTGACATGAACGTCGATGGAGGGTTGCTGTCTTTGGGACGATCCACCTTGTGTCTTCTTCCTTGTTGATGTGGATGCGAGAGCAGCCTGAAACACGTGTCCATTTGGTGAAACACTTCCTGGTTCTCACAGAAAGTAACTTCACAGAGACGTCCGGGAGTCCCGGCGCGTTGGCTTTGGTCTCGCCGTGCGCGGCGGGGCGGCCTGCTCGTGTCCCCTCGGCGTCGCCGGGCGGCATCACGTGTCACGTGCTGTTTGTGTGCTCGGAGCGGACGGCTGTCGCGCCGCGGTCGCCGTAGCAACAGGTAATCTGTACGTCCCCCCCTTTGTGAGGCTGATTGCTCTGTTTGACTCAGGCCTCTGTGTACTCTGGGCGGGTGGGGCGCAGAGCTCTCCATCAGCTCGTCCTGTCCCCGACAGGCCGATCCGATCAACTGTGATGACAACCCCCACCCGCCTTACCCCCCCCCTCTGGGATAAATTAACAGGGGAAGGGTGCGATCCACTCGGGGTCAAGCGGTGGTGATGGAATCAGTTTGACTGTTCGTCTGCGTATCAGATAAGCAGGAAGCGTGAAGACATCATGAACCCGCAGCACAGGAGGTGGGCGGGTCCAACGGACACGGCTCGGTCCTCCAAGGAGGCCGCTGCTCGAGCCCCGCGTGACCCCCCCGGAAGGCCCCGGCAGCTTGTTCCTCATGAGAGACGTCGCTCCGGACACCAAACCACTTTGTTAACTTGAAATAGAAGAAAACGTCTCAGCAAACAGATATTTGTGATCGTACTTTGAACTGAGCCTTGATCTCGCCAGGGTTTTGTTCCACCCGAGGTCTTGGCTCTGGGGGGGGGGGGGTAGTTATTTCACCAGGACGCAGTTGTGTGTGTGTTGCAGTAAATTCTCCCTTTGTTGCATCTTTGTGGGTTCTGAATGGCTCTTTGTGCTGCTGACTGATAACAGTCACCTCACACACACACACACACACACACGGACACACACACACACACACACACACACACACAGGCGCGAGGAAGCCGATGTCGCTTCTGTTAGATGACAAACGTACAAACATTGTGACAGAAGCCTTTTATCCGTGATTCCACTGTGAGGAGACGCTTCAGTTCAGTGATTCAGTTAATTCACTAGAATTATAATTATAATTATTTTATTATTATTATTATTATTCACCACTTACATGTAGACCATAACTTTCTGTGTGACTAAATCTTAATGTGTAAATACATTACATTACATTACATTACATGTCATTTAGCTGACGCTTTTATCCAAAGCGACGTACAATAAGTGCATTCAACCATAGGGTACAAACTCAGGAGAACAAGAAACAAGAAAGTGCAATTTCCTCAAATAAGCGAATTTACAATTTGCTATAGATGAGTGACGTCACAAGTACAATTTAAGTGCTACAATTTGTTAGTCTTTAGTCGAGGTAGAGTCTGAAGAGGTGTGTCTTTAGTTTGCGGCGGAAGATGTGAAGGCTCTCTGCGGTCCTGATGTCTTCAGAGAGCGCGTTCCACCATTTCGGCGCAAGGACAGCGAAGAGTCGAGACCTAGTCGAGTGTTTTGCTCTCAGTGAGGGAGGGACGAGTAGTTTTGCAGATGCAGAGCGGAGAGTGCGGGTTGGGATGTAGGGTTTGACCATGTCCTGGATGTAAGCTGGACCCGAAATAAATATGTTTAAAACGTTCTCAGGTCGTCAGAAGCAAACAACCCACCCCCTCCCCCGACCTCTGATCGGTTCTGCTCGGTGGCAACAAATGAGCGGCAGGGCGGCGCCACATATTTGCATTTCATGGCCCCCCGTGCAGAGGGGCCGATCGTGTGAACGGTGTCTCCGGGGCTCGAGGGCCCGTCAAGCTTCGCCCGGCATGTGAGGTTCTCCCCGTGAGACCCGGGTTTGACGGCGTCCCGGGTCCTCCTCGTCCCAGGGCCCTCCCGACTGCTCCTCTTGTCCCTAATCCTACTGCCAATGTTCCCACGAGCAGTCGCCGGCCCCACACCCGCCCCCCCCGTCCCCCACGCGCGCGTGTGCGTGCGTGTGTGTGTGTGTGTGTGTGTGGGAGAGGTGGCGTTATCTTAACGTCAGAGCAGATTTCCTCCTCGTCGTTGCACAGAAGCTCGTGTTGTAACAGCAAACATTCACAGCCGGCAGCCTTCTGCTTTCCAAAGGACCTTTATTTACACACAAACACACCATGATTGACACACACACACACACACACACACATACGCAGGGCGTAGGCAGGAGACAACAGTGGTTCCAGACATATGGGGAGGCCTGTAATACTGTTTAAAGGGGAAACAAAGACACACACACACGCACAATCGTTGCGATCACGGGAGCACCTGTCCCTCAGTGTAATGCATTAATGCAGGTAATCTAATTAGGTGTGTGTCTGTTTGTTTGTGCGTGCGCGTGTTCCATACATTGTCAGCGGGCATCTCGAGTGTCCCGGCTCACAGCTGCAGCTGGGGGTCAGAGGTCAGCGGCCCAGATGCCCTGTGAAGCCGGCAGGTGTCGGAAGAACAAAGACAGAC